GTTCTAACCGTGTGTTGTCTTAATGAGTTTTTTTTTTTTTTTTAGGCTACATCACGCACTGACGCGATTTCCACGCATCTCAGCGATAATTGGTGAAATGACAGACACACGTTTAGTTTAGCAAGAATGACCCTGGAGGAAAGGTGACGGATGCTGGGTAAGTGATTAGTAGCCTAGTCGTGACAGTTTTCCGTCAGTTTTCCCCATCCGTCTTCATGATAAATAATTAACGTTACCCTGCCATGCAGGTGCAATTTGCAGTATGGATGTATGTTAGCCTTCCCGCTTGTTGATCACGACTCAGACTTTGTACATAGAGGTCTTTTTCCCCTGGCGCTGGCTCGGTAAAACTGCCGCTTTTTGCCCACAAACTACGTAATTATGTGCGTCTAGCGATTTGTAGGCTTTGTGTTTTTCGCGTGTGTAAACACTCAGCTTGTCCACCAGATAGCTGTATATGGCGGGCCAGTGAATATCTGGCCACTTACTGACGTTGTCTACCCATTCTGTTATGAGCTCGGGATCAGGGAGACAATCGCCATCAACTAAAACAAGTTTGTTATGGTAATGTTCCCGTTCCTGTGGTGGTAAAGACAGTGCATAACTTGACACAATATCATGCCGGTCTATTAGCCGCGCCATTTTTCTGACCCCATGCTGTGCGCGCACCCAACAGAGGATTCCAATGTGTACAAACATTGAAGGGGTCTATAGAGTGCTGCACACAGTGCTTATGCGCATCCCGTGCGCTGAATGATGCGCTTGAGGCAACATGCGCGCAGCTCTTCGAGTCCGCATTGAAAAGTTCAAAGCACAAACGAAATATCGATGCATAGTGTATTATACATATACGGGGACCAATGAATTTAATTTTCATAGGGGGGCACACTTTTTTAATAATCTGAGACAGACCAAAACAACAACCCATATTAGGCTTTAACTAAAATAGACCACAATAGTCTTGTTTTGTTCATTTTATTTAAATAAAATACTTCAACATATGATCTCAACGTCTCTGTTTATTTTCTCTTAACATTTCCACATATAGAAGATTGCTAGCCTAGTAGCCTATATTTTTTGTTAATCTGCAGTTTGTCACTTACACAACAGAAAACACAGTGCCATCTAGTGGCTTTCTTGAGTAAAAGGCGCAATCAACGTAATATCAAAGTCCGAAGTAAAACTACGCTAAAACCAATTTGATTTATGACTCTACACTTCATAAACATGAGTCACAAAAGCACCTGGTTTCCACCAACAATAATAAAAGCAATGCATAACATACTGCAATACAAATTTAGCAATGTAGCAGACAAATTCTCCATTCCTACCCTTCTTATATGTCTATGTTCCTACCATCTCATTAGCTCCAGAGTCGTCTCCACGCACGTTGTTGTTGGTCAAAGTCGTCTTTGTCAGCGACGAAACTTTAAACCACTTCTTAGCATAAGCTTTGCTAAAAAAAACCGCCAGAATTTAATTCTCGGATCTCAAACACTGCACAGCTGCGCAAACAATAGGCCTACTGTATGCTTAACTAAATAAATTGCATGGTTTATATAATTTATTTATCCTTAAATACAAACTGCATATTGTAATTTGAAGAAATAAAAATACTAACACAAAAATAACAAATTGAAAGGTCTGCTGCTGGAGACTTGCCATTGGCTGTTGAATATCAATAATTAATGAGGTAGGTCTTTGCAAGGTTTGGGTGCTGTTTTGGCAAGGCAAGGCAAGGCAAGTTTATTTATATAGCACATTTCATACACAGTGGCAATTCAAAGTGCTTTACATGAAAGAAATTAAAGAAGTCAGAATAATTAAAACAGTTTAGAATAAAAAAAAATCATAATAATAAAAATAAAATACAGTGTCGAAAATAAAATGTACAGTAACAGTCGGACAAACAGTGGCACAGTGCTCATTCAGTAAATGCAATCAATATAAATAAAAACAGTTAAGAGTAAAAATAAAATAAAGTAATACCCCTATTTGAGATGGAAGAGATTGAGCTGGTTTACCGTGCTACTGGGCCTCCAGCCCAGGGACTTCTTATACTCTCAGCAGTATAAGTAACTTACTTCTTCACTCGCCTCATCGGAGTGAAGACTCTCCCGCTCTCCATCAAAATCTCTTCCAGTATACCCCTATATGAGATGGAAGAGATTGAGCCGGTTTACGGTGCAACTGGACCTCCAGCCCAGGGACGTACTCTGCTGGGGTGGTGCTACACCAGTAATGCCCAGCGGGGCCCCCACAGAGCACGTTTCTGCTGCCATTACCCTTAATGACGCTCTCAGCGACTACTTATACTCTCAGCAGTATAAGTAATTTACTTCTTCACTCGCCTCATCGGAGTGAAAATTCTCCCGCTCTCCATCAAAATCTCTTCCAGTCAGAGCAGTATTAAAGCAGTATTAAAGCAGTTAAAGCTGTACAGTGCTCATTCAGTAAATGCACAGCTAAACAGATGTGTTTTGAGTCTGGATTTGAATGTGACTACTGTAGGAGCACACCTGATCTCTTCTGGAAGCTGGTTCCAGCTGCGGCTGGCATAATAGCTAAAAGCAGACTCTCCATGCTTAGAGTGAACCCTTGGTATTTCTAGCTGATGTGATCCTAGTGATCTGAGCGATCTGTTGGGTTTATATTCAGTGAGCATATCTGCAATATATTGAGGTCCTAACATATTGAATGATTTATATACCAGTAATAATACTTTAAAATCAATCCTAAATTTAACTGGGAGCCAGTGTAAAGACCTGAGGACTGGTGTGATATGTTCATATTTTCTGGTCCTGCTCAGAATCCTGGCAGCAGCGTTCTGTATGAGCTGCAACTGTCTTATGGTCTTTTTGGGAAGGCCAGTGAGGAGGCCATTACAATAATCCACCCTGCTGGTGATGAAAGCATGCACAAGTTTCTCTAAGTCTTGACTGGAAAGGAAGCATCTAATTCTTGAAATATTTTTCAGATGATAGTATGCTGATTTAGTTATTGCTTTGACATGACTATTGAAACTAAGGTCTGACTCTAGAGACACGCCAAGATTCCTGACTTGATTTTTAGTTGTTAGACCCCTAGTGTCGAGGTATGCATTCACCTTGAGAACTTCATCTTTGTTTCCAAACACAATGACTTCAGTTTTGTCCTTGTTTAACTGAAGAAAGTTTTGGCACATCCAACTATTTACTTCATCAATGCATTTGCACAGGGAGTCAATGGGGCTGTAGTCGTTAGGCGATAGGGCTAAGTAGAGCTGTGTGTCGTCTGCATAGCTGTGGTAATGGTAAGCGATTTGGTTCTTTCTCATTATTTGGCTCATTGGGAGCATATACAGGTTGAATAGGAGTGGCGCAAGAATCGAGCCCTGAGGGACTCCGCAAGTCATGGATGTCCACTCAGACTTATGGTCCCCTATACTCACATAATAACCTCTCCCTTCTAAGTGTGACCTGAACCATTTTAGGACTATCCCAGAAAGCCCCACCCAGTTTTCCAGCCTGTCAAGAAGTATGTCATGATCAACAGTGTCAAATGCAGCACGGAGGTCGAGTAGTACCAACACGGATAATTTGCCTGTATCAGTATTTAAGCGAATATCGTTTATTATCTTTATGAGCACTATCTCTTTGCTGTGATGCGATCGGATCCATTTGAAAAGTATCCATTTGAGCTTAAGAATTTGTTCAGCTGATTGAAGACAGCCTTTTCAATGATCTTGCCTATGAAAGGAAGATTTGAAATCGGTCTGTAATTGCTCAAGATGGTCTGATCCAGATTGCTCTTTTTCAGGAGGGGCTTGACAACTGCAGTTTTCAGGGAGTTCGGAAAACTCCCAGAGCGAAGTGAGGCATTTACCACTTCTAAGAGATCTGCTTCTAAACAGTTTAACACACTTTTGAAAAAAGATGTGGGAAGTGTGTCAAGGGCGCAGGTGGATGTTTTAAGGTGCTGTATGGTTTCTACCAAAATTGTGCCATTGATTTCTTCAAAAACAGACATAGTAACTACAGATTGTGGTCTGATCTGACTGACTCCAGAGCAACTCAAGGATGTGCTGATCATCTTTCTGATATTATTAATTTTCTCAGAAAAGAAAGAAGCAAACTCACTGCACTTGCTGTCTGAGAGCATTTCTATGGGAATCTGGCTCGGGGGGTTTGTCAGTCTCTCTACAGTAGCAAAAAGAGTGCGTGTGTTGTTTATATTGCTGTTTATAATATTTGAGAAGAAAGTCTGTCTGGCTTTGATTAGTTCCCTATTGAAAACGTGGATGCTGTCTTTGTAGATGTTATAATGGACTACAAGTTTTGTTTTCCGCCACATGCGCTCTGCTTTTCTGCATTGTCTTTTCATATTTTGCACAGCTGTTGAGTTTCTCCAAGGTGCTTTTTGTCTGCCACTATTCTTCCTGACTTTTACAGGAGCAATATCATCAATTACACTCTCAATTTTTGAGTTGAAAGAATCAAGGAGAAAATCAACAGAGTCAGCAGATATGCTTGGTTTTAAAGATATAGCCTCCATAAATAGCACACCAGTTGTCTCATTTAAGCATCTCTTCTTGACAGACACAGATCTAGCTTCAACTGCAGGAGAGATCAATATATCAAAGAAAATACAGAAATGATCAGACAGTGCTACATCCTTAATAACAATCGATGAGATGTTTAAACCCGTACTGATAAGTAAATCTAGAGTGTGTCCACGATTGTGTGTGGGACCGTGTACATGCTGTGTCAGATCAAAAGTTTTTAAAACAGTTTTGATTTCTTTTGCCATATTGTTTTCTGCATTATCTATATGAATGTTAAAATCTCCAGCAATGGCAAAACAGTCAAACAGTTTTTGGATGTTTTAACAGTCATATATGAAAACAATTATATTTCAAGTTACGTTCTGTGTAATAATGCGTTGAATAATGAATTTCTAAATCATTTCTGAACCGTTGCATTCCTACAAGTTGCCAATAAATGGGCAAGTGACAATGTTAATTGTTTAAAAAAAAAAAAACTTTTTAATTGGAATTTAAATCACAATTTTGACATCATTTCAGAACCACTTTCTAGATAAGTAGTAGGCCACATTTTTGGAACATACAGCTCAAATTTTAAGTAGGAGCTGTAAATTCACAAGTCAAACTAGCCACCTGTAATTAAACATCATTAAATCGCTCTGTTGCCTCATTTACTGCAAGGTGTATAATAAATACATTTATTTAATTTAATCTACATATCCTCAGAGAAATGTCTTCCAGATTTAAAGCACCAGAAGCCATTTCCAGTCGCCATAGGTCTGTACTCCAAGGAATCCATCTTAATATTAGGGAAGCTCTTTTGGTTGTTCATTTAAACGGCGTCTCATTTCTTCAGCATGGGCCTTGCTGCGTTCCCTCTTTGTGATATACTGTGTTGACAAATAGAGAAGACAACTAGAAAAGTCTGATTAAGAAACTGAGTTGCTCAATTATGACATTTTTAATGCAAATATGACATTGTTTTAAATGTCTTTGTAATGACACCTTGACATAAACCAATACATCATAACCTGTCAGTGTCTTGGTAATGACACCTTGATAAATATGTCATAAACAGGTTGACAGGTTAATTATCAAACTTAAGAAACCACTTTGCTTTATGGATTAACATTACATTTAACTGTCAGGTAGTTGGTTTTGACATTGGCTGTCACCAAGACACTGACAGGTTATGATGCATTGGCTAGTTTAGTTTATTAGATTATAATGCGGTAGACATTCCCTTTTTGATAAAAAGAGCAGCTTCAGCCTCTATGGCTTCTATCTAATTTCCAGCTGTAGTACCCGGCCAAGTTTTCAATAGGCATACATCAATAAAATACATCACAATTATATTTACATATTGGTTTATGTCAAGTTGTCATAACAAAGACATCTCAAACAATGTCTGTCATATTTGCATTCAAAATGTCATAATTGAGCAAATGACATTTAATGACAGTTGTCAAAAACATGCATAAAACTTCCTTCATTTTCATGTCATGATTAATGTCAATCTTATGCACAGCCCTTCAAGTAAAGTGTTACCAAACAAGCTTTTATTTTGGGCCCCTAAGCAAAACCATCTATTAAAAAAAAAAAAAGTGTAAAAAAAAAAAAAGCAGTGTTGTTCATATTTGCAGAACATTTGTGCATTCTGCATTAAATTTGGCACTTGACATTACGATTTACTGAATCATTTAAAACAAAGAATTGCTTGAAGCCGCCGTTTGATGGTGACCTCCAAGCAATATCTTGGTTGCTTTGACTGTAGTGTGAAGAGGTTTGTGTCAACGTATTTTATCTAGTCTGTGTATGCATTCACTGATCAATGATTTTGGTTAGTTTGAATGGGAATAAAGCTACGCTATATCACGACCAATTCGTACGAGGGATTCAAAAGTGGCTAATTCGTACTAATTCATACGACCTCACTCGTACGATTTGTCTAAACCCACGTGACGGTTCTGTTTAGGGACGGGGTCAGGGGTAGGTCATTCGTACAAATTTATACGAATTGGCAAATTCGTAAAATATGTACGATTTAGCAAAATCGTACTAATTCGTACGAGTGAGGTCGTACGAATTGTTACGAATTAGCCACCTCGTAAAATTCGTACGAATTCCCGTGAGATCGGGTTGGAATAAAAGCATAAATAGCGATCTGGTCATCATACAAACTGATCATATCTGAAGATTATATTTTGATGTCTTTTCAAAGGCTTTATGTCATTTTGAGGCGCATGAAATGTTTGTGTCTTGTTGACCTTATTGACAAAAACAGCTGTTTCTTTCTTCAAATACATTCTTTTGTGTTTTGCAGAAGAAAACAAGTTTAGAATGACATAATTGTCAGTTTTCACTCAACTTTTTTTAAAATCACCTAAAATATACAGTAAACAATACAGACTAAACAAATTGATAAGAGGTAGGATTAAAACACATCTAAACATAGTAACGCATTAATTATTAAATTATTGTTGGCAATTAGTAATGACCAAAGTAATTTTTAGTGTATAGAAGATTGTCAGTATGCGTTAGATCAAACCAATAATCTATGATCTAACAATAAAGCAACAGGAACTCATATGTCGCTTTTCCACTGCATAGTACGGTACGGTTCGGCTCAGTACGCTTCGACTCGGCGCGGAACAGTTCGGATCGCTTTTCGTTTCCACTGCAGTAGTACCCCTTCAAAGTGTGTGGGACTGATCGTTATTTGCGCGCGCCTCTACTGCCATGACATCATCTTAAAAGCGCCACATTTTCAAACCCACAACACAGGAACAATGGAGACTATCGAGGGGATGGTGTTCCTGATTCTCGGTATGTGGTTGTTTTTAACTGCTAGACGGAAAAATGTGTTTAAAATGAGGCTGATGGCAGCAAAACAAAAATACTGCTAAAAAAAGTGTCTCGTGTCGCAAATCCAATGACGCTAGTAGTGACGCTGGTAGTGACGATTCTGTCTGACCAATCAGTGATCTGCAGTGTTTCACGTCACATTTTAGTACCGGTACGGTACGCTTGGAACCTCAACAGACCAGGTACCATTTAAAGCGACCCGAAGCGAACCGTACTGTACCGTACCATGCAGTGGAAAAGCACCACAAGTGAGACGTACCGAACCGAACCGTACCGTACTATGCAGTGGAAAAGCGCCTATAATGAACACAATGCTGTCCTCACCTCTTTCTTGAGACAATCACGCATTGCACGGTCCATATCATTACATGTCCCAAAGAACCTGAGGACGTTATGCTGAAGGCAGAGAAAGTCATTAATTACTTGCATGCCTGTTTTCAAAAAGAAAGATGTTTTGCACTTTTTTTTTTTCAATTAGTGCACAGGTTTTATAACAGATTATCTGAAGACAAGATATACCCACAATAAATGGTACAATCCACAAATGCGTACAGACATTTAAAACTTTTAAAGTGTACTTGCTTTTAAAGTATACAGGTTTAAAACAATAGTTTACTCAACAACAACAGAAAACAATATTATGCTTTATTTTTACTTACCCTCATATCTTACCTGTATGACTTTCTTCTGAGTTATTATAGGGTTGAAATTCTTCAGATGTCCTCCTTTTTCAGTTCACAGAAGAAAATCATACAGGTTTGGAATGACATGAGGTTAAAGGTAAACGATGTCAGGTTTTTTTTTTTTTTTTGGATTTCTGCATTCACAAAATTATTATTCAAATGATAGTTGATCACTGAATCATCTGTGGATTGTACATTTGAAGAAAAGGCATGTTTGCATGAGTAGATTTCCAAACCTCTTTGTGGCACTGTTTGAGAAGTGTTATAAACTGATTGCACTCGTCAGAATGCAGATGGGGTGACAGGTCCGGATGCATCCTGAGTTAAGGCTGTATGTCTTAAACTGTGACACCACTTGCCCTGCGGGTGACTATCATTGTTAAACCATGACCACCGTGAAGAACAGGAAAAAATAAAGAGTAAATGCCTAAAACTTTTCACAGTACTGCATTTAAGGTATTTCAAGCATTTTGGAGTTCTCATAGTTCTTCATAGTCCTTCTATGAATTTATGCTGTCCATTCATGTAATCCCAGATTCTATGATGGTGTGTGGGGACTAATGGTCAAGGGATAGTTCGCCCAAAAATGAATCAGACGAATACAATTGGAGCTATATATAAAATGTCCTGGCTCTTCCAAGCTCTCTAGCGGCAGTGAATGGCTTTATATTTTTCTCCATCAAAGTCCATCAAAGCGCATCCATCCATGATAAAAATGCTCCACATGGCTCGGGTGGGTTAATAAAGACCTTCTGAAGTAAAGCCACTGCTATTTACATTTGTGTAAGAAAAAAAATTCCATATTTAAAACTTGGACTAAAATAACTAGCTTCCAGCAGACGGTCGTACGCAAGAGTAACACTTGACCTGACGCACAACATAATGATGAACGCGGAAGCACAGAGGATAGAGCAAATCCTTTTTTTTTTTTTAAAGAGACATTTTTTAAAGAGAAATGTCAGAGGAGCATGAGTTTGTTCCCCATCCCTGTTTGTTTCAACCATGAAAGGCACCAAAGCTTATGCTACTCCTACATCATACATTGTCAAGTGTTACTCTTTTGGCGTAAATCGACTTGCATAGGCCGCCTTCCTGGAAGCTAGTTATTTTAGTTGATTTTTGGATGAACCATCCCTTTAAGACTTTTTTACAGTACTAGCATGTACAAACAAAATGTAAAGAATAGTTCCCCCCAAAATGAATTCAGAGGACTTGGATTAATCACTTAAATGTATACAGATTACTTTTACGTACATTTTGATGTGTAAACGTTTTGGTTGCATGGACTTTCAATGGACGGACAAAAATTATCAGATAAAATTAAATATATCCTCATTTGTGTTCTGTAGTTGTATGGAAATCATGTGGGTTTTAGAACATGAATGCTAGTAGTTGACAGATTTTTTTCTTTTTGGGTTTAGATTTTTATCCCATTAATCCAAATTCACTCAATCATATTTGAAAACAGAAAATGTGTATTGTGCATTATCCATTAACAAGGCTAAAACTGACAAACTTCTGTAAATGCTACGAATGCTGATACACTAAAAATAGTATATAGGTTTTTTTTATAAAATAAAATAAAATCAAAACAGAAAAGCAATTTGATATGACATTAAGGATACTAAAGCCTCCCCATCCTATACCATCACTCATTCTAAAATCCTCTGAAATCTGGGACACTTACCTGCAACAAAAAGAAACAATGTATTAGTATTAGTCCACTTAATAGTCTTTTTGTTTATTTTATACACTCTTTTTAAATCATAAAAACAAAAGATAAAAGTGGCATACACATTGGTTACTACAACTTTACACTTTCTGCCATGTTCGACAGAAGCTCTGAACAACTCATTTCAAACGGTTTTAAGTAATTTTGGGCTTAGATATATGTAAAATATATGTAAAATATCAAGTCATTTATTTTTTCTAACAGTGTGATTTCATAATTAGTCCCTAGGGTTAAGCACCTGTTGCCAATTGCCATAAGCGATTATGTTTTATTAATAATTTTGAACAAAGATCACTGGAATGTTTCTTCATTGGAAGGGCATTTGATACAAAGGCAAAGAATGTGAAGTTAGGTAGAAAGTTTGATCATATATAGAAATAAGGGATTTTTATTCAGTTTTAATTGCCTTAAGGTGCTCTCGCTTATGTGCTCTCATCATAAGCACATCAGTCATTTCAGAAATCACATTCAATTATAAAATAACGCTTTGGTGGGACAAAAATTTATTTATTTTCATATTCATAATATTGTCAATGCAGGAAACCCTTGCAAGAGGCTGTAATGGGACACAACAGTTTGTGATGTGCTATTCATCATTTTGACCACAAGATGGCCACAGATGCCCATTCTATTGATTTGTAACTATATACTGCTAAAATCCTGTATAAAATATCTAATTTTCATAAAGTTACATTTTTAAACAACTTTCTCCTCATCTTACATTGGAACAACAGAAACATTTTATATAAAAAATATGATTATTATTTTTCATTATTATTAACAGTTTTTTTTTCACTACTTTAGTTTCCTTGTAACTCCCAAAGAATTCTTAACTGCCATAGATGTTATTCTTAGGGGAGCTTGTAATACTTCTACAGGACACTATTAAAACACCAAAACCCTTCACCTGTTCTTTTAGATCTGTTTGAAATCCCAGTCAATTTTTATCTCAATCTTAATAACATAACTTTGGTGTTACAGTTGATTCAGAAAGTATTCAGACCTCTTTTTCACATTGTGTTGTTATGTTATAACCTTTAGGCTATTTAAAACATTAAATTCACAAATCTGGATGGTGCATGCATGGTGCATAGATTGATGTGAAAATAAATAATTTCAAATCACTTTAGCGGAAGGCTGCAATATAATAAAAAAAAAAAACTGGAAAAGGGAAATGAACACCTGAACATCCTAGGTCTCTTTTTCTTTTACTGCTTGAAGTTGTAACAATGTCGTACAGTATATAGTATTGGGATACATTTTTGACTGGAAAAGGTGTGGACACTGTCTTCTACTTTTATAAGAATATAATAATTACATTATATAATAATACATGTATACATTTTTGTTTTATACATTTTCTTATCGGGATAACTAATAACGTAAGGGTGTAGGCAAAAGTTTACACTGTCATTATCATTTTAAATTATTTTTTTTAATGTTGTTTCACTTTATACTTTTATACCTGGTGTTATACGGTGTTATTACATACGTGTTTTTTCTGTATTGTTCCCCGTTATTTAAAAAATTAAAAAGCCAACTAGTTAACGTTACACGGGTAGAAGGTAGAAGCATCAGTTAGCATAACGTTACACTTTGTAATTGACAGTCTAACAGTGTACATAATATTATTAAATAATAAAAACTCACCAATAGCCTTACAGACGGTTCATCTGACAACAGAAGCTGAATTGATAGCTCTGCAAATCAATGATCACTTCGATTCAGTTGTTTGTAGATCGTGAAGGGCAGCACAGTTCACGTGTTTACAGTGACATTGATCGACACTCAAATAACAAATAATCAGAAATGTATTTTGCTCTGCGGTCTCACGGATATGTCAGATATTTACTTGATAATACAATAAACACCTTTAAAACCCGCACTTTTCAACTAATCATTGCGTTATATATGTGGTGCATTGCGTTATATATGTTATGCACTGGTTATGCATTGCGTTCCTTACTCCGGAAAAAGTATTTTAACTGACAGCCACGGAAAACCAATCAAGCACACCGTTGTCATTCCTGCCGACCAATCAAAATTAACAGTGACTAAAAGACTTTTATTTCTTTGCGGACGCGCAAAATCCAAAATCTCACGACCTCTGCTGCCAAGTTGTAATGAGATTAAAACAATTAAACAAACATAGCTATCTTTGTCTTGAATGAATGAAAAAAATGAATTAACAATCATATATATTGTTTTTAAGAAATATAATTATTGTATACTATAACTATACAATATAATTATACAATAATGAGAATGATACAATAAAATATTACTGACATACATAAATGCTAATTTAATGTCAATAATACAAATCTGAACGTTTAGACTGCTTCAATAACAAATCTATGAATTGTTAGTAAGTTTGATCAGAACGATAAGAATTCTGTGGACAATTATATTTATTTAAAATTTTAACCTACCAACAAAAACAGTTAATGCAACATAACGACGAGCCAAAGAATGTAACTTAACGGTAGTATCCCATTTAATGATTTTGAAATAAAATGTTTTAAATAATAAATTAGAATTTAATGTTAATGATATTTATTGTTAATGTGTTTCACTTCACAGAAGCGAATGACCTGTTCCACTATCATCTGGTTAAACGGTGTTTTCTGACAAGCTTCAGCGTTGTTCTTTCTGAAGATAACACTAAATACCACAAAATAAACTGTTTCGTCAATATTCGCAATTACTCGTAAATACAACATGACTTGAACACACTCTGTAATTTTGTTGCACATGACTTTTATGCCTTTCGCTGTCTATGCTTTTATGTCACATCCGCTGTTGACCGGAACTTCCGGTTCAGATATCTGTTTGATTTCTGGCGGTTTGTTTTGAACGTCTAAAACGCAGAATATATGATGATGAATTATATTAACTGTTAACGGGGGGGAAAAAAATTTTGTCCACACAATGGACGCACAAGCCAGATCTGTTTTATATCGGATAATCCGGAAAATACCAAACAGAAATATAGAAAACCTTCTGAGGAGATGGAATTGTTTATCAGCCGAACAGCTGCGCGATCTGGATTACACGAGACCCAAATGGGTGATAGTGGAACATGTCATTAGTTTATGTGAGGTGAGATACATCATTAACATTAAATATAATTTATTATTTAAAACATTTTATTTCAAAATCATTAAATGGGACACTACCGTTACCGTATTTATTTATTTTTTTCAAATTTGAAGAAAACAGCGATTCAAGATTAAAATGTCAACAAAGTAAAGTTAACCTATTGGACCTAACAGTTAACGCAAACTCAGTAACGTTAGACAGATTTTGTGAAAGCTGTTACTTACACCTTTCATAAAAGCTGTCTACGTTACTGTGTTTGAGTTAGGTCAAATGTTTTTACATGGCCAGAAATGTGTGTGTGTGTGTGGGGGGGGGGGTTCGATATGCAACAACTGTTTTTAATTAAATATGAATCTTAGAATCAGAACGATTTACATCAGCGTAAATAAATGATTGTGTAAATCTCTCTCTCTCTCTCTCTCTCTCTCTCTCTCTCTCTCTCTCTCTCTCTCTCTCTCTCTCTCTCTCTCATTCTCCTTCTCTCTCATTCTCCTTCTCTCTCCTCATAGGAGAACAGACTTAGCCTGAAGCACGTCACTAATCTGGAAATGATCTGTGAGTGAAATGGCCTATTTTTTTTTCTTCTTTAAACGTGTTTTCAAATTTAAATGTAACATTACATAATCCCAGGCCCCATATCTGAATTTGATTGCCTCCATTAGATCGTATAGAAAATCCCGATCAAGGCATCTGGCACGCATGTCAGCTTACTGAGGCACAAGGTAAGGGGGATTTATGTATGATTTTCATTGTTAAATTGATTTGATTTTGAAGGAATGCACAATGAGCCCAGTTTGGTACATGTTAAGTATATGGTTTTACTTTACATATATAAATTCTTGTCTGAAATAGTTCATCTTGCTTTTCTCTACAGATGATGCAGTTTGTGTAGAGCTGACACAGTTTAAAGAGCAGTTTAAAGCACATTTGCATGGGGTCATTCGGCATGTAATTACACAATTTCATTTGGCATTTAAGCTTTCAAATCCAACTCAACTTTTCAGTTTAACAATTCAAAATGACATAACACTCGGTAGTCGTATTGACTAAAATCTTTTGATTTTACTTTTCAAGATTTCCATTAAGATGAAGAAACACGAAGATGAGGCTATATGGATTCGGATTGCCTGGGGAGACAACTTCAGCAAACCCAACCACCTTAAGCCAACTTATGTTGTGCACCACCTACACACTTCCTATGTGTTTATATCCAACCTCATGGCCAAACACAAGATCTTTCTATGCCAGGTGACTTTTGAACTGTCTCCATTTTGCTTCCTTTGCTGTCTTATTTGGTGGGAGATACTGTTTTAGGATAACTTATTTGATTTATACTGTATAACCAGACGCTGATGCAACTTGATACTGAAAGATTTGAAAATTATAATTCTCCCACCCCCCAAAAAAGTAAAATCTCAATTGTGTTTATTTATTTTCCTAGGCATTAGTAATAGCCACAAAACATGGCTCTATAAAGGATGGCCTCCTGAGCACCAAGAGTCTCACTGCAATGAGGGACTTGCTTCTGAGACGTTATCAGCAGGTAACCTATTGACTGGCAGCTTGTGGGCAAATCCAGCATATCAGTCTTTCTGAAAGATTAATTTAGATTTATCAGGCATTATCTGATATAATCTGAGCATTCTCTGCTCAAAACTCATGTGATTATCAAATAAATACTGGGATTAAAGTTTATAGTTTGGATATAAACACTGACGTCTACAGTAGTGATCAAAAAAGAGCAATTCACCTTTTGAAAGTAACTTGGTGCTTCAAAATAGATTTGTATGAATTACATTGTTACATTCACTAGGTATTACCAAGTGACTTATGAACATGATTTGTGAATTTTTATTTGTCATTTAATCATCCAAGAGATTAGTTCAAAAAAGGTTCATCCAGTTAAGTCTTAATGAATTTAATCATTCATTCACTGATTTAATAAATAAAATAAAAATCATTTAAATTAATTAAACATTTTTAAATAGACTGCAGCAATTAGCATGTTGTCAGAAAATCTAGTAAATTATATGTTATTTTGTGTAAGTATCATGATCTCGATTTGACACAAAAAATGGTGATTCTCAAATTATCCAGAATTGTGCTGCTCTAACCACATGAATGCATGTGATAGTTTCCAATCATATGTGGGCAGCTCTGACATAATTCACATCTGGCATAACCATGTACCTCCTATGCTGTTTACATTCGGATCAAGAGACCCTCTCACTCAATACCATTGTCTGGTAGACACAACAATTATGTCACTATTGGATTTTGTTCTCAAATTGAAATGAAACATTTTGAATCATATTGTTTCTGATTTTTCAAAGTAAGATTGACATGTCTTACAGACCAAAGAGTGATATTTCTTACATAAAGACTAATCTTATTTGATAAGTACTGATTTTTTTTTTTTTTTTACACTGATAGGTTTTTCCAAATGCTCATTCAAGGCCCCTACAAGAAAGAAACACTCTCCCATCACGTATGTACATGTTTTTATGTTTATGTCTTTTACATGCACACAAATCAGAACAATACATATTTACAATCTCTGGCAATGTATACAGTTTTGTTACTTATGTTTTGCCAAGGTTAAAATAAAATTGCTAAACAGTGCTTTTTAAAAACATTTAATTGTGAATTCCAAATATTTTGCTAAATTAAAAAGTAATGTGTATATAGGGACATCCTTGCTTTATCTGACTAGAAATGGGCATCTTCCCTACAAGTCAGTAGAGCTTTTTGGAAACGAGGCAACAACAAATTGAGATATCAACAACAATGCTAGGGAAAACATGCCGCAATTTGGAATGAGAGCTTTAGGATTCACCTTAACAGGATATTAAACCAAGGAATACACCAAAAGCACACTAGTTTATAACTAAAATGTAGTAATCCAGTCAAAGATCTAAATCTTACATTTTTTAATTTTCTTGATGATCCATATTAAGGGATAGTTCACCCCAAAATGAAAATTCTGTCAGTAATTACTTACCCTCATGTTGTTCCAATCCCGCAAGACTTTCGTTCATCTTCGTAACACAAATTAAGATTTTGATCAAATCTGAGAGCTGGATCACTCCTCCACAGGCTCCTAAGGGATTGCTTTGCATAGGATTTGCGTCAGAAGTGGCGTATGGATGAAACATAGGACGTGCGTACGCACAGAAATATTTGGATTTATAAAACCGTGCACACGCACATCCTACGCATTTTCCCTTAATAAATCACTATCAATTCTAAATGTAGCGCAGCTTTTGCGGCTTCATGTCACGCCCATAGTTGCCCATAAATAGTCCGTAAAACGCCCACAAGTTAATATTCATCGATTGTGAAATCATGTTAAACACAGAGAGGAAATAAAAAACGTAACTTCACTCAATGTGAAGTAGAAATTATCATTGGCGAGGTGAAAAAGAGGAGAAAGATGTTGTTTGGAGGGCACAGTGTGGTCATTAGTAATGCCAAAAAGGCACTTGAGTGGCAAAAGGTTGCAGACGCCGTAAATGCTGTAGCCTCACAACCTCGGACTGTGGCCAAAATAAAAAAGAAATGGTCGGACGTCAGAGTCGAGGCAAAAAAGCGTCTAGTCATTAATTCAATTTGAGAGGTGGCCAAGGAGTTGGGCGAAATCAAGACTGTCCTAACTGAAATAAACTGCACAATGAGGGAATTCTTGAATAAATAATATATTTTTTCCACACCTTTTGTTGTGAAGATGATGCATTCACTCCGAATCCTTCCATTTAATCGCCACATCTTCTAAGAGCGCAATATCAGCCATTGTGTGTCATTACGCATTGTGATGGGGCATTTTATTTACATCCATTTAATTCTGCATCTGACAAGCTACGGATGTCGGTTATAATCTACTTGGAAATGGGAAATAGTTCAGCGCAAATGTAATTTCTGAATGGTTGAGGCATACGTCATACGTTATTTTATCAAAAAATAAAACAAACTAAAGGCATGCATGAATAGGCTACCATGATTCCGTAGATTATGAAGACGTTTTTACTATGAAAACAACTTTCCTCAGTTGACAAATAATACATCTATCTATTTATCTATCTATAGGCCTATATCTCCCTAATTATTTATCTATCTGACTGACTATCTAATTGCTATATCTGCTCCGTTAGAAAGACACATTGGCGAGAATATCAGTTTTGTACATTATTTCGTTCTGTTTACCATCTTATTTATGAGGATGAATTGTGTAACATGCCAATATTATTGCAGAACATATTTCACTTTCTTTTTGGAAATAGGCCTATGTGTTAATTTGCATTTCTGTTACAGATCGATCAAACGGGTGTTCGTGTAGGCTGTTAATTGTAAGACTTGCTTTGTGAAGTCTTCGTGTTATTTATGACAGGCAGTATTGCCATTTATTTTACAGAACCTTCTACAGTTTCACACACTTTCACGTGTTTTTTCCAACTGCCGACGGTGTCGCCATTTCTCATTTCACCTGTTTTTTGTGCGTACGCCTGGGTCAGTGCTTGCGTGAAGGACCGCACATTTTACCGTCAAGTTTGCTTTTTATAAATACCAACTATTGCGTAGAGAGCGGTGTACGCCTTCTTTTGTGCGTGCGCAATGTTTATAAATGAGGCCCCTGGTGACTACAGTGACTCAATCTTAAGTTAGCGACGAGAATATTTTTTGTGAGCAAAAAAACAAACAAAAATAAAGACTTTATTCAACTATTAATTTCCTTCTCTGGAAAACAATTTGGGATGGGAGGATTTTATTTATTTTTTTCTTTCCCTCGCAAAACTTTTGCGTTCCCCCAAGATACTTTGTTCCCTTGCAAAACTTTTGCATTCCCTCGCAAAGATATTTGCGTTCCCACACTAAAACTGTTGTGAACTCGGATAGACACTTCCTGTATCATGTCGCTGGCAGTGTTTCAGACTGCTCTGTATGTTGACAATGGAGCGTTTCATAAGCCCCTTTCACACAGCGCGTTGATCCCTGGAATTGCCTGTGTGAACGCGAATACGACCCGGGATTGATACCGGCATCGATGCCGGGTTGAGGACCTAGTAACATTGACCGAATCAGTCCCGTAACGCGTGCTGTGTGAAAAAAAGCCAGGACCAATGCTGTAAGGGGTGTGTCATAGTGATGACGCTCGTGCGACTCTGTTGCTCTTAGAAGAAAGTTTGTGTCCGTCATCCACAAAGAAAGGACGAACAAATGTCTGCAAACTGGAACGAAGCAGAGACCAGGAGCTCCTCACTATCCGTGCTGAAGCTGAGATCGTTCGCCAGCTTTGTGGAATGGTATGCGCGTGTGTATGTTTTCGACACGTACGTTACACGTCTCATCCTCACGTCATGTGTCTTTCCGGGATCTTTCCGGGTTGTGTGTGAACGCACTCACAGATCCCGGCAAATCACTGGTAGTGTGAATGAACCGAAATCAAACAATCCCGGGACAAATGCCGGGTCACATTATCCGTGTATTTTCCAGAATCTCTGTGTGAAAGGGGCTATAGTGTTTGAACTTCGACTCAAATATAAAGAAATGCAGTCAGAGTGCTTCAAGGAGTTCAGTAAAGTTGGCAATATATTCACAGTTTCGAACTTCCCGGATCAATAACTCGCGAGCTTAACATTTTTAAAACACAAATTACACCCATTTACAATCACAGTAACGTAGACAACGAGCCACAACCCAATTTTCCTCAAAATGAGCCTTATAATATAAATTGATCTCTATGAGTAGGCGGCTTAAGTCCGAAGCGACCGTCTGTGCAATATAGTGCAATATAGCCCAAAAAACTTGACTACAAAAATAGTAATTAACTTTAATGTTACACACTGTAGTGTCACCAAATTCAGTTTACACCTCAATGGTTTCCCACTGGTCATAATACTAAGTGTAATATTATGACCAGTGGGAGACCATTGAAGTGTAAACTGAATTTGGGGACACATAAGCCCCTTTCACACAGCGCATTGATGCCGGGAAATTGCCAGAAAGCCTTCTGTGTGAACGCAAACACGACCCGGGATTGATACCGGAACTGATGCCGGGTTGGGGACCTAGTAACATTGCCGGGATCAGTCCTGGAACGCGCGCTGTGTCAACAAAAGTGACAACAACCAATGCTGTAAGGGGTGTGTCATAATGATGACACTCGTGCCATCGCACGACTCTCTTGCTCTTAGAAGAAAGTTTGTGTTCGTCATCAACAAAGAAAGGACGAACAAATACCTGCAAACTGTAGCGAAGCAGAGACCAGGAGCTCCTCACTATCCGCGCTGAAGCTGAGATCGTTCACCAGCTTTGTGGAACGGTATGCGCGTGTTTTCGACGTGTACGTTATACATCTCATCTTGACGTCATGTGTCTTCCCTGGATTTTTACGGGTTGTGTGTGAACGCACTCACAGATCCCGGCAAATCACTGGCAGTTTGAATGAACCGAAATCAAACAATCCCGGGACAAATGCCGGGTCACATTATCCGTGTATTTTCCTGAATCTCTGTGTGAAAGGGGCTATACAGTGTGTAACACTTTTGGCAAGTAATAGCACATAAAAAATAAGTAGGCATATTCTTTACACAAATGATATTGTTAGTGGTACGCAGCTAACATATTAGTTACAACCATAGCTTTTGCATGATAATTTCTTACTGAGTCTGATGGTATTACACTGTATAACGGTGAAATTATTGATTTTTGTTTCATAATAAAAAGGATGCTTTTTTACAAACTCTAACTGTTGTAGTATAACCAGTAGGAGACCAGTGATGTGTGAACTGAATTTGGTGACAGTACAGTGTGTCACTAGCCTGGGTTTTCCCATGCTGCCTTGCCGCAGCGCGATTTTATTCACAATGATGCGTGGTCTGGCATCAGCCAGGCTAGTGTGTCACAGTGAAGTTATTGAATATTTTTCATAATATAAAATGTGCAAAAGGGTTTTGCACTTTGCAGGTGGTCCCTTATTCGGACGTGTCTTTCAATCGCCTGCTTAGAGACATTAAAGGTATAGCGGAGGATTTTCTTTTTCCGGGTGGGTAGTCTATATTATTGGTCCACCTAAGTGTCAATCATTCTGGTGATATGTTTACTTAAGGCCATCGTACGTGCTCATCCCTATGTAGTTTTCACTTTCAGGTGTATTATGTCGGAGTTACAGTTTCAGCCATTCCTTTGAAAATGGCTGAGGGTCGAAAGACAAAAAAATGTATAAGAAGTGTATGATAAGAAGATAAAGGCCGCAGAATATAGAAACAAGACCAGAGTGATTTTGGATGAATATCACACGCTGGCGTGCGCTAAAAGCACAGATTGGGCTTCTCCTATGGTCGCGAAGATTCTACTAGACAGGTAAAGTTTTGCTGTTTGGAAAAGTCCATTTAAAATCACTAGTAAAAGTTAATGCAAGCTACTTAGCAATGCTAGCCCTGGCACAAGTCATGCACCGCATAGACATGGTAAACATCTCAATTTGTCTAAAGTAGCCTTTTGACCAAATGGTATCGCGCTGAAATACTCTAAAACCTTGTGTGTTCATATTCTAAAACCTTGTGTGTTTATTATTACACAAATGCAACAAGCTACTTCTCCATTACATATGCAACTATAAAAATAACGTATTAATACCTACGTATTAACAATGACACATATTAGGTTAAGGACCAACGTAATAGCACTGCTTATTGCCATGTAACGTAATTGTGATTTGCAAAATAGTTTCCTCTGAACGTATTTAGTGTGATAAAGGGTTGTACATATTCTGTCTTGAGTCCTCGGTCACTCAATCGATCAGTATAATAAGTAAATAAAACACGGAAGGGCATTAGACATTTTGTCTATTTTATGAATGTTTTTTAGTTAGTTTATAATTTGCAACATAATTGTGTAAGGCGTAATAGGCGTTCCCTCTCGGGAGCAAGAGTGTTGTGTTTGTGCATGTGCATTTTTTTTTTTAAAAATGGAGAGGGCGGGTCTTCTCTAAAATTCGGAAAGATCCTCCGCTATACCTTTAATATTGTAAAGCTCCTTTTAAGGAAAATTGGGTTGTAGCTCGTTGTCTACGTTACTACGATTGTAAATGGGTGTAATTTGTGTTTTAAAGTTTAGCTCACGAATATTGATCCTGGAAGTTCAAATCTGTGAATATATTGCCAACTTTACTGAACTCCTTGAAGCACTCTCACATCATTTCTTTATATTTGAGTCCAAGTTCAAACACTATGAAACGCTCCATTGTTAATATACAGAGCAGTCTGAAACACTGCTAGTGACATTATACAGGAAGTGTCTGTCTGAGCTCACAACAGTTTTCCCGTGGGAACACAAACATTTTATGAGGGAATGCAAACGTTTTTGGGGGGAATGCAAACGTTTTTGGGGGGAATGCAAACGTTTTTTTTTTTTTTAATTCTCCCATCCCAAATTTGTTTCCACCACTTACGACTTCAGTAGTGTTCTTAATGTTGAGTTGCAGACATTTTCATTTGAATTTAGAACAGTTCTATGCTATGCTGTTGTAAAATATGTACATTGGGCAATTATCGGGCTTATTTGCCTACTAATAAGTAGGTACAGCCCCCACCATCATTTAGATTTTTTTAATAGTAATAAATATCATTTACTTCAGTTTACATCCGTAGTGAATAAGCATGATATATCTTTCAACTTATTTATAAATAATCTATTTTTTTATTTTATTTTTTTTTTTTGCTGGACTTTTTACAGACCCCTGTATTGGAAAGGAACACAAGGACCATGAAGAGAGAAGACATCAGATGGCCTGTGAGGTGTTTGGACATGGGGCTACACCAAAGCTAGAATCCGCTGTGTATAGAGTGAGTGTGTAAACCTCTGATCTCACATAAATCCCTTTAGATTGAATATCAGTTGTTTGTATTATAATGAAATATATTTTTACAGTAAGCGATTCTTTTGAGAAAGGGTATTGATATTTGAAATCACCAAAACACACCCATATCTTCATAGCTCTGCCCCCACAAATTCACAAACACCCTGTGCAATACAGGCACCTCCCCTCTAATGAGTAACTGCTGATTGGCTACAAATGTGTTTTGGTGCTCGTTCTGATCCACTTTCAACAGCGTTTTTCAGAAATCGCTTACTGCACCTTTAACCACATGTACACCTAAACAAGCTTTTTGACATTTATAAATGTGCTTTAGTTACATGAATCCTCTGTTTTTGTCTCAGCTTGAGACAAGGTACAAAGGAAATGGCAACTACACCCAAAGTGACAAAGAGGAGTTCTTCAGAGGGGTGGTCAAGTTCTCAAGCAGCAGTCTGTTAGAGTCCTTGCGCCACTGTGTTGCTTCAGGTGAGGAACCAAAACCCTTTCCTTTGACTGAAGTCAAAATCAAGTCTCTTGAGGACAGGGAGTATATGAACATAAAACTCATTTGATAATGGTTTTAAAGGAACACTCTGACTTTTTGGGACTTTAGCCTATTCACCTTATCCCCCAGAGTTAGATAAGTCCACACATACCTTTTTCATCTCCGTGCGTGCTATAAGTCTGTTTGACGCACCCACCGCTAGCCTAGCTTAGCACAAAGACTGGATGTGAATGGTTGCAGCTTTCATACTAATCCAAATGAGTGACAAAATAACGCAAACGTTTTCCTATTTACATGTTGTGGTTTGTATAGTCACAGATTGTACAAATATCAAGGCCATATGAGACACAGACATCTTTTAACCGTATAAATACTATATTTTCTGAAGGCGAAGCACTGCTACTTGGGCAGAGTGATGACCATCACCTGAGACGCACCGTAACGAGGAGCAGAGAGTTCGCTCAGTGTTGGAGTAAAAAGTCAGCAATTACTAACGTTAGATAGAAAAGCATAGTTTATCATGGGTGTTTGCTTTATTGTATGAGCTGTGACAATAAACGGGGGAGACCAGGTAATAAAGCATCATGATCAAATCTGAGAGCATCATGTTTCATTGAATTCCAACGAAAAACGCATCCAGATTTATAAATATCACAGAACATGAATAAATAATTATTATTACAGGAATCAATATATTTTAAATGCAATTTATTAGCTGAACCAAAGGAAAGTAATAGCACAAATTGTTTTTGCACAATGAACTCACAGCCTATCGTACCCTTTTGCACGCTCAAGTTCGTTATTTCCATGGTTATTTCAAATTTAGGCTATAGGCGCGCCGCGCGCAGGGTGCAAGTTCAACGCGCTCGTTTTTTTCCAAGCGCGTCCGCACCGCATCAAGATATTCATAGCCTAATCATATAATAGTGTCATTAACGTTACATTAGATCTGGCTAATGGCACTGTTACAGTAGGTCATCATCTAAAAACATAACGGAACACTTACCTCAGCCGCAAGTGATCCACTTGTCCTGTCTGTGCTATCGATGGGATGGCCGTATCCTTCAGCACATTATGGTCCGTGTGGCAAATTCCATTTTTTCAAAAAAGTCGTCCTCATTGAAATGTACCGAGCAAACATAATGTCCCTTGATAATCTATTTAGGTGTGTTTGGATCAATATCCAGAGTAAGTAAGTTAGCCATTTCTTCATCCAGTCAGCGTTTTTAGTTGGAATTCTGTGAAACATGGTATTACCTCCCCTGTTTACTGTCGCAGCTATTTACAATAGAGCGAAAACCCATGACTGTAAACTACGCTTTTACTATTTATAAATTGCTGACTCTGTTACCCAAACTCTGAGCGAACTCTCCGCTCCTCACCACGGCGTGTCTCAGGTGATGCGGTTATCACTCCTTCAAAGTAGCAGTGCTTCGCCTTCAGAGAATAGTTCCCAGGTTTTATACGGTTAAAAGATGTCTGTGTCTCATTTGACTTTGTTATTTGTACACTCTGTGACTATACAAACCACAACATGTAAATAGGAAAACGTTTGCGTTATTTTGTCACTCATTTGGATTAGTATGAAAGCTGCAACCATTCACATCCAGTCTTTGTGCTAAGCTAGGCTAGCGGTGGATGCGTCAAACAGACTTATAGCACGCACGGAGATGAGAAAGGTATGTATGGACTTATCTAACTCTGGGGGTTAAGGTGAATAGGCTAAAGTCCCAAAAAGTCGGAGTGTTCCTTTAAGCTGTTACATTGTCCATCACCAAGGTGTATTTACAAGTATTGTCTGGCATTGCCCATGCTTCTCAGTCATACACAAACTTTAGAACCTAGTTTTTATTTTCTCCTTCACTGCAATCAATAAAGTATTTATTTAATATATATATTGGCAGGCATGGCTGAAGGTCCTGTCACTCCGCTGTTGTCTGCCATCACTCAGAGGGGAAGGAATTATTTTGTCATCACAGACAAAGGCCCTGGTGTTTCTAGCCAAGCATCATCACAGAGAGCCTGATGACAATTGACATTGCTGAGGAAAATCAGTTCAGCTAGGATGGGCAAACATGAGAATATATTGTGCCACCTGCATCCTGAAAAGATGAGAACGTTGGAGAAGACATTTGTGTAATCTTGGCGACATCAGCATTGTCCCCTAATCTGATCCAGCAGTAAGAATGTTTTTTTTTTTACAATTAACCTATATATATATATATAACACATATATAGGAAATATAGCATGTATGATTTTAGTGTCATTTTAGCATTGTTTTAAATAAAGTTTTTTAAAAAAGAAAATTGTAATAACAGTTATTTTAAATATAATTTAGTCTGAATTTAGTCCTTTTCAAGCTGTGTAATGTACAATTGCACATAAAAAAGTTATGGTAATTTGTATGAAATCAGAATTTAATCTACTTCCCATGCACATGCAATCGGGCAGTCAATATTGTATGACAGGATTCATTGATAAATGTTGAAAATGGAAATTCAAATTTCATTCATACTTGCAATTTTGGGTTACGCTTTATATTAAGGTGTCCTTGTTACAGTGTAATTATACCAAGCTCTGAGTAATATTAATTAGTTAAAAAAGTCTTTGTATAGGGTTATTTGCATGTGATTATACACAATTTATTATAACTACAGCAAGTACATGTAATATATGTAACAAGGACACTAAAATGAAGTTACCCTTTGTGTCTTAGGTCCTTACAAAAAAGATCTTTCCTTTACAATGCCATACAGTCATCATTGCTAAAATAAAAGCGGTAACTTGGTTTTGAAATCATGTGTCACTGTCTTCCATGTAAGAGTAGAGAAAATGTGTTGAAAATATGCTATAAAACTGTTAACACAGTTTTTATCTTAAAGAGATAATCCATCCCAAAATAAAAAGAGAAAAATGAGAAAATTAGCCCATCTCTGTCAGTCCACAATATTGTAACTCAAAGGTTGTCGCTTAAGTAACCACTAATCATGATGTTAAGTCATACAACTAGTGGATGAATTCATGAAAGTCCTCTGAAGTGAATCAATCAGCGTGTGATGAAAATAATATTTTAAACTTGTGTAACCCTTTTTTTTTTCTGGCCATCTTTCATAAGCACGTTCATGTTTCATGCTTGACATAAATGTCAACAAGTTGTCAAGCTTGCACATGACATGGCGGACCTCTGTGCTTCCCTTTCTTCTCGTATGATCTTTGCAACTTGGTAATGTAATTCTTGCAAGACTCTTATGAATGTGCAAATGACATGCTAGAACATGACATGCTTTTTTTTTCCATTTTTTATTAAAAACAGAATTGTTCTTTAAGACCTATGAAGTAGTAAAATGTGACGTCACGTCCATATGTGACATTTTCCTAAATGCTGCAGTAAAATGGTTTGATATGATGTGTGCATACTGTAGATTTTTCTACGTATAAGAAATTAGGTTTTTATGTGTTTAAAGTATTCATATGACGTATGCATGTAGTATGGGATGTCCCCTAAAATAACTGGCCATTGTTTTTTTTTTTTTTACTTGAAGTATGAAAAATGTGACATATCTCCAAAAATTTAATGCATGTATGTGTGGGAATGTTAGAGTTTAGTCTAGTTAATAAAGTCTTTTTCATATCACATTTAAAGTTGTCCGTGTCTCTACTTACTCGTAGTAGTACTTAGTAAGAAAGACATCCCCCACAAGTGCAAGAGAGAAAAGGAAGATGTGATGGTGGAGGCTGTCCTCTTTCTTCAGAGCTGCCGAAAAACAGGCTCCAGATAACAGGTCAGGGAGAGGTGAAGCAGCAGCAGGATGAGGGAGAGAAGAGGAACGTAGCATGGGCAGAAAGAAGTAGTGATGGTAAATTACACAGACCATCTTATGAGAATATGTTTATCTTGATTATGTACATTTAAAACTTAAGCAATCACCTATATATAAATATTCATTAATTGAAAAATAATTAATTTTAGGGAACATTGCTCTCCTATAGAATGAAGTATTTAATGCTCTTATCCATATTTTATAGGGTTATTAATTAAAATACAGTCATTAAAACTCACAATTATATGAAAATTAGTTTAAATAAGTTTTAGATTAAATACAGCATGTCACAAAACACTGCTCTCACAGACACAGTTTGAAACATCATGTATTTGTTTGTCTTTTAATAGACTACATCTTCATTCGCTCTACAGTTTTCACCCTGACTCAATTTCATCACTTCTGATATAGCCCTCCTTGTGTATTTTACGGTGTCTACACACACGCACATTACATTTTGATATGTTTTAGCTTACCTCAAGGGCATCCAAGATGTAGGTGTCTTTGTTTCCACAGTATTTTCAATTTTGACATTTTTCAGTCAAACCGTTGTTGTCTATAAGCAGAGCCGGACAGTATCGGAGTACATTTACTTGAGTACAGTACTTAAGTACAATTTTAAGGGATCTGTACTTTACTCAGGAATCATTTTTGGGGAGTACTCATGACTTTACTCAAGTATATTTGAGAGGGAAATATTGTACTCTTTACTCCAATACATTTCTATCCATAACTGTGAGTAAAAAGTAACTACTTCTAAAAAAAAAAAAAAGGAAATAAGAAAAATCTCGGAAACCCTCAAATTGTTGTTTCCCTCTCAAAATGATTGGATTGTGTAGGGCAGGCGACACTGATTGGGACAACCTATCAGCAATCACCTTCAGCTTTCCACCAAAGTCAACTCCATGGTCAGATTTAGATAAGAGACCAAACCATGGATGAAACCAATGGATGCAGCAGGTCCATCCGGGGAATGTGTCAGCCCGTGGCCCCATCTTGCCAGACTATTTACATTTTCTGAATTTTCTTAAATGTTACGTAAAGCAACATGGTAAAAAGATGAATACAACTTGATTTTACTTTCAATTCCTTTTACATTCTCCAAGGTATAACTTTAACATTTTTCATAACTCCATGTAGGACGTTTCTGTCCATAAATGCACTAGCTGTGGCAGTTGTAATGCAATATTTAGAAAATGTACTCTTGTACTCTTGATACTCAAGTACTTTTAAAAACAAGTACTTTTACTCAAGTACACATCTGACTGTAGTACTTTTACTTGTACTTGAGTAAAATTTAGCAAGGGGTATCTGTACTTTTACTCAAGTAATAAAGCTGTGTACTCTGTCCGCCTCTGTCTATAAGTCATACACTGGAGGCTAAGGGGGTCCACCAAAAAGCATGCACAGAGAAGTCAAAATTAAACATGATTTAATGACTCATAAATGTAAGTACACATTGATGGCCTAAGACACGAAACGAGCGGTTTGTGTGAGAAAACGAACAGTATTTATATCGTTTTTACCTCTTGTAATCATAGCCATGACAAAATGATCTGACGGCACGGGCGCTTCGGTCTGCACATGCGCCGGAAGTGATCGCTTGCGCGCCGACGTCACTCTTTGTCTATACAGAGATTTCGAAAGTTTTACCTTTCACTAAACAAATTTAAATATACGGGAAACCGCAATGGAAGACGATTTCGGTATATCTAAATATGTTTAGTAAAAGGTAAAACTTCCGAAATCTCCATGTAAATATTGACTGACGTCACACGCAAGCGATCACTTCCGGCGTAACATTGAATTGATTCGGTTCGGTTCAGTTGGACATTGCACAACTGATTCAGATCACTTGGACGTCACTGTGATTACATGAGGTAAAAACGATATAAATACTGTTCGTTTTCTCACAAAAACCGCTCGTTTTGTGTCTTAGGCCATCAATGTGTACTTACATTTACGAGTCATTAAATCATGTTTAATTTTGACTTTTCTCTGTGCATGCTGATAGACAACAACGGTTTGACTGAAAAATGTCAAAATTGAAAATACTGTGAAAACAAAGACACCTAGATCTTGGATGTCCTTGAGGTAAGCTAAAACATACCAAAAATTAATTTCAAAGTGAACTATCCCTTTAATTATTTGTTTTGTTCATAAGGTGGCCGTGAAACGTCACCACACAAAAGATACTGGATGCTTATTCTATGTACCCAGATAGCAAACTGACATTGAATCAACGTGGAAACAACGTCTCTCATGACATTGAAACAACGTTGATTTGCTCATCGAATTAACGTTGAACCAACGTCAGACGCGGCATTCTTCAAAGCTAAATGAAATCGAAAATTGGTTTGCTTTCATAACGTTGAAACAACGCGTTGATTTCAAGTTGATTTTGCGTTAGTTTTGAAAGAATGACGCATCTGACGTTGGTTCAACGTTAATTCGATGAGCAAAACAATGTCAGATCAACGTTGTTTCAATGTCATATTTCCACGTTGATTCAATGTCAGTTTGCTATCTGGGTAAGTAGGCTACACAATATAAAACATTCATCACAGACATTGTTTTTTATTATTATTAAAAAACTGGTCCAAGACTGATCTAAATCCTTGTTTGGGAAACCACCTCCATCTTCTAGCCTGATCATCCAAATCCCCTTCCAAATAGAGATCGCCCATCCTGGTGAGTAAAGGACCCTGACCACTTTGTTATGGTCCTCAAATGTCCCTCTCCCTGCGAGAATCTGGTCCAGTTCATGAGGCAGGCGGCTCATGCACCCAACGTGTGCTGCATTCGCAGAGAACTCCACCGTGACATAAAACTGGACAATCTATCTATTAACAACGAGACATCTGAAGTCAAGCTGATTGACTTGAGGAGTTCGCAGTACATGTCATTCTCTGGCATGTATTGTCACTTAAAGCTGCAGTTCGGCACTTTAACTCCTGTGATGAGTTAGGCGGTAAAGCAAACGTATCAGACAAAATATATTTCCTCCAGGCACAGCAGCGTACTGTCCTCCACAGTACCATGTCAGGGGAAAGTACTTCGGCAGGCAGGCGACGGCATGGTCACTATGGGTTCTGATGTTCGTGATGTTGAGTGGATATTCCCCTAATGACTATGACATGCTGCTGCTGAAATGGGAGCTCTGGTCCAAACCCAACCTGTCAATAGGTGAGATGAGATCTAGAATTAATAATTCATAATCATACAAAACATCTTAACATAATCCAGTAGAGTTTAAAAAGTAAAGTTTAAGGTAATAATCAGACTCTCTCCGTCACCTCCTGGCTCTCTTAAAGGACAAGCCAACGTTCGTCGCGACGTTCTTTCACGTCCCTCGGCCGTCCTGCTCACCACAGTAGTGAACCTAAGATCAGCTAAAAAATCATTTTATTTTCTCATAGGAAGAATTTGTTAAATCAAATCTGTCTTTTTTCTGTTATGTTTCAGGTCATCACATAAGGCCTCTCCAGTTGGTGTCTCTCGTGCAGATCCATCCCTCCTCAAGGCTTTGCATCTTACCGGTTGAGCAAGGCCTGTGTAGCATCTTGCGCCTGTTATAGAAAATTTCAATGTTTTTAATATTCTTTTCTTTGTACTTTTATTTTCCTTTTCGTTCCACATTATGAGGTTTGTTCCTTTTTCAATTAAAACGTGTTTCTCCCCTTTTACTCTGTATTTACATAGCAGGAACTCTCTCACACACACAGCCAAAGATATGCTAAAGGCTTTTGTTTATAGACAAGGGAACCACCGCATTATAAAGCCTTTTGATCTCATCAACTTTTGATCTCACAGGAGTAAGGGCAGTAAAAACACCATGGGGCGAGGGGCAGGTCATTGACTTTTGCTCTCACAGGAGTAAGGGCAGTAAAACACCATGGGGCGGGGGGAAAGGTGTATAAAAGCTGTCTGTACTATATGTCATTTAGGTCTGTGTTCCTATCGCGAGGTAGCTGTCGCGGTATTTTTGTGAACAAGCCTCCTTCAAAAGAATAAACATCTTTTGAAGTACAATTTGAATCTAATGTCTCTTACTATGATGCTGTTTGTTTGTTAAACTGTTTTTGCCACAACACGCCTTGGCTTGAGCGAGCAGGTTTTGCGTCTGGCGGTACTGCTTCCGACAGTATCTGTACATATTGTATTTGTACATACTTCTTTTGATTGCCCCTTTTTGATTTGGTTTGCACCATCCTGCATCCAAAAGGATTCCATCATGGCCATTCATTACTGAGGTTCCTGTCACAGTCTTCTGAATGCCAGTGCTTTCTGCCTCCACCTGTGCCTCTCTGATGATGACAGAGCTCCCTTTCCCGGTAACAAGGATCCTGATATGACTGCCCAGTTCCGTCTGTGTCTGCCGCCTCAATGCCAGTGCTCCCAATCATGGCTGCCCCTGTGATTCATGCCACAGGCACACCAAAGATTCCTTTTCTTGCCACAAAGTCAGCACTCAAGACCATCTTAGCCACAGTGGTATCCAAGATCCTAGTTATCACCATCCAGTCTCAGAGGTTTCTGTCTGGTCCACCCTGTCCCAGAAGTTCCCATCATTTCTGCCTCACAGTCAGTTAATAATTCTGGCCACTGCCGGCCCAGAGGTTTATGTCGCTCTGTTTCTGTTTCCATTTCAAGCTCCCTACCCTGTCTGTTCAGGACCAGGGGTTCTTGTCATGGCTGTACGGTCCTAGAAGTTCTTGTCATGGATGCCTCAGAGGTTCAAATGCCAGAACTCAACCACTGGTGCCTGAGAAGCCCTGATTTTCAGGCTTGCAGTAATGCCAGAGCTTCTGCCAAGGCTCCTTGTCTTGATCGTCCTGAGCTCCATTTGTTTCATTCTGGGTGTCCAAAATACATGTTAAAAAAGTCTGAATTTAATATTTGCATTAAATCATTTATCAAATGCTTTAACCCAAAGCAACTCACTATACAAATGGGGAACATCACAAACAAATTTTCTCCTTACAATACTCAAGGTAACACACCATATCAAACTTTTGAAAGTTAGAGTAGCCGTACAGAGTAGACGCTACAAGTGAAAATGCAGGTAGGTAAAAAGCAAGAAACAGTAAAAGTGTTTTAATTGATTTACAGGAAGTGCCTTGTGACTTTGTACCTTATTGTGATAAAACCATAGTTGCTGTTCGCTCTCGAAACAGCTAAGTTTGGAGAGAACATGATCAAATGACACAAAGTATTCCTTTAAATCTTTTTATATAGTCAAAACTTTAATAGATAGAAAGACAAAGATGCAAAATGATTAGGTGAGGGATAATGTACATCCTGCCCAACGTGAAGCAGAGGGGTCTTGCATCGCTCTGATAGGGTTTATTCTGCGATAACAACTGGCTGGATGTACAGTACATGATTACTTTTATAACACTGCCACACAAAAAAATAATTTGACATGTAATATTGATCTACATGAATCAAAGTATTTTATTAGGTCTGGCCTTGAAATTCGTCCTTCGACCTAAACTTTTTCTTAGATTTATTTATTTATTTATTTTTTATTTAAAAAATATTACCTTTTGGTAAGGCACTAGAAATGGCTCAGTGTCCTCATGCTATTAGCATAAATGCTATGTGGCCATATGCCATAGCCTATATTTAATAACTCTTTGCTTAAAAACTCAATCCTGTTACTTTCAGTCCTGTTACTATTTTTTTTTCTAAAAATAAAATAAAATTAAACTACTATTTTTTATCAGTTTTTTTTTAATTCTAATATATATATATATATATATATATATATATATATAAACAAACTTGAGGCTTCGGTCTTCTTTAAAATGAAAAAATGGCTTTGTGTTTTTTGTTTTTTTTGTTTTTTCAATCAAAATATTGTACACCGATAGTGATTATCATTTTTTTTTTTGAACATATAACCAACAATTTCTTTAAAATAAATACTCGCTTTTTAAATGACACGTTATTTTCGGTAACAGGATTGAGAAAACATGCGCCCATCTTCTGCTTAAACCTTGTTAAAAATAAAATAAAGTTGCCTGACATTGACCAATACACATTTGAATAGTTAAATATTTGTAGTATTAGATTCAATGTTAAAAAAGATAAAAATAAATAAATAAAATAAAAAGTTTATTTTTGAAGAGTTGCAACAAGCAAATGTCACACATTCGGTGGAATGGCCCACAATCGTACCGATCCAAAACTTTTGACTGGGTGCGAAAAGGACCCGGAAATGCAGTCGCAGAGCGTTTGTTTGTAAACGGATGCTTAATTTATAGAGAAAGTACAGATAATGTACAGCTCTACATTAACGTTGAGTTGCATGTGGGCGTGTGCGACATCCGGAAGTGAATGTACGGGGACTATCTGTGGTGAGTTGGTTGCTATGCGACGTGTCCTGGAAGTGAATGTGTCTTGTTGTAGAGTGTTGAATCATGGCTGCTTCAACAGTCAATAATGATAGCCGTCACAAAAGACAAAAATGCAGCGAGAAGCTGCCTTTACAAGACAGAGAGATTATTAAACCCTCCATAACAGAGCTCACCAAAGAAGTGCGGACCAACATCCTCTGTACGGTGGAAGGATGCGGGAAGATTCTGCCTAACACTCCAGCACTCAACATGCATCTGGTCAAGTCCCACAGAGTCAAGGTACAACACCACGATACATTTGCTATTTAAAGTTTTTATGTCTTTCCACCTGAGTTTTCTCTTCTGTTGTTTAGTCTGTGTTTCGTGAACTCAAATTAATATTTGAACTAGGCCTAGTGAACTGTTACTGTGACAGTATTAGGAGAAGTGTTGTGCACCAGTAACGTTAGCAAATGTTTTATTTTAGGAAAGCGGAAGACACAGGTTCAGTATTTTCTTACAAAATTTGATGTATTTACATTTTGTCTGTCATCTGTCAGGTCTGTCTTTGCATTATTTAGATCAGGGCTGGGCAACTCTGGCCCTCAACATCGACTTTTTTTTCCTGTAGAGTTTAGTCTAACCCTCATCAAATACACCTGAGTCTTCAGGATAACTCGAAAGATAAAGACAGCAGCAGGTGATTTTGATCAGGATTGGTGCTAAACTTTGTTGGCTAGTTAATATGAAAGTGTGCGCTGAAGATAGAGACATTATAGGCTACTATATCTTTCTGATTTTTCCCGTATTCAATGACAATCAAATGTTTTATTCTACTTTAAGCACAAAGCTAGGCTATATAACATGCACTAGTTTTGTATTTTACACTCAATGTCAATGGTAACAGTTTACAATAAGGTTCATTTAACATCGAAGTATTAACTAACATGAACTAACCATGAGAAATACATTTGTTACTGTATTTGTTCATCTTTGTTAATGTTAGTTAATAAAAATGTTATCTTAGTTCACAGTTCATGTGTTAACAAGATGTTAACAAGATTTTTTTAAACAATTTAGGCTATTAGTAAATGTTGAAATTAAATTGAACAAAAAATAATGAATGCTGCTGTATAAGAGCAGTTCATTATGTCACATTAGTTAACTAATTAAACCTATTGTAAAGTGTTATCACAACAGTTTTCTTTGAACTCTACTTTACTAAACTAAAATTATAGTTACAAACCTATAACCATCATTTAAAGTCTTCTCTCACTGTTTCTTTTGATTTCAGGAGGGTCTGGTCAACCCTACAGTAAGAAAGGACATTAAGGATTCACAAAAGCTCTACTGTTGCCCAATAGAAGGCTGCCCAAGAGGACCACATAGGCCCTTTTCTCAGTTTTCGCTTGTTAAACAGGTACTTACCATTGCATGTTTCATTCTATTATTTTCTCCTCACTGTTCCTTAAGCTAGGGCTGGGAGATGTCAAAAATAAGAACACAATGCTTGTTTGTTTTTTGTTTTGTTTTTTTTTTCATATTGATCGATATTGATATTTATCACAAATTCAATATATAATTTGGTAAAAAAAATCTGTAAAAATCTCAAATATCTGAAGAGGCACAACCAATACAAAAAATATATTAAAAAAGATAAAAACACGTTATGTGCAATTAAAATGTTCTTTGCATCCCTAATAAAAACGTATTCTGTGTGAACTTCGTTACTTTTAAAGAAACCCAAACCACCTCCATATAGTTGATGTTATGGTATCTCTTTTTCAACAATTTCCTCACCTTGGACGGTAATGCAAGTTCAGCTTCTCTTTCGTTCTTGTTTCCTTTGACTGCTCCCGCTGACTGACCGGCTGTTTTTGCAGTTATTTCTGGTGTGTGATAGACTAGTAGGGTTATGCATATCAAGTAAAAATATCCACGGCTTCTCATCATTAACAACGTCAATTTTATTTTCGATCTCAATATGAGTTTATTTCCCAGCCTTACTTTCAGTAAACTGACAGTGTTTCATTTTTATACTTTCCTATAACTCAGTGGTTTTCAAAATGGGGTATGTGGGATGACAGAGAGGGTACACAAACAAAATGCTGACTATTTCCATTCTATTATTCTGCCCCACCAGTTAATACATTTAAATCAGAGCATGCATTTCTAACAGGCAAAATGCCACCTCTAATTTAAAAACAGGAAAAAGGTAGTGCTGGAAAAGATCAAATACATGACATCCAATCAAATTAAACTGGCTGCATGAAATTTAACTGACTGCATCCACTCAAGCAGCATGGCAGGGGCAAGACCATGAAGGGCTTTAAATGTGTTAAGGAGTAATATCTTGTATTGAATATGAAAGCAAATGGGTTGCCAATGGACTCTGTGTGGAACAGGAGAAATGTGGGAAGAGGACCATAATTTTTTTTTTTCTTTTAATTTAATACAGCTTTTAATTTAATACAACTTTATTTATGACTTTGTAATTGCATTCATACCACCTTTATACCACCATAGTATCACCTGGCTTTGCATTTACAGTTGGGCCAAAAAGTATTTAGTCAGCCACTGCTGTGCAAGTTCTCCTACTTAGAATGATGAGAGAGGTCTGTAATTTTCATCGTAGGTATACTTTAACTATGAGAGACAAAATGAAAAAAAAAAAAATCCAAGAAATCACATTGTAGGATTTTTAAATAATTTATTTGTAAATTATGGTCTTCCACCATAATTTACAAATAAATTATTTAAAAATCCTATACAGTGTGATTTCCTGGATTTTTTTTCTCATTTTGTCTCTCATAGTTGAAGTGTACCTATGACGAAAATTACAGACCGCTCTCATTATTATAAGTAGGAGAACTTGCACAATCAGTGCCTGACTAAATACTTTTTAAACCCACTGTATAAAGGTAAAAAAAAATGCACCTTAAAATCAATTTAAGGGGGTTAAATTTTGTCCCTTAATGGTAAAGGTGTCACTGCAGTCTAAGTGGAAGAGAGGGGGTACGCAGAAGGAGGTTAAGTGCCTCAGGGGGTACGCCAAAATGTTTTTTGTTATAACTTGATATTTATTTTATGTCCTGCTAGGGAAAAAAAAACTGATAACTAACATTTTTTTTCTAATCTTAATAATGGCATAGCACTTTATGAAGATGCACGCAGAAAAGAAGCACAAGTGTTTGAAGTGCAGTAATGGCTACAGCACTGAGTGGGACCTGCGGAGACATGCTGAGGATTGTGGGAGGACATACAGCTGTACTTGTGGTTGTCCTTATGCCAGTAGAGCAGCACTGCTGTCTCATGTCTACAGAACAGGCCACGAGGTTCCCAAGGAGCACAGGTACTCCATTTATCTGGCCATTTATTATTTTGTATTGGGGAAAACATGAAAAAGTGGCTTGCTTAAATCATGATAATAATCTGCTTTTCTAGTGGATATCATGTCTGACCTCATCTAGGACATTATCTTTTATTCATAATATATATCATGTCGTGGTTTAATGTTGTTAATCGTAGTGTGTCTTATTAAAATGCTCAACATGTCAGTATTTGTCTTCTAGGTATCCACCTGTGAAAAAGAGGAAGATGGAAAGAATGTCAAGCAGTACAGCAAATAGTATGCCTAATGAACAAATAAACGAAATTCCAGACTCCAAGAACAAGCTCACTGAAGGAGGATTTTCAACGTTACTAGTCTCTGAAGCCCCAGACAGAGCACAACACAACAGCAACCAACCTGGAAACTTCCAGAAGCTCCTTCTCCCGAAGCCCAAGTTGGCCCTAGTCAACGTTCCTGTTATGCAGTTCACCCACCTGCCTGTTCTCCTCCCCTCTGCAGAGAGTAGTGCCTTGAAGTTATTGGTCTTGTCTATGGATGCACAAGGGTCCGTAAACACTGTGCATATTTTGTCACCGTCGGTCGAAACAGCCATGCCTGATCTGAATAACAAGACTTTCAAAGAGACCTTTCCTGTACCTACATCGGGCCCAGAAACTTTTAGCACAGGAGTACAGGTCAATCTTGAGAGTCAAGTCTCTTTGGGATATCCAAACAACAAAAGCACTTCAACAAACATTCAAACTGACATCTCGTACCTCAACAAAGGGATGGATGCCGGACCAGCAACTGTTTCCCCCTGCAGTGAGGCCTCAGTATCCTCTTGCTCTCAGACAGACATCAGTGTTAGTGCTCAGATTCAGCTGCCTATTAGTGTGCAAACCCAGACACTACCCTCACGAATCAAAGCCACTTTCTCCATTGGGGCACAGACAGATGTTTTCAGTTTCTCGTCCTTTAATGTGACCCGAGAAACACAAACAAGCTGTTCTGTAGCTCCAATGCATGAAAGCCAGATGGACCAAGCGATGTGCACAAATCTTTTTGATACTGATACACTCAGTGTCTCCACTCAGACTGCAATGGCTGATGCGACTTTTAGAACCAGTGGTTTAGAAGATCATCTAACCAGCACTGGAGCAGGGCTTTTTGAGGACAAGGCTGCTGCGTCCATGTGTTTTGGGGCCCAGACAGACATTTTGCAGCAAAACACAGTTGCAGATAACCAGACTCAGACCATGATACTCTTTCGGGACCTTGAGAATATACTATCTGACACCATAACTGGGGCAGCTTCGAGCTGTGGTTCAGGTTTAGCTGCGCATGAACCGCATCACACTGGTATTGACTTTGACTTTGAGGAGTTCCTCAATGCAACACACATTCAGACTCAGACAGAAGAAAGTGGCTTGAACAGTCTGAACACAGAGACAACGTTGGAACTCCTGGACATTGAGACACAGACTGACTTCTTGCTCTTTGACAACCTTGGTAATGGGCACAACAGTGACGTTGGAACCAGGGTGCAACCAAATGACCTGGAGCTGGAGATGTTTGACACCCAGACCCAGACAGACCTCAATTTCCTGCTAGAAACGAGTGGGCACATGCCCCTTGGGAGCATCCTCAGACAGTCTAGTTTTAGCATGAGCACGGAGTCCTCAGACACAGAAACACAGACTGAGATCAGGCCGGCTCCACTTTCTCTGCCTTGCTCCAATGATGGGCAGGTGAGACTCAGCAGTGCTGAAACTCAGACCATCTCCAGTTCCTTTCACAGCCTTGGCCACCTCTTCCACACTAGCAATGAGACCCAGACAGCAGTCGATGACTTTCTTTCAGCAGACTTGGCCTGGAACATGGAGTCTCACTTTAGCTCGGTGGAAACCCAAACGTGCGAGGAGCTCATCTCATTGTTTCGACACAACGAGAAAGCAAAAATCTGAAAGATCCATCAAAAGTGTTAGTTAGTTTACATAATGGAGTCATTCCTAGTATCTCCCTCAGCAGAGGTGGCAGAACTTTAATCAGTCCCTTAAAATCATCTAGAACTCAGTCTGTCAGATAATATTTGTATGAATACTTGTAGAATCGTAGACTCGTAATTCAACTATAAGGTATTGCATATCTGCCCAAATCTAAGGATGTATGAATATACCTTTGCAGCACTTTATTACCTCATTATCAATGTTCAAAGTATATTGGTAGTCCTAAAAGTATTTTGTTTGTTGCAGTAGATGAGGTCAGAGCCTCTCGTGGGAAATGTGTAGTACTGTAAGTTGGTACTGGTGTGTGCGTGCACAGAAATTATAAACATTCCCCCCACATGTAAAATGTCTTTGTCTTGTAGGTATACTTTCCAGTCTGATGCTTAGATGACTTGAGTCTTATTGTCTTTATATCATACTTTTTTTTTTGTTTTTTTTTTGCTTTGTGATGTATAACAACTTAAGTTACATTTATTTGTGCAATGCTCTAGACCCATCTACTAGTCACTGTGAGTAAATTTAGGTCTTGATCCATTACAGAATTCATGTAAATATTTCTTGCTGACTGTTATGGCACGTTAATTTTAATCTTTACATGCTAAATCAGATGAATTTGCATATTATGCATGTTTCAGATGTCACATTCCCTTAAAAAGAGGAGCAGGGAAATTGCTCTTGTTTACTGTGATGTGCATTCTGTACTGTGAGTAGATTCAAATCGCAAAAGTTTACAGTAAAACAAAACCTTTAATATTTCTTTAAAAGCATGTATCAATTTTGTTGGGTGATGTTCTAATGATTTTAAATACCAGTTTAAACCTTTTTGTTGATGCCTTAATTTAAGTTTATATGCTTTTGATGGAGAGACTGAAATCGCAGTGCTGCTTAACGGAGAAGCAAAATTGCTGTCCTTTGTTGTTTTTATTTTCTTCATTTCGTAAGAGATTTCAATGTGTATATATTTATTTGGTTTTGGTTATTTTGAATGTTTCATCTCTAAGTGTGGTGTAAAATCACACTAGCTCATTCACTACTTCTTGGCCTTACTACACTGAAAGCCAACCATAGCTTTATTTTCATTGTGTGTGTGTGTGGATGTGTATGCGTGCACACACACTTAATGTACTTATGTATATATTGGAAATTCCACAAGTAGAATGTGACGCAGTGTCTGTTTCCCTTATGATGTTGCAATGGCTGCTTCTCGACATCGTAACTGCAAAATAGCTTTAGTATTTTCATGCCAAACATCAGAGACTCTCATATTCAACCACTACATTCATTAAAATGTTATTTAGATCTTGGAATAAATACTGCAAATGAATATGTGTTCATTTTGTTTAGGCAATGATGTCATAGTAAAAACTTCCTTTAGAAAACTTGAAAGAGTCAGCTAAGCTCGTGTTTCTCTGTAGAGTGCATGCATTTCTTTTGTGCCAAGAATAACATTTGTGTTGCTTTTTTGCATTTGCATTTACAACTTGGTTTAAGACATTGTTTATAATTATGTATATTAATATTGATATAATGATTATTTTTGTTATTTGAAGGCTGGTCATTTGTACTTTATGGTTATGTTCTGTTGTTTAGACAATGCTGATGCACATGAAACCGCAAAATAAACTGCAGAGAAGATTTTCTTGGCCATTAATCGAATCAAGCATAATGCTGTTGTGTATATTACACCAATACCGTAATGTGATTTATTAATTTTTTCTTTTCTGTATTATTGTCAAGAGCAAATATTATTAGTGTTAACAAATGATTCTGTTGTAAATCAACTAATTTTGGCAGATACAGCTGGTCACAAATTTATAGGACAAATTTCCCAGTTGTCATGGAATCGTATTATTTAAAAAGCGACATACAAATGGCACGGGATATAAAGTACTATTCAGCTGTATAAGGACAGAAGAGACTTTACTAGTTTGCACACCCGTATTAAGCTGTTAGAGAATCTAATAATTTTCTCTGATCAGAATCTCAATTTTTTTTTTAATGGCATGGTTCTGTAGTTGAATGTAGTAAAAGTATCCTGCAGTCTCAAAAAAAAAAAAAAAAAAGAATAAGCATACTTGGAAATCTCTTTATGTTGCATAATCATCTTCATTTAGCACACATATAGTACAGTCTTATTTATCTGTACTCCATTAGTAATATTCACACAGGCATGCGAACTGTAGTTCCAATCAGCATTAGTCGATGAGCTTCAGGTCTTTTCAGATCTCTTGTTTTGTGGCCAGAATGCAATCTGGTGTTGTTTCTGGTGGAAGGCCTTGTCAATTCTTCCTGCCTGAGGTTTCGGCCCACAGTGCTGGAAGGTAATTCATACTTATTTTGAAAAGTGATGTTAAAAGTTGGTAGCTCTTGAGTGCTGTCCTGGGATAGCCAATGTTTTGTGTTGGGAGATCCCTTAAACCTGTAGCTGTTCTCTCCTGTGATAAAGTTTGTGAGGACCTCAACGGCATTTCCTGTGTCAGAAGCGGTGACGGCTTCAGTGGACCTGGGCATCATGGGCTTGGTGACTTCTGCTTGGTACCAGTCTGTTGACTGCGCTCTTTTAAAAACACTGTTGCTCCTTAGGTTTCTCGACTCTCGGACAGGTGGCAACACATTAACGCTTCTGATGCTAAAAGCAACTCTCTTTTCCTTTAGCATGTGACATGGTTTGGGATGGTAATGGAAGACTGATGGTAATTTGTTTTGTTTACACTGTTCATCTCCAGAAAGCAATTTGTTGATGAATGGCCCGGACATATTTTGCAGAGATAGGCTGAAAGAGTATAGTTCATCTGAGGAGGTAGGGGGATGAACGGTATTTTGAGTTTCCTCTGCAAGATCCTGAAGTGTTGGGGCAGTCTTTCTAAAAGTTTTCAGAGCATTTCCAGCAGGGTAATAATTGGGAAGATCAGAAAGTTTAAGGTCTGCACACAAGAGACAGTGAGAGTCTATGATGTCTTGCTTGTTTTTCCCCTTCCTTTGCAGTTGAAGTAATACAGCAAAAGGGGGCAATCTACTCCAACCTTCAACCTGTTAAAAAAATGAGGTTTGTAACGCTGAAATTATTAACATATGCAATATTTAAAATGTGGGAACATTATTAAAGCTGCATCTGAAATGCATACCATAAAAAGTTTACAAAGACTTTATACAGAAAAATGCTTTTTTTTGTGACTGTTCAATTCTGCACTTGCATTTACACTCATTATAACTTAACAAATAATGTGTAAACATGAAACTGTGTATACAATTGAAGCTTGTTTCCATGACTTTTTTTCCTCACAATTGTGAGTTTACATCTTGCAATTATGCCATAGTAAGATATCAGTTTGCAATTGCGTGTTATAAAGTATGAATTGCGGGTTATAAACTCGCAATTGCAAGAAATAAAGTAAAGAATTGTGAAATAAAAAACTTGAAATTCAGACTTTTTTCTCCCCCAATCTTCATTTCTTTTTACACATAATTAGCATTAGTAGCAACCCAGCTTAACTTGGTTGTGTAAAGATGACAGACTACACAACACACAATTGATGATTGTCAATAATACAATAAATACAGAAAATATGACCAAATTACATACTCACATTTCGAACAACACACACTCGTCAGTGTGTAGTTGTAAATGTTAGTACACATGTAATTTGGTCATATTTTCGAAAACAAATATTTATTTTATTATTGTCATAATATATGAGATTTATAATAAGTTGAATTACATCAATAATTCCCATATAGTAAACAATAGGCTCTATGCACAACTTACTTTCGCATTCTGTAAAACGGGTCTCATCGCTTCCGGTTCTGGTCTTTTGTATGTGTAAAACGTGCGATTTTACTCAAGATAACTTAAAAGGAGCGAGCAAAGATTAGCATAACCAATGTCCCTCACATGTGCAGATTGATATTTAAACGTGACAAAATATTGCAGATACAAAAAGGGACAGCGAATGATATACACAAATCTGATGTGAACTCTATGGGCGCTGCCATCTTGCCTGCCGCCAAACGGCGTGACACCTGCCGGTGCCCTCTAATGACATTTCAATGAAAGCAGATCCTGCTCATGAAAGAAAATGTCTGGTGAAAGGGAACATTAGGTAGATGATGTCAGGTAGCGGCCAAAACTTACCGATAATTATTTGCCGTTAAATTATGTAATTATTATGTGGTCAAAATGTGGTTAAATTATGTAATTACGTTAAATTAATTATGTAATCTAATTAAGATGTGTATTATAGTTTTTCTCCATTGGTTTGGCTCATTTCTTGAAACAGAAATTACATTCTCAAAACAACATGGACAAACCTCCAAACCACTTGGCAATTGTTTACAACAGAATTGAATTTCTCATTAATTTAAAGTAATACAGCAAAAGGGGGGAAATCTACCAGCGGCTCTACTCTGAGCTCCTCCCGAGTGACCCAGCTTCTCACCCTATCTTTAAGGGATCACCCAGCCACCCTGCGTAGAAAGCTCATTTTGGCCGCCTGTATCCGGGATCTTGTTCTTTTGGTCATGACCATAGGTGAGAGTAAGAACGTAGATTGACCGGTAAATCGAGAGCTTTGCCTTACAGCTCAGCTCCTTCTTCACTCAAACTCCTCCACTTGAGGAAGGATCTCTACTGACCTGAAGTGAGCAAGCCAACCTTTTCCGACTGAGGATCATGGCCTCGGGGAGGTGCTGATTTTCTGTTAGCCATACAAAAATCAGTATAGTAACCATTGTCAATAAAGGACTGGTCTGAGACTGAAAGGTGGGCATGAGGGATATTTCAATGGTCCTCTGCCAAAGAGACAAAACATCTAAACATTTTGACTTGCAGTGCCTACACAATGCCAAAAGGATGAAGCATTTTGGGGGCACTGTTTAAATGAGAAGGAAATTTAGTTTTGACACATGAGTGAACTGTTTTGGGAGTGGTGTGAGGTAGGCTATTTTAATTGCAGGTGAACCATGGTGTTGTGCTGAACTGTAAGACTGTTTTGCCAAATGATCTTAGAGTTTCGAGAGTGTAATTTCTGTTTCAAGAAATGAGCCAAACCAATAGAGAAAAACTAATTGATGATAAAACCGAGCGCTATCATTTCGTCATTACTAACGGTGTTGCTAATATGTTCACAAGCTTCGCGAGTTGCAAATAACTGTTAATTCAACACTGCCCAGAGTGTATTTGGTCCCACTCTACAGAGTGATAAAGTAACACTGAAGCAGTGTTAAAGTTAATGAGATAATTAGGTGACTAACTGGGTGATGATTGAGTATTAGTGATAAACACCTGCCCTGCTGTTAACGAGCAAAATCACTGAAGGAAGAGAAACACAAGAACTACAATGGGCTCTATGCATGGCGGTATTTCCGGTGAAGGTGTAAGGATGCTCGATAACTTCCACCGATCGTAGAGTCCAATGCAATACCGAGAATTTATATTGAATTTTATACTCCATGGTTATATTAAAGAAATGTTAGTCACAAAAACAGATAAAATAGACACCCCTCGCTGTGTTTACGCTTCTTTTTAAAATTATATTAAATAAACATAACTATATATAAAATTACATCTAAACGTATGTACGTTTTGTTTCAAAGACTGGAGGACAGTACATTTTGAAGACTTTGCCATAATCCCCTTTTTCGTCGGTTTTCCTCCGCTTAAATCTCCACAACCGGAAATGGACGAGCATCCTTGCGTCAAATGCGGAACTAATGCGTGCATATAGCCCATTGACTTCCAGTCACAGCCTTAGATTAAATCAAATGAAGATACAAAGAAGACATTAAATCTGTGAAGATCTCAGCAGAAGGAGGATTAAACAATTCCACAAACAGCATTACCAGCTTCACTTATTACTAACCAGAATGACTTTATTTCTGTCAGATGTCTATGAACGGAGGTTTAGATGTCGATGTTTTAAAATGTTTGGTCACCATTATTGTGATCAGTGTTTCCTTTAGTTGGGCAGTTTGACTCTTAGTATTTTAAGTGCAATTTTGGTCTTTGTATCAGTGTTTACCAAAACATATAGTTTGTTACAAAGGAAACAATAAACAAAGGTATTCAGCTATAGTAGTTTTCATAATAAAAAAGTAAATAAAAAAAGAATGCTTCTCTAATGTTATCCCTGACCAAAAGTTGTAATTTGTTTTTAATAAATAAATTTCACCTTTCTTGACAGGTTTCTCAACATCAACATTCTGATTTTTTATATACCTTGCAGACAGTTTTTGACAGAAAATCATTAAACTTTTTTTTTTAAACAAACAGACATCATGAATCAGCATATCAATCTCAACAATGGTGACATGCTTTATGCTACAATGCATGCTGGGAGCCAAGAGTTTTAAACTATGGTGCCTCCCAGAATGCATTGCAGCATAAAGCATTTCACCAATGATGAGATTCATATGTGGATTATTGATGTCTGTGTGTTTGTCCAAAGATTATTTTCCCATTAAAAAAAAAATATTTATAACATATTACAACTTTTTTTTGTCCTTTATTATGTTGTAAACTATAGGACTATCTCCAGACTATCTTTGATTTTGGCTTTCTTTGCAACAAATTATGTGTTTTGGTTAACACTGTTACAAAGACCATACAATCACATGAGAAGGCAAGAGTCAAATTGCCCAACTAAAGGAAACACTGTTCACCATAATGGTTAATTGCTAAACCTCTGTTAATTCTCAATAAAATCTTCTGTAGAAGTCGGACAGAAATAAAGTCATTCTGGTTAGTAATAAGTGAAGTTGGTAATGCTGTTTGTGGGGTTGTTTAATCCTCCTCTGCTGAGATCTTCACAGATTTATTGTCTTCTTTGTATCTTCATTTGATTTAATCTGTGACTGGAGGTCAGTTGTAGTTCTTGTGTGTTTCTCTTTCCTTCAGTGAATCTGCTCGTTAACAGCAGGGCAGGTGTTTTTCACTAATACTCAATCATCACCCAATTAGTCACTTAATTATCTCATTAACTTCAACACTGCTTCAGTGTTACTTTAACACTCTGTAGAATGGGACCAAATACACTCTGAGCAGTGTTGAATTAATACGAATCCTGTACGTGTCCTGTGCGAATGAATGGTTTCTTTTTAGGCATACCTAAATAATACACAGCACAAGCAATGTAAAAAGACATATCAGGGGAAAGCACTCAATAAATATAATTCTTCTGTCGTGTTAATTTGACTCACCGCGTCTTCCCAGCCAGTGCGGCTCTGAAACAAATGCATGTTGTGCTCCCTGCAATAATCCTCTTCACTGAGATCCAACAACTCATTGACATACTGTCTGCACGAAGACTCTGTGTTCCCCTTAGCGCTGTCAATAGCCGCATGTTGTTTCTCTGCATCAGTTTCGTCTGATGCACAGGCTTCGGTGATGTTCATTCCGGACAGCTTCAACAACAACTACAATTTCTGCAAAGATAATTTAAGCCTTTAGTTAACTTACCTCTCCGAATGATTTAGGCTACCAACTACGGAAAGACTGAAACACAGCAAATACATCATACAAATAAAACATGCAATAAGTAGTCAACTTACAATTCCAACTTACGTTGTTTTTACAACTCTGAAATCCTAAATGTACTGTTAGTGGACACTTAAAAAAGTTTGAATGCATAAAACTGTATTTTGTGTGAAGTAACGGATGTTTGGATTCCTGTTGTCATGACAACCGTCTGAGAGGATGACGTAGTGGAAAAAAGACGAGGCGCATGTAGGCACTTGTAAGATATGCGTCTGAAGCAGGTCTGAGGGAGGTTAAAAAAGTTATAGTGTTATAGTTTTGGTAAATTGTTTTGTAATATGAGGTTTGAAGCATTTAAAATGTTATTTTATTGTATATGCATATGCTCTTGTTTCTCACATGAATCCCTCTTTTAGCTTTACAGAATGAATACCGGAGAGCAGATATACAGGTATATAAATGTTTTCCAAGCGTTTATAAAAACCAAAGTCTGTTTTACTCAGAAGCGCTATTGCGGCGTTGTATCTAACGACGTGATCGAACGCACGGACAGTGTGTTGCGGAGGGGGTGTGTCAGACAGGCAGAGAATTCGAGAATTCAACTATGGTGACGACAGGGCTCATGAATATTAATTAGAAACGAGCATTCTTCGCTAAGTACGATTGGCTGAAAGGTCAGCGTTGGTAATGAGTGCTAGCTCAGCTGGCGAATTAACAAAGCTTATGAATATTAGGTACGTAACTTGACCTCACGATTGACGAAGGTTAACAAGAAACGTCGATTTGACCTAATTAATAAACATAACCTAAAGCTTTGCCATAGTAGGCTTCAGTCGGCGGCAGCATCCACTAAGATTGGTTCAGGTATCCGCAGTACCATCAACAGTCGTAGCTCACTCTTCCAGGAGCACATAATGCAGAAGTGCACTTAACATCAGACCTCAACTGAAACATTTTCAAAGGATTTTGCAGACTAATTTTATGGAAACCGATGCTGTGGTAATGCTGCCTCCCAAGAACTGCATGCCCAGAAACTACAGTTGTATGGCTGCGCTGTTCGGAAGCTTGGCACCATCGGAGCAAACGCTGGAGGACGAAGAAGAAGACATGGAGGGGGAGGAGGATATGAATGGAGACTGTGAACTATTAGAGATCAGCGTAGTGAATAAAAAGCCGAGAGGAAGAGAGTCATTATGGAAGCCCCCCCAAAGTCCGACGCTACGCCGCAGGTGCAAGTCTCTCCCCACACCGGCTGAAAGAGCCAAATTAGAGATCGCACGAATACGGAGCCCAAGCTGTCAAAAAAAGGTACGATTCGCTGACGCTCTGGGACTGGACCTGATTTCTGTCAAACACTTCGATGATAGGGATATGCCTGAGGTTCCAGAACGCATTATTGACAAATTTAAAAAAGCCAGAGCTCTCCACTTGAATAACTTCGACAAGTCCAACACATCAAACCAGTCCGTGTTTATGGAGCTGCTCTTCACCAATCCAGGATCCCTGCCGGACTTCCTGGAAAGAGTTATTGCAGTGAAGGTTTTACTGGAGTCTGTTCAGGCTGATGAGTTCAGCATCTCGGGGATCGTGCGAGTCCTCAATTTGGCATTCGAGAAAAATGTTTATTTGAGGTACACCTTAAATAACTGGACTACATTTGTGGATATTCTGGCGTATTACGTTCCCCGTTCTAGTGACGGACGGACGGACAAGTTTAGCTTCAAAATCATTACCCCGACCTTTCTGGAGTTTGGGGGAACACTGCAGTTTGCCATCAGGTACTGTGTCGGAGGATGTGAATTTTGGGACAACAACAATGGAAGTAATTACAGATTAAGACGCCACAGGTTTAAAATTTCGCCTCCGAGGGAATGGGAAAACGGTTGGATTCATTTCATTTAACGTGAATTCAGCGATTCAGCCGTTCCGCCATGACGATGCTTGGCTCGGAAATATTAATTATGTGGCGCCTTCCATTGGCGAATTGGCTAAGTAATAATCATGAGCCAAGCCTTCGCCATAGTAATCTCTCTCCAACAGTATAACGTTGAGGTCGTCGACCTTCCATGAAAGACGTATGTAGCATACCACATATTCGTTAACTGAATACCATTGTTTGTTGTTTGTCTGTGCTTTTTTGTCGTAAACTGAACACCATTGATTGTTGTTGGTCTGTGCTTTTTGTCGTGGTTAAATTGATGTCTGTTAGAGAAAGAAAAATTCGTATGTCAGTTGCTGCAACCGTAAATTTAGGTAGGGATTCTGTGTTTTAGCGCCAGTTTATGATTAAAAATGTAAACGATATAGCCTATGATATTGTAATCGCTGAACACACGCAGAACACGATTGCATTCTTCAGCAGTAGGGGGGCGCTCTAATGTTAATTGGCAGGCTTTAAGTGCACACGACACACGCAGGAAGGCTATTTAAGTATTTATTGTCTCCGAATGTTTTAACATAGTACAAGTTGTGGAGGATTTCCAGTGAGGAAAATAAAGCTATGTCTATTCTATAACATAAAACAAACGCAACTTTATATATCCACACGTCCTTCTTTAATGTAATATGCTACTCTATATAAGAAGAACAGACATGTCAACTAGTTACTGACCTGATGCAGACTTGACTAATATACACATAGCTGATTGATATTGTCTTGTTCTGGAGCGTGGTAAGCTAACGTGAAAACTAAAGCGCCATGTAGTTCCATTTTTCAACACAGATTTACATTGGGGAAATTGTGGGGCGCTGTAGAGCTAGGGAAGTCTAGTAGGCTATAACCATAACTGGTTAGCTGGGGAAGTCCAGTAGGCTATAACATGTTTTATAAATAGTTAATTTAATAATTTGACAATTTATTAATATATATATATAGATATATATAGCAGTATATATATATAGCAAGCAGTAAATACACACATATATATATATAGCAGTATATAATATATATATATATATATATATATATATATATATATATACACTGCTCATATTACGACATAAAAAAGCCTTTAAAATCAGAAAAAATATCTATTGCAGAAATTTTATCAATTTTACCAGCCGCAGCTGGTCAGATAGCTAACTGCCATGTGACGAATGTAACATTAGGCATATTTTCATTGGTGTAAAACTGATTGTTTAGCATGTTTGTTTATACATGGATGGTCATAGAGACAAAGACCCGGTCTGCATTCCTTTAAATAAGCAGGACCATTTAAATGAATCCAGTTTGCATTTAGCTTCAGTCCATGTAATAGGATATTGTGTAATAATTACATAATCCCCAGTGCGCCTGTTATTCTTCAGCTCAAGTGAAATCATGTTGCTTCAGCATCACTGTGCTTGTTTCACATTAAATTGCAGCTAAGGGTAAAGGTTAGGCTACATCAGAAAAATTCTGACATAATAAATCAAACCTTTTAGATGATAGAGACAAGTGAGTTTACAAAGCCTGTAGCAACCATGTGCAGCAGTTAACTTAAACACACAATTGACCATCCTTAGGAAACAAACAGGCTATTGATTTTGTATCTTACTATTAAAGTCAGCATGAAACTACCCTATCTCTTAAAGGGATAGTCCACCCAAAAATAAAAATTCTCTCACCATTTAATCACCCTTATGCTACCCCAGATGTGTATCTTTCGTAGATGAACACACACAAAAATGTATTTTTTCACAAATACCTCTGAGTGTTTGAGTGTCCGAATGTTGACATTTCAAAAAGCATGCACAGATATCAGGATGGTAATCCAATTGGATGGATCTTCTGAAGCAAAACAATAGGTGTAAGAAAAATACTTTTTAAAACTATTAACAATCCCTTCCAGCGAACTGCCATACAAACATTAACAAAAACTGTATTTTTTATTTATTCATTTATTTTTGGTGTGGATTATTCCTTTAAAGCACGTTATTGGTAAATTTATTGTAAAAGATTCATACTTGCATAATATTTATTGTTGTTGTTTTTCCCTTTCGACATTGTAATCTTTAAACTAATCATAGCTTGGTCTTCCTGTGATATGATATATTCTCTTTAATCAGATCATTATATTTCTTAAACATACTGAAGAAATATTTTTTTTGGAACAAAACCAAATGAGTATAGGTATTTTCAGGGATAATTAACATTTATAAAGCCCAGTATCAGCTTTCATGCTGAAATGGTAGACAGTGCTTAATATACCTCACATTGTGTAAGCTAGTATGTCTTGGCTGCGTCAAGCTTTATTTTTTAGTTACTTAAACTTTGGATCAGTAAAGTATTTCAAGCCATGCCTGTAATTTGGTCATTTCAATAGATTTCAATGGTGCAAACACTGCAAGCACATTAAAACATTTATATCAAAGATTGTTCCTATTACCTGTAGGTTTAGGCTTGTGAACTACTGCCACTGAAGCTGAGATATTAGACAGGGCAGATTAAATGCCTTTCTGATCCTCTTTTACTCTGCTACAGCGTGTTGAAGATAGAAAATGAGCGATGAATCAAAATTGAAACATTTTTCTTTTAAGATTTGTTGGGCTGCTTCAGCAGCACTTTTGAGAAGTTTATCACTGAATGACAAATGAATGTAACATTGAACCATTGCAAAGTATGAATAGAGCATCTGCCCGAAAAGTACAGTGTATTCAGAAAGGATTTAGAACCCTTATTTTTTCACATTTTGTTATGTTGCCAACTTATACTAAAATAAATCATCTCAAAGATGATTCAGAGAAATGGGATGCACCTGAACCAAATTTCAAGTGTCGTAGCAAAGGGTTGGAATACATATGCCAATGTGATATTTCAGCTTTTATCCATTTTATCTTGATCCGAATGCATATGTATATGTATTTTGGGTGAAATACTTGCACAAATGAACATCCTGTTTTGTTTAACATCCATTCTTTGTAATGTTTTCTTAATTGCCTTGGTTTATTCTTCTTCAATCATTCTTCTTTAGTCACTCTTTCAAAGTAGGGATTTGTGACAATTTGGAGGCAAATCGAAGGAATAAGCTTTCTATTTTAAGTTCTTGTTGTACTGTTGTATTGTTTAAAGGTAACTTGATTATTTTGGAAGAATAACCTGAAATTAACTTCTCACAAATTACATTCTGTTTGTTTTTTAACCTATGCAATACCTGTCTTTAATGTTTCGGTTTTGCTATTGTATCACTGTGTCATGATGTTAATCATTGCTTTACTTTTGAATATCATAAATACTGTGTCTTCTGCTTGCCTGTACAAAACTCACAAGGTATCAAAAATCACTGTAATACCTTATTGTTTCAGGTTGATTGGTGAAACTCATAACTCACACCTCAGTTCTCTGTTTGCTAATAAAATGTTGTTTTGGTAAAGTGTGGTCTTTTGAAGTCATGTAAACCCATATTTAGAACTTAGTTAACATCACTTACAAAATGTTCATAGCATCATTTACTTGGACTGCCAGGGTTCTGCCTTCAACATTTTTTTCTTAATGTATAATTTTAGGGATGCACCGAAATGAAAATTCTTGGCCGAAACCGAAAACCGAAAAAGAGGAAACCAAGGCCGAAAACCGAAACACCGAAAGAAATTATGCCAATTATTAGTATCATTGCATTATGGCTATGACTGTGTACAAACTTTACTAAAATCAAGGCATTGCAATTGTATAAATTAATATAACATTTTCAAAGAATAAATCAATTACACATTATGCAAATATTTATTTAGCACAATGCACAGTATAAAATAAAATTCAAACTAAAATGTTTAACTTGACCCCACTCATGTGTACACTAAATAATAATCTACTGGCATGCAGAAAGGTTTTAAAATGAAATGTTTTCTCAAAAACAAAGCCAAGCGCAAACTTCTCATCACACCAGCACCCAGTTTGCACATCTAAATTAGTTACATTTTAAACATTTAGCATACAATAGCATAAAAAGCCTTTTTAAATGAACAATGGTCCATGTTTAATACAAATGTACATTAAACTTAATGAAACATGTTTAGTGAATGTAGAAAATATTCAAGAGAGCATTAATTTAGTTCTATACATACATGTTCCCATATATATTATTTTTTGTAATGTCAAGTAATAATCTCAGGGTTTACTGGGTTTTACATGATTATTTTTGTATTGGTGGTGGAATACTAAAAAATAAACATTGTCATGTATTTATCTGTCTTATTCTCACCGATTCCTGATGGTTAGACGACAGTTACTGAGTCGTCCCCTGTCGTTTCAAGGAATAGTACAACGGAGAGCGCGTCAAGTATAAACGCCTCGACCGCTTGGAGCGGTGCGCGCGCTGTCTGTGGAGACTCGCGCTGCCTTGTTTACTTTCGCCTGCCTCCGCAGCGCGAGTCTTATTTATAATTTTTAATTGTTTCATCCACCTATATCTGCTCTAAACAATGCGTGCCGCCATGACGACGACTCCAGTTGCGAGCGGGTCAAGAGCGATGCGCGCGCTGTCTGTGGAGACTCGCGCTGCTTTGTTTATACTTTCGCCTGCCTCCGTAGCGCGAGTCTCCACAGACAGCGCGCGCACCGCTCTTGACCCTCTCGCAACCGGAGTCGTCGTCATGGCGGCGCGCATTGTTTAGAGCAGATATAGGTGGATAAACAAGGTTTCCGTCTCATCGCGGGTTCAGATACACTGAAATACGTGCTTCAGACAAGCACGTGCAGGTCGCGGTTTCTGTTTGCGTCATCACAACATTTCGGCCGTATTGTTTCGGTGATAAAAGTCTTTCGGCCGAAAACCGAAAATGCACCTTTGGGCCATTTTCGGCCGAAAATTTTCGGCGGCCGAATATTCGGTGCATCCCTATATAATTTACATTTTTAGTGTTTTGGCAATCATCTCTTGGTTTCTCTCAATAGAATAAAAGGTTTCCATGCTCTAGGCTGGGCTATATGGCCAAATAGGTGAACATTTCACAAATCTACAACATTCAAAACATCTTTGAACTATTTATACTTCTTCAGTATTTTTTCCTTTACAAAATAAATATCTTATTATAAAAAATAATTTCTTAGTTTCTGCATGTTCTAAGGGGTGATATTGTTTCAGATCATGAAAGAGGTTTGGTTTGTATTGCCTCACTTTGATGGCACTTATCTTTGGCACAGTTTGGAGTGCACTCTGCAATATTAATATTACATGTTTTGTCTCTTAAGACATAAATCCATATTTGACTGTAGCTTGGGCTGACAGTAGCAGTAGTTTGAGTTGGGATGCAGCAGTATTGGCTGAATTGAACAAACACAGTACCTGTAAAATGTAATATCCTCATTTTTATAGAGTAAAATTGAAATATTATGACAGTTTGAGTTAGGACTCTACTTTATTAAAAAATATTATTGGTCATATGTAGTATCGTACGTACATTTAGATTGTGTTGTTAACCATAAGTAAAACCATAGCATGTCACTACCATGGTAAAATGTAAATATGCATGTTTTCTGTGGTATTTGTTATAAAAAATAGTAACCTAAAAATATTTAACAAATGCTATAACCTAATAACAAAAATACTGTATGCCACAATGCCCTGATGCAGGTGGTGTTCCTACAGTAAATAAATGGTAAATGTTGGTGTTTTAAAGATCGAAAAGCCTTCTAACTGGAACGTTCATGGCACAATATTTCTCCTGTTTTCTCGTGCTGTAGAGAATGTCAGCACTGTTTCATCTGGCTCTAAACCACTTTAAATCACAGAGACAGTTGTGTTCAAGTGCTTCTCACAGGGCTGTTAGCTGTTGTGTGATCGTGACATCAGCAAGTAAACTCAGAGCTCTGTTAGTACTCAAGAATGCAGTCAAATCCCGGCAGAGGCAGGCTGTAGCGGCACTTCCGCAGACCCAGCTGCTCTTTAAAAATTACACATTTGTTTTTATGTAAATAGAAGATTTGATGATGCATACTTTATACCAGTAAGCAGATGAGACTAGAAAATGATCCCAATGAGCTAAATTGCAAAAGCATTTTTCAATAATGAACATACACACACAAAAGCATTGCCTAGCTGGCAGTATACACACCCAAATATAGGCTATATTAGGGCTGGGTATAGACAAATTTCACAATTCGATTCGATTTCGATTCACAAGCTTGCAATTCGATTCGATTTCGATTCGATTCAATATCGATTATTTTGGATATCAGTTACAATAAATGGCAATTTTTCTCAAGGGAATCAAATCTCTTAAATGCTGTAAACTATGGTCTAGTCTAGTTGTAGCCTACTAGGCTTCATTAGCCTAATATGAAGGTAATAATTAACTGTTTTGTAGCTACAAACACTTAAATTACACTTTTATTTATTTTATAATAAGAAGATTATATGAAATATAAACATTTAAATGGTGGCTGTCATAAAAACTTGCCAGATTTATTCAAATATGCATTAAATATTGAAGAACACTAACGAGTGTGGACTAACGAGTTTATGTGGGTTTTCTGAGGTAAATATGACGATACATGATATTGATTACAAGCTGTTTAACTGACGTCTTTCCACGGTTGAAACGCAGATTGAGCGAATCAATGTGACATGATAGGGATTTAGATAAGTTGTATTCTATCTTTTAACACACTTTCAGATGCTCATTCATGTTTATTTCGCGCTGCTTGTATTATTAATCCGGAAGAGAGATCAGCGCTGCTGCTTCTCTGGAGCTGCGCCAGAGCGATCTCACGCCACAGCGCCAAAACGGCAAAACGCTATTTATGTTTTTGAATTTCTAAAGAAAATGGACGTAATTTGAAAATTGAGACTTTGTTTCATATCAATAGTAACAAAGGACAAAGATTATTGCGAATTGTTGGATGCGCGCAGCCGCGATAATGTCTCATTCATTCAAATGAAACAGGATGACTAATCGATTCTTGAGATTTAAGAATCGATATCGGTTTGTAAAAATGAGAATCGATTAATATCGAGAAATCGATACCCACATGACGTCACAACATACGGGCATTTGCCGACCCGGCGCCATTGCTTAGGGCAAAACATAAGAAGAAGCAATACGAGTTGAACGAAGTGAAATGAGTTTCGTGCTATAAAGTGAAAATGGTCATCTCCTGCTGAGTCAATGGATGATAAAATCGTGCCGGAGGTTCAGTTAAATCGGGATTTTACACTATACCCGTCATTAGACTCCATATGGATGTGAGAAGACTAAGCTTTTGTCCGAACAACGACGGAGATTATGGCTGGCGAGCATAAACAGGAAAGAAACTCACTCAAAACACGCAAGAATTTGTTTGACAAAAGCACAATCTTGTGTTTTATTGCGAGTGTAAATAAATATAAGTTAACACATTGCAGTTTGAATAATGTCCTGTATGAACAAAATGACGAGGTATTAAAAACATACAAAACAACATTGTTTCCACTGTTTGATCTCACATTCCAGCATTGCAATCTCAGATTATGTCCCTAAAGATCCCGCGTATAATGTAGTTCCTCATTACATTAATTAAATTGCACGCGAGTTATTTATTTTAATATTCATGCACCGAACCATGACGCCCGCAAGTACATGCATATAACAGAAATCACCGGTGACTGGGGAACATAGGAATTAAGTTGTGCAGGCTATGGCTTTTTAATAGACAGATTAGCATCATGCTACTTCGCTATGATGACTTAAGTTACTTTTCCATTGATTGCACTTGAGCAAACGTCACCAAACCAACCCCACGTCAATCTGATCGTACACCTCCAGTGATTTCCAGGCTTGGAAATGCTCACATGTGTAAAAACTCCTCACCAATACCAGATAATTGTACACATGAAAATACTGTATCTGAGGCAAAGTTGCATAATCGGTGCTCAGTGCTTCTTTTGTTGCATAAGGATACACACCATTTATGAATGAAATTTTCGCATTGTACCTCTCTATGTCTTGTTTTAATAGTCTCTTTATAATCTATTACACTTTGTCTTTTCATGATTTGCATAACAATATAAACAGACATAAATATTTGTTTGTAAAAGACATTCTCTGATAAAACGTTGTAAACGCCTATGGTAAACACAGCGGTTTTGCCCTCAAAGATGGCGTCTCCGGGGAGGTCACGTGACAATTTTTTTGCCTGTGGGAACTATGTATATATATATATATATATATATATATATATATATATACACACACACACACACACACACACACACACAGTAGGCTACATCAGTGGTGTGCGGTGTTTTTTTAAAATGAGGATATTTTTTTCTTCTATTTTTTTTAAATATATCAAATGTAACTTTGTCCCTGCTACAGTTAATGTTATCACATTTTTCTGGTTAAATAAACAGTTTATTTTGATGGTCCCTTTTGAACATTCTGTTGACTATAAGTAACTTTGCAACTACATGTCAACTAACTCTCATTAGAGTATTAGTAGACCATCTATCTGCCAACTCTTTATTGTGATGTCAACTTATTCTATCCCTAACCCTACCAGTCAACTAACACTCTAGTGAGAGTTAGTAGACCTGTAGGTGCAATGTTAATAGTCAACTGAATGCATTACATAAAAAAGAGACCAAATACAATTCTATCTTGTATTTATATAATAATATCTAAAGGCTCATTAATTAATTATTTAATAATTATCCAAAGGTTTGCAACAAAACTTACGAAAATTACACATGGTTTTACAACAAATAATAGAAAAAAAAGTTTATCACAATTAAAACACAGTAACCACAAATTAACCATGGTTTTGCTACACTCATCGTTTAGCAAAGCTATTTGTAGTAAAACTGTGGTTATACAAATGTTAATCAATTCGCAAAAAAACAAACAAACACTATTACTATAGTAAAACCATGGGTAGTTGACCAAGGGTTGTCAGAATGTGTACTGTGAGTGCACATAAGCTGCTTTATGTTTTATAGATGCTATAATGGTCAACCAACAGACAATACATTTTATGATATTTTATATGAAAGGCTAAACATTTATAAGATTATTTATTTCTTGCCCTATGTATATGTTTTTGGTGATCCAACTTTAATTTTTGTAGCTATAACAAAAAGTCTAATTCATTTAAATGATTTTATTTTTTTTTTGTTGGTAAAAATATGTTTTGTTGTCCAATGCTTCACTTGCATACTTGGTAGGCTACAAATTGATAAGAAAATGTTTTCATATAAAATTTCTTGGATTACAAATGTAACCTTGGTTCCCCGATTCGTCTGAAGGTACCATGTGCAGCCCAGAGGAAAGCAATGAGACACAGTGTCTTATTCTCAATGCCCTTCTCAGAGAACCAAGGTTGTAACCCGACATGTTCCCTTTCAAATGGAAACATCATGCACTGCATCCTAGGATGCTAATGGGAAACAAATGCCCATGCCACTGAGGGGAATGCATGTCAGATTGGCACCCTACAATCTACTTAACCTTACCAGTTACAGATACAAGATATGGCAGTTTTGACAGTCAATGATATGGACTGTTTCTTTGCAGTGGCAGGACCTGCAGATATTATAACTCATCTCATAACTAAACAACACCTCTGTAGATAGAAATCTAGGTGTGAAAAGCTTGTCGCATCATATACAAGAAGACAGAGGATGTAATTACTACTAAAAGTGTTTCAACTTGGTACTAAAGAAAGGGCTGCAGTCATTTCACTGTCATCAAATGTATTAGAACCCAAAAGTTAATAAATAAGTGGGAAGAACTTGTCATGTGAAACAAATGGTTCAGATGTGTATAGAGTCAAGTGACTGTCGAGAAAAGTGACTGTCTCCCCAGGACCATCCTGATCTCGAATTGTTCCAACAGTCCTCAATATGCATATCAATGATTTTCTTACACCAGATAGGCACTAGCATACTGGAATGATGAAGAGCATTGTCAGTAAGTAAAATGTATAGAGTTGCACAAATATTTGCAGCTGTACTGATAATAATAATAGGACTTCATCATTATATTAATGATATTAATGAAAAAAATTATATTAAACTTGTATCACAATTTAATAGCAACAAAAATCTTACAGCTTATTTAAAGGAAACAACAAAATGTGTGCATTTAAGAGTAAACCAGACAACATGGAAGGTCTCAGTAGTTTAATTCAACAAACATTCACTCTTTTTTCTCATATCACTCCATTTATAGATAGTATTGCACAACAGGGTAGTAGTGTGACTGCAAAATAAAAATAAATCTTGACTCTACAAAAAAAGAAAGAAAATCAGTTTTATACAAGTAAATTCCACATAAACAATCAACCCTCAAAAGAAACCATGCACCAATTCCAGTGTTTCTGCATTGCAATAATCAGATTCATAGTAAAATATATGTAAAGCTTCTCACAATGCTGGTCTCCTTCCTTATAATGGCTCCTAAAAGTTACGCACACTTAGCATACCAATAAAACATTAACTCAATATTCTCTCTCTGCACACATACAACATGAAATAACTTAGAATGGTAAAACATAATAGCTAAATTTAAGATTTCAGTGCATAGCCATAACATCAGATAAACATCTAATGTAGTACCTGCCAATGTGCATGAGGTCTTTCTATTATAAATGCTGGTGTTAAAGTCTGTTGTATAACCAGTATGACCAGTAAGTTTCAGTTCAAGGTTGAAGAAAACCACAGTTCACCATTCTGCTTTACACCATTTGAGTGAGCAACTATATAGACATTCTTACACTGTTTATTTTATGCATAACAGAAAGCTGAATTGTTTGGATTATTGTTTTACAACAATAGTGCAATTTGTGATTCTGATGACAATTGTTCTCTAAAGAGACCAACTGAGGCACACGAAAACCAGCACATGAAGCATAAGAAGGTAGCCGATGAATATGTAGCGTGACTTTCCCCTGGATGTCAGTAGTTTGGAACAGCAAAATACACTCCTTCCTTTGAGCCACCGCTGGCACAGGTGAACCCCACTCCTCATCTAAAAAACACCAGATCGAAAAGCACAGCTTCAGATTTAGGCACACTCAAAACTGATACTGAACATTACTACAGCATGGGAGTTCACTTGTACGCAAACGTGTAGATTTATATTCAGGAAGTACTGTTGCAAAATGATAGTGAATTACCTGGATTTCTGCAATGATTACTCATAATATGTACTCTGATCTTCATCTAAATCACAATTAAAGACAAACACTGTTCTGACTACTCAAATGATACACAACCAAGGAAAACCAAAGAGTGATTGTTGATTGGGCAGGCTTATCGCAATTTTTTTTTTATTCCATTTATAGTTTTACAGTTATTAAACTGGACTGAATCAACACTGAACTGACTTGAGCTGAATAATGACACTTGTTTTTCGTAGAGCTGCCTTGCAACAGAATTTGAATTGGTCTCATATCTGATGATAAAGTTTGCATCTGGCTACGTTCACACTGCAGGGCTTAATGCTCAATTCCGATTTTTTTTTCACATTTCCAATTAAATGCGACCTTTTGTGATCTCCTGTGTGAACGTGAAATGACCCAGAAGTGACCCGCATGTGCAGAAGATTAATCAACGGTCAACGACGTCACTTGTTGTTGGCGGAATAGTCATTTTTTTCCATATGTTGCGAGCTTTTGTTTTAATATTATTATTGCCACAGCCCATATACAAACACATACAACAATTATTTTATCGACGGGCAAAGTTTGCACATAAATGTAAGATTTTTCCGATCCTCACCGACCTCGTCATAAACCCCGTTTAATTGATAGTGCGCGTCCTCGGCGCTCCTTGCTTTGTCACCGGCAGCCGCGGTGCGACACTGGTGGCTGGTGTTGCCAGATTGGGTGTTTTTTCGCTACATTTTAAGGCATGTTTACATGTGTTTTAGCCAGGTTTTCGCCTGGAAGGCTCTATAGAAATCAATCTGGCACCCCATGTACAAAGTTATACTGAGAGAGAGCGCACGTTCACAGACACCAGAATGAACGTGTTCACAGTAATGTTCATCAGGCAGTAATACAGTATATGAACGCGTTCAGGCACAACACTGGGGAAGAGACTCGTCTGCAGTGGCCCATAACAGTGAGGAAACGCGTTGGAGTTACGTGTATTGGCTGGCTACAGGTGCGTGCAATGACGTGCGGGTCGGATATATGTGACCTGGCCGTTCAGATTGAAGTCGCATTTCAAAAGATCGGATACATATCGGATTTGGACCACATACCCAAGTGGCCTGGGTCGCATTAGAAAAGATCGGATCTGTGTCGTTCAGACTGTCATGAAAAAATCAGATACAGGTCGCATAGGGGCAAAAAAATCGGAATTAGGTCGTTTCAGCCTGCAGTGTGAACGTAGCCATTGATCGGTTTTTCCCCGTTTATTACTGTGAAGCTACTGTATACAATAAAATCAGTATTGTATAAGCACAGTAATAAATAAAGGCGACTTGACTGATATTCAGTACCTTGTGCAAGACCGTGTGCTGGCTTGGCCGAAGAATAAGATACTGTTGCTCCTCTGTTTCCAGCTGAATACTAAAGTCCCTTTGAGCATTCCATGATTGTTTTGACTCCATGCTGAAACAAACACACAAAAAAAACAAAACAATGGTGTAAAAAAATAAATAAAAATAGCACAGCAAAGCTACCTACAAAATGTTTAGATATACAACTGCTCCTATACACTGTAAAAAAATTAAGTAACCTGGTTGCCTTAAAATTTTAAGTTGGTTGAACTGGAAAAAGTGAGTTAATACAATGAAGGAGATTAATTTAACCATCAGAAACTCAAAATTATATGTTATCTGAACTAAATAAATTATTTAAGTTGATTTGACAAAAGAAAAAATGTTGTGATTACTACACTGTAAAAAAATATTGTTGGTTTAACTTAAAAAAAGTAAGTAACCTGGTTGCCTTAATTTTAAGTTGATTGAACTGGAAAAAGTGAGTTAATACAATGAAGTAGATTAATTTAACCATCAGAAACTCAAAATAATAAGTTATCTCAACTAAATAAGTTGATTTGACAAAAGAAAATATGTTGTGATAACAAATCTTGAAAATATTTTTTACAGTGTATATGTATATATTATATACGTGCATTATATAATGCTGCCTGAATCATAAGCATACACTGTTCCTTCGTTGGCCAGAGGAGAATTGGCCCCCCGTTTTTTTTTTTTTCTTCTCCATTCTGACACCTGATGGAGTTTTGGTACCTTGCCACTGTTGCCTTTTTGCCCTTTTTTCGCCTTTTTGTTGCCTTTGACTTTTGACTTGCTTAGTTGGGGACATTTAATTTAATATTCAACAATATTATTGATCTGCCGACAGCCTGCATTGACACCATTATATGAGAACTGAACTGAGCTGGACAAAAACATCACTGTTTTCTCTAGAGCGGCTATATATATACGTATATAAATGAACTAAATGAATAACTTTTTTACAACAAAAATGAAACTCCAGTGAGCTTACTTAAAGGAGAACTCCGGCGCAAAATGAACCTTTGGACTAATTACACATTGGTACCTAGTTGACCGTTCTTCTGAGATTTGTTTTCATGATAATCGAATGTAAATAGTTTAATAAGAAGATATTTTATAAAGACAGTGCACTTCGTGTATACAGGCAGCAGCCATCTTAGGAAAACAGTCTCGACCCACGAACCACGAAGTCGAACCCTTCTAATAATTAATGAACACACTTATCACCGTGATTGCTATCTTACCAGAGATGTCCCTGCCCCCAAAAATGTAGGTACCCAAAAGCACTTCCCTCCATGTTTTCGGGTGGGCATAATTTATTTTTACCACGCATGCACACCAGTTTATAGTATTCTATACAATGATAAAGGCTATGTCGATTAGCAATGCATTATAGATGCATTTTATTCTGCTACAAAGATAACTGGATGCCTTTGTCCATATCCGGGATTTCCTGGAATGTCATAAGTTTTATGAATTTATGAGTCTCGCTTGTGAATTCTTAGTCTCACTTCAACCTCTGTAGCACCAGTGCTACGTGCAAAAAAGTGAACGTACAGCCATGATAAACACTGTACGACTTACTAAGAATTAGAGCCCGACCGATAAAGGATTTTAAAGGTCGATACCGATACAAATATTTGGGGGTTTTAAAATCCGATATTTCGATATATCGGCCGATATTTTATTTAAACTGGACATGATAGTCAGAAATTTTGTCATGCTTATTTGAGTTAAGAGAACTGATGGGGATGTTCTTTTAGTTGTTATTAAAGCAATGTATGTATCGTGTCCAACTCAATGAGTGTTGCCAACAGGAACGGTGTAGAGTGCCCTCTGGTGGACAAAGTATACAACTCCAACACTCATGACATGGTTCAAGCGTGTTTCGTCCGTTTTTATTTTATTTTTTAAATATTAATTTATCGGCCATTATAACTGCCGATACCGATAGTTTGAAAAATGTCTAATATCGGCCGATAATATCGGTCTGCCGATATATCGGTCTGGCTCTACTAAGAATGTTTTCCATACATGACTTATATATTATTATATACCAAATTATATACCGAAAAATGGAAATCAGTACAATTCGTACTTGTTTTCTTAAAAGTGGTATTGTGTCAACCTTAGGCATTACACTCTTACTTCCACAAAGTAATTTTGTAATCAGTGTCAAACACCGATAAAAAAAAAAAAGCTTTTCTCTTGTACCTCACAACTCTCTGTTCGGTCAACCGCATGGCTTCCTCTGCGGCCTCTCTCCTTGATCTCTCCTCTTCCAATCTAGAGTTTAACTGAGACAGATGAAACTCTGCCTCAACTAGCCTGGACAAAACATTTAAAAGAGTATTACAAAAAAAAAATCTAACAACATGAGTCATCTACAAACATTGTCGGTCTCAAACAAACCTCATCCTGAGGTCTCCGCTGTCTGATCCATCTGGGTTAAAATTTGCACGCATTGGTTCCTGAGGGGCTCCTGGTGGAACTTCTGCATAGACTGCACCCTGTTGAGAAATTAACAGAAATTACACCTTTTAAAGACTTTCTCATTTTTTTCTCATTTTATAAAGACATTCTCATTTTATTTCAAGGCCCTATAGTATCTATTCCACTTTTGCATTAGCAGAAGTGTATCAGATCTATTTCTCCAAGGCCAAATACATTAACATTAGGGGCTTTCGCACCGGAGGAACCTTTTCATAATCCCTAGAACTATTGTCAAAAGAACACGGGTGTCGGAGCGTTTGCATCGCAGGATCAAGGAACGATTTTAGTGCCAGGAACTCTTTTTGAGGAACTAATCTAGCTCCTACTTCAGATTAGGGTCTAAACCAGCACCATAGGCCTACGTCACGAAAAAATTGAAGACCGCAAGTACGTATTTTAGTAGGGATACAGCTCTTCCGGTAAGCTTTTTACAATGGTGGAGTCCCGATAGATACCGCCAGACCAAATCTCTCCGTAACCTGCCTGAAGTCGATGTGGTTGACGATGACATATGACGATGTGGTTCAGATGGTAAATGAAAACTCAAGTGGGAAAGCGTGAAAGCTGAGGTATGGCTGTCAACGTCCTGATGCAGAGCAACCCGGTACACTACAACAACAGCCGCGGGTAAGGTAAACGTTTCTTTGGTAACAGCGAGTTGGACCAATCAGCAGACGTTGCTACTACGCTTAGGATTGTGGGTAGTGTGGTTTTTTTTCCATAAGATCACGGATAAAACACGTTTTTCTTTTAACAAGGCTGATTTCATACAAGCATATAGCTTCAACAGAAGCAAAAACCTTTGTTTCACAACATCATAGCTCTTAGTCTTCCTCACATGGTTTAGACATTAGGGCTTATAATCTTAATCCTTATCGAGAAATACTGTTGACCAGAAGTTCTGTATCCCTACTCCACATTCTGGAAGCAGGAAGTGTGACGTTAGTGTTCACTGATTGGCCGAACACCAGTAACCACCAATTTAAAAAAAGCTATGTAAACACACAGATTATAACCTACGTTTACTCCAGAAACTACCTATACAAACATGGAAAACGGTGATAGATGGGCCTCTTAATCTTTATGCAGAGGAGAAAATCCAATGCAACTTTGAGGAGACCAAGCTAAACATCATGTATTTCTGCTCTGCTGGTGACAATGGACATCAACCGCACAGCATACACCAATATATTTTTATATACTGTCTACTTTCTATGTATAACAGTTCTATCTACTAACGTATTAGATAGGACTGTAAGACAGATTGTAAATTAATGAACATGGAGAATGCAAGCACTGTTTGTTTACTCAGGCTCTAGCGTTCTCAACGCCATCAAAATAAAGGTCAGCCACGCCGTCAAAAAAAAAAAAAAAGTCATAGCAACGAACGCTTCTTAAATCAGTTTCTAATGGTGGAAAATGTTCCTAGGAGAACCATTAGTTCTCGTGGAACCACCCTGGTGGATATTTTCTAGAACTAAGTTCCTAGAACTATCCGGTGCGAAAGCCCCTTTTGTCAAATCCATTACCATGCCAATCTCTCCGAGAGTTGTCATGACAGAATTTGTTTTCATCATTACAACTTTTACATATCTTGTCCAATTTTCATCAAAGTCTCATCACAACATCATTACAGAATAAAGTCATAGCGAGTACTGTACCATTCCACAGCACCCTGACATTAAATGAACATAAAAGATCAAATAAAGAATAGTTTTTTGAACCAATCACTTTTGAACCATCTGCCAAATATCTGCTAACTAACATTAACATTGTACACATTGTGTTGCCAGAAGGCATAACTGTGCAGGAAATACTTATACGCGGACCCTTCTAACTTTTTTTTAATTAACAGGACCCAAACTTTACCATTTAGTGAGTTAATTGGAAAGTTATATTTCTATCTAGCCCTATATGACATAGGTTACATTTATTATTTGCTGATAAAGCAAGACCTGCTAACTAGATACTTGTAATAAAATCATGTTCAACTAAAGAATTAAATACACATCATACATATCAGCTAGTGCTACAATTTCCAATGACCTCACGACAAAGATAAAATTGTGTATGGTGACTACCACTGACACTGTAAGGATTTGATATTCATTCACTTTTAACCAACTACCTAGTGACCAAAAATATGCAAGTTTAAAAGCACCAAAAAATTACTAGTTGAACTTTATCTCAGGCAGAGCAGGTTCTATGAGAATTCTATGGTTCTCATAGGTTCTATGGAAAGTGTAATTACGTTAAATCGGCATAAAACAAACGTTGTGATAGTCTTTTCTTCCCTCATGATATCGTGATATAACAAGAAACAAGCGCTCGGCCATCTTTAGAATTTTGTGTTTGAACTTCAGTTTTTGCGGAAAGTTTAATTAATGTTATCATGAGCATTGTAATGTTTGAAGCGGATGTCATAACATACAGTATATGTCAGTAGACTGGGAAGATTTCAAAGCACGTGGTTCATTAATAAATCTGTCTACCTTCAAGCTTTTCGAACAAAGATCTTAGCCTACCTTCATGCTTTTCAAACAAAGAAATCAAGAATTGATGTGATGAGATGAATTGATAGAAGAGATGTCGTTGCAAGACCGTTATTTTGATTATGAAGGCAAATTAATAAAAAAAAATAATTATGTGCACAGAAAAATAATTTATGATAAATACAAATAATAATTTGTATTTCATGGTAATTTTAAGCTCGTCTATGATTGAAGAATAATAATTTTATACTGTAGATATTTTACAGTATTTTAGATCCACGTTTACAGAAAGACAAATTTAAATCACCTGTGTGGGTGAATACTGGTTTTGAAATTGTCTCTCCAGCCAACAGCAGCGATTCTGGAGCTCACTAACAGTCTGCTGTGTGTCTCTGAGCATCTTGGAAACAGTGTTCAATTGGGTCGACACCTCTTCCTTTTCCTCAATTGCCCGTTGCAACTAGTACACATACATGGATAAGAATACATGCACAGATAATAGGAAAACAATTCATGCCAATAAATATAAGACATTATTTTGTTTTTCAGATGGAACATGTGGATGCATACCTTGATGTTGAGTTGTTGGAGGGCAGATTCTCTTTGCTGGATCTCTAGCTGATAGTGATGCAGATTGCTATGCAACTGTTCTGGAGACACATCTTTACCCTGCAAAGTCATGGACTCCTGCAGATAGACAGAAAAATGTTTCTGAGTATTCTTCAAAACAAGTGTCATGACATACTAAAACAAGTTTTGACAACCTGAAATGTATATTAATGTTTTTTGGGTGCTATGACCAAATTAGTCAGACCCTCCCTGAAAAAAATGTTGCTGCATCCCAAAAACCTAAACTATGCCCTAAAATGATGTCCTCTTTTTGTGGAGGAAAAGTCAATTCTTTTAAGTGTGTTGCAGAAGAATAGGCAAGTTTTGGAACATACTACCACAGCATACAGTACTTGCATTTTAATGATTAATTAAACATTATGTATATCCTGTCACCGTAAACTTGGCTATGAATCATTCTGTCAAGGTTAAAGGGTTAGTTCACCCAAAAATGAAAATTAAGTCATTAATTACTCATTACTCACCCCCATGCTGTTCCAACCCCGTAAGACCTTCGTTCATCTTCGGAACACAAATAAAGATATTTTTGATTGAATCTGAGAGCTAGATCAGTCCTAATTAGACTGCCTAAGGGACTGGCTCTTGACGGCCCATAAAGTCATTAAAGAAAAGGTTTAAATATTCCATGTGCCTACAGCGGCTCAATTATAAGTTTATCAAGCGACGAGACTACTTTTTGTGCGAAAAAAACATAAATAACGACTTGCATGCGCGAGAACTGAGACGAGGACGTTATTCGTCTACTTCTTGTTACCGCTCGGCTGCTCACCGCTTAGGAGTTTTACCGCCACCTACCGTATAAAATGAATGATGATCCATATATAAGGCGCTCCGGATTATAAGGAACACTGTCGTTTTTTGAGAAGATTAAAGGCTTTTAAGTGCACCTTATAGTGCGAAAAATACGCAAATTGAAAAGCGTATATACAGCGCGCATCTTCCTCTGCTTGTAAACAGAAAGCGCTTCCAGCTATATCAGCACATCATCTTATACGGTAGGGGGCGGTAAAACTCCTAAGCGGTGAGCAGCCGGTAACAAAAAGTAGACGAATGAGAACGTCCTCGTCTCAGTTCTCGCGCATGCGCCCATAAGGAAGTAATGGAATAGTGGAATAAAGTCGTTATTTATTTTTTTCGCACAAAAAGTAGTCTCGTCGCTTGATAAACTTAAAATTGAGCCGCTGTAGCCACATGGAATATTTAAACCTTTTCTTTAATGACTTTATGGGCCGTCAAGAGCCAGTCCCTTAGGCAGTCTATGTAGGACTGATCTAGCTCTCAGATTCAATCAAAAATATCTTTATTTGTGTTCCGAAGATGAACGAAGGTCTTACGGGGTTGGTACAGCATGGGGGTGAGTAATTAATGACTTAATTTTCATATTTGGGTGAACTAACCCTTTAACATCCTAATATACAATTTCCATCAGGTTAGATATTGATTATTAATCACTCAAATCCCTTTTTATCTAAACCTCCCTACTTAAATCATTAGAAATTGTCTTTATCTAACCTGAACACTTGCCAATACCCTTTCTAGAAGCATCTAATTCTAGTTCATTGTTCTGTAACTTTTTCTGAGCTAGACAAAAATAAAAGATTTCTTGCATCAACGTCTTAACTTCCCGGTCCTTAGACATTAACGTGTTTTAAAATATCTAGATGTTGCAGAGAAAGGAGTATCTATTCTATGCATCTGTTTGTCAGACTCTAGAAATGTTAACTCTTTATCTCAGTAAGGGTATTACATTAAGCACAAACCAGGATGTGGAGCTTCTCTCTCTCCATTGGCGTATCTTCCTCCACTTCATTCATGGTGCTGGATTGCCATTGGTGTTGTACCTGGTCCTGAATTCTCTGAATCTGATAACTGGAACTTCTGCAGATCTCTTCCTTTTCCAGGACCAATTTACAGACCTCTTCTTCCTTTAATGATTTTTCATTGACAACTTTAATCAACTCCTGTTTGGTGAAATTATATTCCTCTTGAAGTTTCTTGTACAGTTCGTCCAGTTTCTGCATTTGCGACTGAGCAGCAAATGTGATTAGTTCCTTCTCAGCTTGTTTTTCTCTGAGTAGTGTGATCTCTGAGGTTAATTGCTCTATTTTAAAGTTCAGTTCTGACGAACTACTGTGCAAGCTCAGATACTTCTCTTTTTCCTGCATCAATAAAGAATCCTTTTCATTAATGATGCTGATGAGATGGTTATTCTTCTCTTGTAAGTTCTGTAATTCCCCTTGAAATTTAGCAATTGCACCCATTTCTAATTTCAGTCTGGCTTCAGATGCTTCTGATTGTGCCAATAACGTAGTCTTAACCTGAGAAAACTCTTTATCTTTATTTAACAGCAAAACATCTTTGTTTTGCAAAGCTTTCTGCAAATTCTGAATCTCTTCATGTAGCTCAGAGATCACTGTTAATTTCTGAGTGATTTGGTCCTCACTTTCCAACAGTTTGACCTGCATCTGATTTACATACATCTCCTGCATTCTGAAAACGTTTTCTTTTTCCTGCAGAGTGAGTTGTAAAGCTTCAAGATGAGATTGCTCCGATTTGAACTGTTCAGTCAAAGAGGTCAGTTCCACTCTTTTGCTAGCCAATTCATTTTGTAGAGAAGTGATCATCTCTCGTTGTCTAAACATTTCTCCCATTGAATTCTTCAGTTCAGATTTAATTACAATATTTTGGTCATTCATTGCCTGAAAACTATCCTGATATTCTACAACCTCTATTTGTTTCTGTCTCAACTCCTCTTTTAGTCTACCATTTTCTGCCAAATGCATCTCTAAAGTATTTTTTACATTTGCATGATCAGATTCAAGCTTCACAATATTTGTATTCATAATACCAAGCTGACTAGTCAGTGAAAGCAATGACTCGTTTCTTTTATCCAATTCCTCGGAGTGATTGTGACGCTCAAGATTTGTTTCTCTTAAAGTGCTTTCTTTCACTTCCAAGTCCATTTTCAGAGTGCTTATCTCTTGCTGGAGGCTAAAAACAAGTTCTCTTTCACGACTAAGTTCCTTTTGTAGCAAAACACCAGTATTTGATTCTGTCTGCAGCAGGATGTCTTTCTCTGTCAAGCCTGATTTATGTTCATTTGCTTGTTGTTGAAGTATGGATATACTATCTTGTAAATCCTCGAGTTGGTGCCGATAAGCTTCTATTTGCGCACTTTGATCTGTTAAGATCTTTTCTTTTTCAAGGACAATATGGTTGTATTGAATGACTTGAGAAGTGGAGGATTCAAGTTCTCTCCTAAGATGATCTACTTCCTCTTTGGTCTCTCTGAGACATTGTGAGAGGGCTGCGCATTCTGAAGACTTTTCCTGTAAGGTCTCAGCTCCAGACTGCTGTTTCTGTAGAATAACTTTGTATTCCTCTACTTGCAAAAGCAAACCTTCCTTTTGCTTAAGTAAACCTTCTATAAGTTTGCGGTTTTCCACATCTTGCGATTCAAAAATCAAGACTTTGTTTTGTAATGTCTCTCTCTCCTTTTTTGTTTCTGTGAGTGACTTCATCTGTTCATTCATTTGTTTCTGAAGGCACTTGTTCTGTTCGTCAAGACTAATGATTTTCGAAGAAAGTTCTTCATTTTCTTTGAGAGTTAATGTGACCTTGCTGTTCATTTCAGACACAACCTGCGTCAGTGTAAGCATTTCCTTTTGTTTCTCTTCGAACATTTCTTGTAAATGTTGAGTTTGTCTAGTCAATGTCTCATTGAGTCTGACAACAGAATCTTTTTCTAACAAAATCTCAGCCACTGATTGCTTGTTTTGTTCAAGTTCTTTGTTCAATTCAGTTCCTCTGAGAGCTAGCTCTTCCTTTTCCATCTGCAAGTCTTCTGTTGTTTTAACCCTTTCAAACAGCTGCAGTTCAACTTCAGATATTTTGCTTACCAACCTTATCTTTTCATCTGAAACATCAGAAAGAGACTGGCCAATGGACTCAATTTCCATTTTTAATTGACAATTGTCATTAGTGAGGCTTTTGACTTGTAAAAGCAAGTTGGAATTCTGATCTTGCACAGCTCGTATTTCCTCCTTGGCATTATCCAGAAGCTGCTTTTGTCTTGTAAGCTCCCCAAAATTCTGCTCAATTGATTCTTGAAGTTTCTTGTTGTTATCTTTCACAGATTCAAAACTCTCAATTTTATCAGACAAATCTTTCTCAAGGGTTTCTTTCGCTAAATCTCGAATCTTGAGTTCTTTGTTAAATCTATCCCTCTCTGCTACGGTCTCCTCTTGAACAGCCTTCAGTTTCTGCTCCAATAGGCATATTATCTTTGACTTGTCTTGGACATCTTGCTTAAGCTGCTCTTGACATTCAACCTGCTCCTCAAACTTTCTAGAGAACATCAAAAGCTCACTTTTATGTTTGCTGACTTCATCAAGCAATTTATTACGTTCCTCTTTGACAAATTCTTTTTCATGCACATGTTCTCTATCCAATAGGTGATCTTTGACATTCATACTCAACTTCTGTATTTCCATGCGGAGATCCTGGATTGTTTTCTTATCGTCCTCAGTTTGCTTTGTGAAGTCTTTAATTTCATCACTCTTAGACTCACCTTCTTTTTTCGCTACCTTTAGATCACTTTCAGTTCTCTTTAATTGTTCAATCAGCTGAGGTATTAACACGTTAAAAAACTGTTGGTCAGAAAGCTGTGGGTCTCTGAAGATTTGAACATCCCGTTCGACTTTATTCAGCACATCCTCTTTGAGCTTCATTTCCTGTTTTAATTCATGGATTTGCTCTGAATATTCTGCTGTGATGGATGATAAAGCCAGAATTTCTTTGTCCTTGTCAGTGATGACATCTTGAAGTCTATCAATTTCCCGCTCACAGCTCTGCAAGTCATGAACCAGCTGTGCTCTTTCTTCCATATGTGCTGTGTTCAGTCTGTCAAGATCATCGTTTGTTTGAGCCAGATCACTCTGTAATGATTCTATAGTTGCCTCTTGTTTCTGCATCTGAAACAATAAAAAAAGTAACGCAATAACATGTTAATGAAAAGAAGAAATAATTGTGTAGTCAAAATATAATAAAAACATGAAACCAAACAAACATTCAAGACAAGAACAATCATGTCGGTGAGAAGTTACCTTGTCTTTCAGTACACCAATTTGAGTGTCAGCTCTGCAACAGTTGCTTTCATCTCTGAGTTTTCCTTCTCAAAGGTGCTGCATGTCTTTTTAACTTCAGCCAGCTGCATTGCAAGGTAGTATTCAATTACTCATATGTGGTTTACAGTAAAAATCACATGTATGTATGTATGTATGTCATATCATAAATGTGTGACACTGATCATGATGCTTGAGTCGGCTCTAAATTGTGTTTTTTTTTTAAAAATAAAATGGATGCTGAAGCTATAAAATTTTTCTAAATGTGGTGAAGAGGAGGTGTTTATTTGGACATTTATTGTCCAATTATTTATACATTTAAGGTCAATTTGAAATATATGTGACCGACTGCTGAAATGGAGCCCAATAAATATCCAATCATATAAATGAGTCCCCAAATAGATCATGTCATCTAGTAAAACATACACACATTATTTCAATACAGTTCACATTTACCCACATTGTGTTCAGTTTGAAGAAGTTTGTCAGCAGTGTCTTGCTGTTGTTTTTCTTTTGTCTCTAAAGCCTCCCTCAGACTCTCAATACATTCCAGTTTCTCTGAGGTTCTGGCAAGCGTGTGCTCCTTTTCCATGAGCGAGGACTCCAGACACTCCTGTGTGCAGCTCAGTCTGTCAACAGATGTGTTAAGAAATAATTGTTATGGCTTTTAAACACACGATTAGTGAATTACAAAGTCACAAAACAAATAGGAATCATGAAATGTTCAGTAATAAGGCCCCAGAAGTTTACCCTTGGAGTTGTTTGTTCAGACTGGTGATGAGCAGCTGATGCTTTTCTGTGTCTTTAATCTGCTGACTGCGAAGACTGACGACCTGTGCCTGCAGCCGCTCAGACTCATTCTGACACACAAGATGACAGATCATAAAGATACACGCAAAAGCGCAAAAAATGCACACCACGGCACAACTGTGTGTCATGTCGGCATTGTAGACCAATGTGGCTTAGCCTAGGGCTGCACGGTAATAAAAAAAAAAATGTAATTGCTCATTGTTGATCATTAGTGGAAAACAAAAACCTGATCCTTGTAGTGAACCAAGTGAAAAAGGACCCAAATTTCTTATTGGTAACTCCTTATTGGTCTTAGACCCTCTTTGTTTTCAAACTTTTTGGACCAAGTCTAAGGGTGCATTCACACCTGCCTTGTTTGGTTCGATTGAATCAAACTCAAGTTCGTTTCCCCCCTTGGTGCGGCTCTTTTGGGGAGATGTGAACACGGCAATCGCGGACCAAACAACTGTACCGAGACCCAACTGAAGAGGTGGTCCCCGGTCCGCTTCCAAACAAACTCTGATATGGTTCGTTTAAGGTATGACCCAATTGCAGAAAGCACCATGCATTTTTTTGACATGATCAGATGTGTACTATGTAATTCGGGGTGATGAAATGTCTATACATTATTAGGGTGAGCTGCCCCACAGTTCATCACGCATGCGATTTGCTGATTGACTGCTAAATTTAACCATCATAGAGTGAAAGTTTATCATTTCGACGTGTTTTGTCTTGCAAATTTACACATTCAAACGATTTTAAACGCAGAAGAAAATCGAAAATCGGGACTCACACGTTATCTGTGACCAGAGCCGCACACACCCGAAACGTGTGCACGCAGAGAGAGACAGAGAGAGAGAGAGAGATGCACGTTTCATAATATAGCGTTAGCGTTTCCTTGACAGACACATGCACACAAAATTAAGTTAAACTCGTGTAAATACCCTTCTCGCAGCTTCTCGGCAAGTACTCTCTCGGTTATATCATAGTTGTCATCATTGTTTTTTCGGTATTGCATTTGTCTTAAAGTGCAAGTGTCTTTAAGTGTTGTCTGTGTCATAAATGTTAATAAAACAACAAATTACAGCTTTAACAAAAATTAAACTATATTTAATTTCTACAGTGAACAGATAGTGTTATTATTTACAAGTTCTGTGCCTGAATGACTTTGTAACTTTGTCATTTAGTATTCATCGCTGCTTGTAATTTGTGTATTTGTTATTTTACTGTTCACTTGTTTTTAATAATGTTTGAAATTTATCATTCAAGAGCATGTTCTCTCCAATGCAACCGCCTTGCAGCACATCTTCGTCTTCGCAAATTCTTAATAACAACATGACATTGTATCATATGATGCTCATAAGTTTCTTCATACTGCGTTAGAAGCTGATAACACCAAATCAGTAAAACAATAAAAATTCCTCTTAGAAATACTGTATGTCCATACCATAAATTGCCCATTTTTACAATTCCTGCTTTTCCCTGCTTGAGAATTTGTCAAATGAATGGATGACCTTAGCACACATGTGGTTTTATTTACAAATTTTGGTTCACTTGCAAAAAGGGCAGTATGAAAGCGAACCACATCCAAAAAAAAAAAAAAAAAAAAAAAAAAAAAAAAAAAAATCAACATTGTATTTGGTCCGGACCAAGGCACGTGAACTAGTGGACTAGTGAACTTTCCTGGTGTGAATACGCCTTATTACAATGGTTGGTGTCTGATGGCTATACCCTCCAAAATGCGACCCCATTCCCTTATCTCAGTGAAGTTGACAAAAACAAACGTTTGTGCTGGTTTGGTGTTTGAGATATTGAATTATTTTATGGTTGTGTGACATCACTCTTCGCTTGTGCTCGGTTTTTGTCCTTTAGAATGATTTGGACGCAGCTCTATTTATTTCAAATAATAGAGGGTATTTATTTGCATGTTTTAGCAAACCTAACTCAACGAGATGGTGTTGGTTTGGTTCGCTTTATACAGGTCTGAGATTGTGTAGTGTTTGCGAACCATGCTCAGACACCTTAAAAGCACCAAGTGTGAATACACTCTAAGACAACAACTAAATGGTCACATTGGTCCTCGTGTCAGAACTGTGAATAAATCAGATACTGAAAGGGAGTAAAGTACACAATCTCACAAAAACTGGATTAGTTCTAAATAGTATGCTATAATGTTTAATTAGCGAATCGTCTAAGCCATAAACATAAATCACAATTATATTTTTGATTATTTGTGCAGCCCTAGCTTAACTCAAATTGTTAAAAATCACTACACACCCTGTTTGTGAACTGCACACTTATTTACTGTGTGAAGAGGACGGTGATGAAACAAGAACACAGAGAAGGTTACACGGTCAGACTTGTTTTTGGAAGCTTTCACAAACATAAACAAACCTGAGATGTGGACAATGCTTGATCACCTTCATCTAAACCAAGCGTTGCCTGCGTTAGAGGAGTGTTGCATATAGTTCAGGTAATTAACTGGCAACCAACTTATACATCATAAAAAGATTCAACAAGACGTCCCAAAAAAATTTTTGGGAAAAAAAAAAAGAAGCAGAAACTGACCTATCAATAAGCCTCGGCATCTTAAAAATATTGGTGACAAAACATACATGGGCAACTCTTGCTGTCAACCCATTATGTTGCATGATTGTGTAGGTCTGTGATAGTTTTAAGTGTCATTTTACAGAGATAATACAAAAATATGGTAAATACCAAATTTGGTAAATGTTATTCACGAAGTGGATCAGAATAAGATTTTCAGCAATTAATAACTTAAAACTAAATCAGTGGTTCCCATAATTCAATTAATGGCAAACACAGCTTTTGTTTATGTTCATTTCTTTCTACCCCACCTTAAAATAACATTAAAACCGACATATTTTTAACAGTCAAAATGCCGAACCAGGTCAAATACATGACGCATGCATATTATAGGTTGCGTGCAGAGTATGATGCCTTAGCAAATCATGCTACATTACTGTCGTTCTCAACAATGCACCTTTTATTTGTAAAAGTGAGGACTTAGCACTTACTAGTAAAACAAATACAGACAGGTGGTGCATAGAGATCATTTGAAGACTCAAACTCTCTTCTATCAGACTGATCTCATGAAGTAGCGTGTGTATGACACGCCAATTCGTATTTCCATTTTTGGCGTGCTATCAACACTCATAATCGCTTTTCAGTGTGTTTATGAACGCCGTTGGCTTAACGTTATTACTCTATATATAAATATATGACTTACCTTAACCCTGTCTCTAAACCTAACCGTCACTGGGGTTAATGGCATTTATGACTGTTCCCTTACCATCCTAGGAGAGAAAAACATAGCTCCCCAGATGTAGATGTACATTTTGCTTTGTTTTGCTCGGACATTTAACAGCGTGTACAGACACGCGGACGTTAATGGCGCATACACGCTAGGCTTGCCGCGATAGACGGTGTTACCGGTTTTAAGCCCCATCACCGGTGACATCACTTTCCCACCGCGGTGACACCGCGATGTCTTGACTTTTTTTCGCTTTTGCTAACATATTTATTTGAATTAATTAAAAATAAAAATTTCCAATTATTTAGTTCAGAAGTGAGCATACATTATAATTAAAAATGAACTGCGCAGTGCGTGCCAAGAGCCAGTCACGTCACAGATCAGCAAGCATCAGGATTCCATTTAGCACGTGTGGAGACGAGAACGAGTCAAATTACAGAAAAGCAAGATAATGGCGGAAGATTTGGTGTCAAAACGCAATGCAAAAGCGTTGTTTTTTTTTTTTTTGTCCATTCCAGCAATTGATGCTGAATTGCAATTGACGCTTATTTCGAAAGAGAAAGTATGTCATTTATGTCAGCTAAGGTCCTTTTTGAAGTATTTATTTTATATTCGTCTCTTTTTAATGGGTTTTATCTTATTTAAACTTTGTGTAATTTATTTAGGCCTATTTTATTTTCTTATTCGTTAATAAACGTTTTATGGTTCTTATTTGTTTGGTCCCACAGTTTGCCGATTTTCACTTTTTTCAGCCAATGCATGTGGTTATTTTTATGCGTTCGTTATGCTAATAAAAGTTCTGTCTATTTTATTCGTTCGTTATGCTAATAAAAGTTCTGTCTATAAATAAAAGTTTTATTATCAGCGAGTTGTTTTTTTGTCCATTCAAGCACTTGACGCTGAATTGCCAATTGACGCTTATTTCAAAAGTGAAAGTATAACGCGCACGCATTTAAAAGCTATTTAACCCTCCCGCCCCGCCCCGGGATTACCGGTGTCACCACACGTCGATTAACCGGTGGGAAATTTCCTCACCGCGGCAACCCTAATACACGTGGATACACGCAGATAGCTCAAAATGCTTCAAGATAACACGCCACTTGACTCGAAATTGGCGTGTATGTTTACACAAAAGTCATGATGTCATGTTGCTTCGATGCAAAAGTTCTTTTTAATGTTGATATCAAGAATGCAATTTTTCCCAAAATTGCAAATGAATGACATTGATTTGATACAACAGTTTGACAAACAAAAGGGTTATATTAAGTGATGTACATTTTAAACAGTATTGTCAGAATTGTTTGCTCTATTTTGCAACAAAATAATAGTTCCAACGAAAGCCACAGCAGAACTGTAACACACAGCAGTGTTTTGTGAACGAATCTCCAGCTTTAAACGAATCGAAAGAGTCAAAGTTTCAATGACCTATTCATACAATATACATGATCGAGAGGACATGTAAACACTTGATCAGATTGAAAAACAAAACTGAAAGTACTGCGCATGTGTAATGACATAGAATTGGCATAAAGACATATAAACCATAGAACGAGCTGTTGTTGAAAAAAGTGTAACAAATGAACATTGATTCACGATTCATTCAAAGCCAAAGATGAACTATTTTAGAACTACACACTCTCGTTGGAACTATTATTTTGTTGCAAAATTAGCAAAAAATACTGACAATACTCTTTAACATTACCGCTTCGTTTGCGAAAACGGTTAAATTTTCCATTTCAATTTTATCTTTACATTTTCAATTTTTCTTTAAAAGAATCAATTTTACATTTGCAATTGGGTGAAAAGTTGCATTCTTGCTCATATAATGTATGATCAATATTAAAAACAAGAACTCACACAGAGTATGTTTTCAGGGTATCTTAAATTAATCTCTATGCAAAGTCTATTTTTGATCTTCATGCTAGTAAGTGCTAAATTCCCACTTTTACAAAGGTACATTGTTGAGACCGGCAGTAATGTACCGCGATTTGCTGAGGTAATTTGACTGGATGTCATGCATTTACTGCATTTTACCAACTAGAAATACATGCTCAGTTTTAATGTTATCAAGGTGGGTTAAAAATAAATAAAGGCCAAAACTCAGCATTTTGCTCATGTACCCCCTCTATCACCTCATGTACCCCATTTTGAGAACCACTGACTTAAAGGGTTAGTTCACCCAAAAATGAAAATTCTGTCAGTATTTACTCACCCTCATGTTGTTCCAAACCTCTATGTGTTTATTTGTTCTGCTGAACACAAAGGAAGATATTTGGAAGAATCAAACAGATCTTATTCCCCATTGACTACCATAGTATGTATTTTTTCCTACCATGGTAGTCAATGGGGAATGAGATCTGTTTGATTAAAACATTCTTCCAAATATCTTCCTTGGTGTTCAGCAGAACAAATAAACACATAGAGGTTTGGAACAACATGAGGGTGAGTAAATACTGACAGAATTTTCATTTTTGGGTGAACTAACCCTTTAATGGAAAAGCTGTGACTGCAGTCTAAGTGAAAGAGAGGGGGTACACAAAAGAATGTCAAATGCCTTAGGGGGTACATCACTAAAAAGTTAGGGAACCACTTTTCTAAATTATACCTCAAACAAAACTACTGTATATCAACAGAGCACACATCTTTGTTTGGACAATTTTGGTACTGATTTTTGGAATAAATTATCATGATTACACTTTTCTTCAGATGGGACGTATCAGATGGGACGTATCGCTTCTGCACGGATTATAGGAAGTTATAATAAAGTGACTAGGCATGATTCATTTCCACTTTATTTAATTATTTTTAAGGTATTTCAATCCAGTAATTTCTCTCTGCATGATTTACAGCAGCAGTAACCGAGAAAGCGGGCTTAGCAAAAGGTCAGTTGGCAAGCAGTGTAATTGCTGACACATACAGTATCATGATAGTGCCTAATACGTGCAGTCCAAACAGTTTCGGTGTACCTGTAGTAATTCAATGCGAGCCTGAAGTTGCAGACGGTCCTCTAGATCTCCACATTGTTTCTCAAGGACCAAAATCTGCTCCTGTAGTTGGTTTCTCTCCAGTTCAAGCTCCTCGACAACAGACCTCAAACCATCTAAACAAGTGAAAAAACAAACAAAAAACAAACAGTTCATCTACATGAATAATGCCAAATAAAGTGAACTGTTGTAGTGTTTGTCCAAGTCAATAAAGAGACATTGTTGTATGCCAGAATTCACTTAACTTTACTGAACATAACATGAATGTATTGATATGTTTTACATTAGTTCTTTCACCAATCATACTTTATTTTGTGTTGAGTAATATATTTAACAAACACAAAAACAAAAACGCACATCACCAGCAAAGATGCTCACCAAAAATGAAAAGATAGAGAGATATCACTCTGAGAAGAAAACAAAACTGATGGAAAAGTAAAGGACTTAATCAAGACAGGACACGCAAAAGGCTCTTCTTATTTTACATAATCTTAACTTAGCATTCCAATTACGCAAATGTTTTCATAATGACATGGCTATGGCCAACTTCTTGTCCAGGCCCTAGTCATTTCTAGGCTTGATTACTGCAGTGCTCTTCTGGCTGGACTTCCATCATGTGCAACTAAACCTCAACAAATGATCCAGAATGCTGCAGCTCGTCTGGTCTTCAACGAGCCCAAAAGGGCCCACGTCACTCCTCTGTTCATCTCTCTGCACTGGCTACCACTCGCTGCTCGCATCAAGTTCAAGGCGTTGACACTTGCTTACAGATTGACCAGAGGATCAGGACTCATTACTACAAGTCTACATCCCTAGCAGAAGCCTACGATCAGTCAATGAGCGACGGCTCGTGGTACCATCACAGAGAGCCTCAAAATCACTCTCCAGAACATTTTCATTCACGGTACCATGCTGGTGGAATGATCTTCCCACCCTCATCCGAAATGCAGAATCCCTGTCAGCAGGGCCGTGCACGGGGGGTGGCCCGGTGGCTAGAGCCACTGCCCCTCTGCCCTCATCGACTGAGGTGCCCCTCCTGCCCACGCAGCCCACCTGCTTCGCTTTGCTCAAAGCATTCCGTTGATTCCGCTAATCCGCTCCAGGTTTTCCCGCTCGCTCCACAGTCCGCACTCCGCAGCGTACTCTGCGGCCCTCTCTTGAAACTGAGTGAATACGACAGTTCACGAAAGCTGTTGCATTAACAGGTAGGCTATGCAAGACTATGGAAGCTTGTTTCCACCACAGAATGAAAAATAAAAAAGGCAATTGCAACTTTTTATCTCACAATTCGGACTTTTATTCTCACAATTGCGAGTTTACATCTCAATTGCGAGTTTTTCATCTCTTGCGAGATTATGAAGTCAGATTTGCGTGATATAAAGTCACAATTGCGTGTTATAAAGTCAGAATTGCGAGATATAAACTATTCTGAGGGGAAAAAGTTAGTATTTTTTCCCCTTAGAATTGGCTTGAGACTCGCAATTGCGAGTGTATATCTTACAATTCTGAGAAAAGATGTAAGAAATTCGACATATAAACTCGCAATTATGTGTTATAAAGTCAGAATTGTGAGATGTAAACTAGCAATTGTAAGAAAAAAGTCGCAATTCTGTTTTTTTTTCTCAGAATTGCGATTTTATAACACGCAATTCTGACTTTATATCACGCAATTCTGGCTTTATATCTCGCAATTCTGACTTTATATCTCGCAATTCTGGCTTTATATCACGCAATTCTGACTTTATATCTCGCAATTCTGACTTTATATCACGCAAATCTGGCTTTATATCACGCAATTCTGACTTTATTTCTCACAATTCTGACTTCATATCTCACAATTTTGAGATAAAAAGCCGCAATTATTTATTTTTTTTATTTTTATTCAGTGGCGGAAACAAGCTTCCATAATAGACAGTGGTTGAATCTGCGAAATTATTCATTATTTTTTTGTTTGTTTTTGTGCATTTATGTCGGTAATGTTTTGCTCTTGGTCTTCTACTAGTGCTAACAACTTGTACAACATATCCACGTTCTTAGAATTAGCTGCTTTTCTAATCAAATTATTGTACTCTCTCGATCTAATACAAATAATAGCCTAAGTACACCCCCCCCCCCCCATCCTTTTTTTTTTGGTGTAAAAGGAAAATACTCTAACAATAATGTAAAAAAAAAAAATGTAAAACTGTAACAATAACTGAATAATTTGTGTTAACAAGCAACCACCCCCTTAGTGCCCCTTTTTTTGGCTAAGGCCACTGCCCCTTAAAATGTCTGTGCACGGCCCTGCCTGTCAGCATTCAAAAGACAACTGAAAACTCATCTGTTCTGTGAGCGCTTAACATAAAAACGCTGATTTGTGTACGGTTTGTAAATATGCAGCTTCAGTTTCACTTTTTGAAAGAATACTGCCAGCTGCTGGTTTAGACAGTTATTTCCTCTCATGTAGGCACAGAAAGTACCGGTATGTGCTAGTTGGCCGTTGGCTGTAGACTATGCAATGTGTTAAAGCGCAACTTTTTGATCCAGATACAAGAGATGAGAGACGACAACACAGTAGGCTTTTGTCTCCACTAGTTCTTTGAAATCGGTTTAGTGTGTCACGGTCTTAACACAGAATCGTGATTAATATAATACATCAACAACAATCCAAATCCCTGTTAATAAAAACATTAATGATGTTGTAATAATTACAGCAGAAACACCAGATTAAATATTTTAGCTTTTTTTTTTAAAGTTTCAGAACCACTGATTTGAATTGGTGTAAAAAATAAATAAATAAATAAATAAATAAATAAAAGTGTGTATTTTCTAATTTGCATTAGACATTTTATATCTAATGTGAGGTAATAAATAATAAGTTATTTGTTTGGGTAACACTTCACAATAAGGTTCATTAGTTAACTTGAACTATTAATGAAATGCACTTCTACAGCATTTACTAATATTTGTTAATGTTAATTTCAACATTTACTAATACATTATTAAAATCAAGAGTTTAATTAGTTAACATTAGTCAATGCACTGTGAACTAACATGAACTGCTGTATTTTTATTCACTAACGTTAAAGATTAACAAATACAGTAATACATATATAGCTCAAGGTTAGTTCATGTAAGTTAATGCATTAACTAATGTTAACAAATTAACCTTATTGTAAAGTGTTACCATTGTTTGGAATGAAAAAAGTGGTTAATGAGAAGGCAAATCCCCCCAAAAGTAATTTAATATGATCCACTTGGACAATCATTCTTATAATGTCAATGTGAAATTCATTAGCTGGTGCCCTGAGGTAAAAAGAGGAAGACAGTGTCTAGTGAGTTTCACACCTGTATCTGCAGCACTGTGCTGTGGCCACCATCCACCCATATTCTCTCCATTCACATCGCAATCACTGGGACCTATCGGGTCTTGCCTATTATGAAATTCCAAGTCTTCCTGTAGAAAGAAAAAAAACAAAAACATTTTTTTACAACCACCTCTTTAAAATTAACAAATACCGTAATTACTTCTACGTGAGTGGGGGAAAAATCTACAAATTTAACAGGAGAGCCATTCGTGTCATCATTTATACTCACCCTCAAGTCCTTCCAAACCTGTATGGCTTTCTTTCATTCTTCCATATCTTCAAACTTTGAGATTCAAGATTGGTTAAAAGACATTTAAAAAAAAAAAATAATAATAATAATAGGGATGTGCCGGTTGCCAAATACATTATGTGTAAAGGCACGGATAATGGCATCAAAAATAATTATGACAAATATGCTGGATAACAGGTGAGGGGAATCGCACAAAATTATACATAAACCTCTAAATCACTACGCAATGAGTGTGTGAAGTGAATGAGTGTTAACTCCATGAATGAAGTGAGACCAGCATGATCACACACACCAAATAGCCTGTCGCCCCCCTGCAGAAATCAGAGCTTTATCAAGGGTAATATCATCTAAGGTTACTGAATCATACACATTTTCTACGACTGGATATGTCCTTTATACCTTGTATGATTTGATACATGACATGTTTCCCTGTCTCATTGAGAAACAGTGATCAGAGTTGTGGAGAGACAGGCAGGTAATTCTAATGCAGATCAGAGAGTGGTAAAGGGACGGAAAGCAGCAGGAAGGAGCATGCATTGCAAATTTGGTTTTCAAGGAATGACATGGACTAGAAGTTCACCCAAAGCCATCATGATAACTAGAGTGCAAATTACCACGATAAACAGGATTATTTTAAGAAATTATAATTCATGGTTTCAGCATGATCCCCATAATCTCTTGACAAAAATTTGCCACAAGAATTTTGATTCATCAAAGTATTGTAAAGATATAAGTTAATTAATTGGTCAGGCCACACTAGTTTTTATGAGATGACCTATATCTGCTGAAAGACAAAAATCTAAACGAAAATTGAAACGCATAGACACCAGCGGCCTGATGTATAAATATTGCATATGCACAAAAAAAAAAAAAGCATTGAAATGTGCGTACGCAATTTTCCATGCACATATCAGGATTTATACAAAATAAACTAGGCGTAAATATGTACGGACACTCTGCGGTGAATGCACTCTTTTACTGGAGTGAACGAAGTAATGAAGTAAACAGAACAATTTTAAACTCGGTTTTACATCTGACACATTTACATTAAATATGCCACTCATTAATGGAGTTAAACACTGAAAATGTATGAAATTATAATCCAAATTACAATTTTTTTTTCATTAATTTAAATTTCCTGTGGCATGTTGTGTTTTAATGTTTTAACTACATCGAGGAGTGCTTGGCACATGATAATTCCACTTTAATTTGTGTTGTAAATAGCACGCTGTGAGAAAATATTTCCGCGCAAGAAATAAATCAATGACACGCACTTGTCTCCATCTTAGCAACATAGACACTATAATGACAACAGACACTGAAGGACTCGCTCGGAGTTCAAATAGTCCATTGGCCGGTTTAATTAAGTCCGATAACAAACTTTGCCGAATGCAGCTGTGCTGTTGGTGTCCTATCATGCATAGACAGACAGTAGGAAACCGTAAGATATGCACATTTTATTTGCAAAATATTTTCAAATCAGTGACGGCTGGGTCTTATTATTTACACTGCAAAAAATAAGGCTGATCTGTTAACATTAAAAAATATATAAACATCCTAAAATATATTTTTACCTTATGGACAAAATTGCATTACATTTTATTTGTTTAAACCAAGTAATGAAATACTAATTAAATACTATTTGGCCAGTGGAAAAGTTTGAGAATAACTCTTCTTTGAAAAGTTATACAGTTTTGATGTATTTATTCTAAAACAAGGCAAGAATATAGAATTATTTTTTAGTAATGTAATGTGATAGCACACAGTCTGTATCTCATATTTTCTTAATGCCTTGCACCTTTGAATATGGTATCACGTGTATGGAATAAGCAAATGATACGCAGATGACCTTATGCATAGTAAAATGAGTTGTTGTGAGCTGCATATATTTCGGTTATTTCGGGGAGGAGTCTTCCACTGACTGGGTTTTTTAAAGGGAATTTTGCACAGTTTCTAGAGTATTTAGCAAATTCTAGATTGTGTGCTTACACACACTTTTAGGATGAAAACTATGCAAAGTTTTATACACAAGGCCCCAGGACTTTCTGAGGATGCACACCAATTTTGTAAAATTACGCCAATAGGAGGCGCTCCAACACTTTAACTCCAGTAACTGTATGATCTATGAACTGTAGCTAATAACTCCATATAACAGTATTGTTTCATCTGAAACCTTAAAGCTGTTCAATTCACACAAAACTTATTTATTAAGTTGCCAGACAAGACTGAAAGTATTTCCGTCCAATTAAAATGGAGACAATTATTGTCTATTGTACATAGAATAATACATCATACAAAGACACTTAAAAGACTCATATTTGAAAAGAGACATGGCCATTGCATAACTGTAATATATTTTAACATTTAGTATTATTTTTTTTATTATAAAATATTTAAATATTTATCGGGTTACTGAGCTGGGACGTGGACTCGGTTAAGTTAAATGTCAGAGCACTGCCTACGAGGCAATCAGCTCAGACGATTAGAAGTAAAATATTAGAATTAAAATAAAATATTTTATGAGTTATACAAGGTATATTTGTTAAATGAAAACTATGAATGAAACAGAATTACATTTAAAACAGGATTCTAGTATAATTTTCACAAACTTCTGGTTAAAGCCGAGCCCACTTCTGTATTTTAAACGAATACAAATGCAGATAAAAATTATTTTGCATTTGTTACAGATACAGATATTGTCTCCAATGCACACCCCTTAGTAATAACCTTTGGCTACACTGACAACCTTGACAGTAACGCACACTGTATGTGAATGACGTTTGAGAAAGGGAAACGGTTTCAGTGAACAATGTCTTAAATCATATGTTGTCAGAAGATACTTATTTCACACAAATCAATATGGACTACTTTTATAGTCCTATATTTTTTTTACTTTTCAGAGCCTGGTAACTGTATGATAATATTACTGTTTATGGGAAAAAGCAGTATTAATATTCTTCAAAGCATCTACTTTCTGTTCATTGGGAAAAAGTCATACAAGTTTGAAATGAAAAGGCCAAGGCCATGTTTTGCTAAACTACAACTTTGCAACAAAGCAAAAAATGTAAAAAGACTAAATGCAGATGGGTGACAAATTAAAGTTAAATTTGAGGGAACCCATGGCTGTGTGTTTGTGTGTGTAGGGGGGACATACTGCTGGCATGTTCTGGGTCCACTTGTCCCAGCGTGGTTCTCCATTTTTTTTTGACTCAAAAGCTCCTCATTGTCCAAAACAAAATTAGAAAGCCCACCCTCATTGAATGTGCATGAACTTTATAGTGGAAAAGGACTTATTATGTAGAAGTAATAAACTATACAAGTATAAAAATGATGCACAACATGCAATGCCTTTGCAGTCACCAGGATCACAAACCAACTACAAACACCTTTTGGACTGGCAGAAATCACTCACTGCCACAATCATCAAAATAGTCGTTAAATTTTTTTTGGAAGAATGGTGTTCCATCCCTGGCCCTGCAGTAGGAGGGATCCAGGTACTTTTGGAATCAATACCAAAGTGACGGCGTCAATCTGGCGGCACATGGTGGCCTAACACCTGACTACACATTTTCCTTTAATGTGTCACTCATCTGTATGTAATGTATGTAGTAACTTTAGTTCATACCTGCAGGTTGCGTGGGGTGAAATATTTAGGCTTCCTGCTTTTCAGTCCATGGGCCTGGGCCAACTCCTCCTCCACTTCCTGTTGCCGATTGGCTAATGCTGGATCGGAGCAGCCAGGAAACAACCAGTCATCCTCAATCAGTTTTGTGCCACAAGACAAAGGTAATGGATCATATATATTTAAGGGCAAATCAGGGTTGAGGAGAGACAGCCAGGCAATTCTAGTGCAGATCAGAGAGTGGTAAAGGGACGGAAAGTAGGAGGAAGGAGCACGCATCGCATTGCAAATTCGGTTTTCATTCAAGGCATGACTATGGAGGAGAAGTTCATTCAAACCCATCATAATAATTAAAGTGCAAATTACCATGATAAACATGCTTTTGAATATATTTTTAAGAAATTATAACAACTCGTCTCAGTCACAGCAATATGTGGACAAAATCACCTGAAGTGATACTTCTCTTTCTCTCACACTCCCTGTCAAGTTGGGAAAGGTAGGGGTACTGGCTCTTTTCATTTCCAACAGATAGAAATACTCAACTTTACTCTTCTCTATACAACAATAATTCTTTTGAGTTTCATGCTGTTACTGTCATAGTTCCTGTAAAACTCCATATTGTATCCACATTTATCGCCCTTCATGTCAGCTGGGAAACTTTGTAGAGGAGCTGGCTGTGCTGCTGTTCTCATTCACTGAGGATGGCAGCCAACACTTGAAGTCTTTACCTACTTAAAACATCCGTAGAAGCCTATGAGCAATTCTGAGAGAAAACACTACTTTTCTGCATACTTAAAGGGATACTTCACTTTTTTTGGAAATAGGCTCATTTTACAACTCCCCCAGAGTTAAACAGTTGAGTTTTACCGTTTTCAAATCCATTCAGACGATTTTCTGATATTTAGAAGAATATCAGTAACCAGACAGTTTCTGGTCTCATTGACTTCCATAGTAGGAAAAAAAATATACTATGGAAGTCAATGAGACCAGAAACTGTCTGGTTACTGATATTCCTCTAAATATCAAAAAATCGGCTGAGTACATTCAAAAACGGTAAAACCCAACTGTTTAACTCTGGGGGAGTGGTAAAATGAGCCTATTTCCAAAAAAAGTGGAGTATCCCTTTAACTGGATACTCTTAGTTCACACTGAATGCACCAATAACATCTGGCAAAATGCAGTGTTGTTTGATGACATCAAATGACTTTTCTATGGAAACCTCAAGTTGCAATTTTCCCCAAAATATTTCCAAAATTCAGAATTATAAAGAATTTGTGGAATTCAAGAATTTGTGGGAAAAGAATTTGTGTTTCAGTTAGTGGAAAATACATATCACCAGGTTTTAAACCAACATACAATAAGAGGGCAAAACAAATACATATAAACAACAAAACTGGACCCCACTGAATTGGCTGAAGGAAAAAAATATAAACTCAAAAATCATCATTTACTCATCTCCATGTTGTTCCAAACCTGTATGATATATTTTCCATTAAAAGGTGTTCACAAAAAAAGACCGTACTAAGTGTAACTGTATGAACAAAATAAATATATACATGCATACATACATACTTGCATGCATACAGTGATACAAAATCCAGTGAGGCCTAAAGGCTGATTTATACTTCTGCGTCGGACCTACGCCGTAGTCTAAGAGTTCGTTTTCATTTATACTCCTGCGTTGTGGTCCGCAATGACGTGCAATTACACATGCAGAGGGAGCATGTGAAACCCGAGGGAGGGGTTCTAGCAGACCAATCACAGCACTTGTGTCCATGTAGATTTGGGTACGCGTGCTACACACAACCTACGATGTAGCTACGACGTGAGTTTGACGCAGAAGTATAAATTGGGCTTAAAAATCTTCTTTTTTCACAAGAAAGATCCACATACAGGTTCCGACTGACATGAGGGTGAGTAAATGACTACAGAATTTAAACGGCCGAAAGCCTGAACTTTACAACATCACGTTAACAGTTGCTAACGGTTCATTTTATAGCAGTCTTGTGCAGAGATTGAAGTCAGGTAATTGGAAAAAGAGAATAAAAAAAAGGAAGACAAAATGACAGATGAAGGACAGGACCCCATGAGCCAGCCTCGTCTGTACTGCCAGAGTTTCCTTAGAGAAGGAAAAGTTGCAGAAAACTCCTGGTAGTACAGACAGGGGCGACCGATGGAGGCAATGAAACCTGCATGCACAAAACTGATGGGAAACTGTTCTCAGTGGCTGCACCCATCATGCAGAGCAGGAACAGAGGCAGAGATGGGGAGGAGGAGGGTCTCAGGGCCAATAGGTGGGAGAGAAGTGTTACAAAACAAATGTAATCAAAAAAACATTTTGAAACTCATTAAGCATGCCACCATGTCAGTAAGGCTCATTTCACACTAGACGCGTGTAGAAGCGGCAGTGCCGTGCAGAATCTATTTTTGGTGCTCAGCTCACGCTCAGTTAAAGCAACACTTTATTATTCATGACTGACATGAAAAAATTAGAATTTTTACATAGAAGAATATAAGTTAGGTCTATTGTGTTTCACGGAGTCCCAATATGACTTTAATCAGCGTGAAAATGTAAGTATGTTCAACCAATTTAAATTATAGCTTATAAACATGCTAAAACAAACTTATGTCAAACTACTACACACAGTTTATACACTACACATTTATATAAAATTATTTATTTTAAAATGTTATATTATATCATTATATGGCATAAGAACGAACAGTAGTAGGAGGGAACATTGTCATATCACAGCAGTGAATGCTGCGATTATAAACAAAAGAACATTATAGGCTGACAATGATTGGAGGACTAAAGCATCAGCTAAAGTTTGGCTGCACACTAGAAATGATGCTAGTCTGAAAGCACAATGGGAACAAGCTGCTTCGGCTTTGCATTCTGCTTACGCTTCCAGTGTGAAAACAGGTGTAAGAAACCCAACATTTTTGTAAAGGGTTTATCCTCTTTCACAATTCATAGCAAGTAAGGACAACAGAACCTCTTAAAAAATGGATAAATAAACAAATGGTATGATGGCACAACACCCCCTCAAAATCTGAACGCAAGAGGCATTCAAAACACGTGATACTACCAGGCAGGAGTAATGGTAATGCGCCTTGGCTGACCACTTAACGCATCTTAATACCAGGTGGCTTTCCCTCACTCGCTCGATTTCTGGGATATTGCATATAATACTGTATGTGCCCTTCAGGAAGCCGCTATCAATATGCGGGAGACTCCAGAAACCTTCCGGGAGAGGTGGGATGTCTGAGTTTGCCAATAAAACAGACACACCAGAGCAAAAGCAATCAGGTGTCAAATTTATATGAAATCACTAATGAAAACTTGAATGAATTACAGTTTCAATTTAATGAAAACTGCTCCACCAAAACGTTCATTTAAATCAAAGTTATGTTTGAAATAGCAAAATAATAAACAACACACAATGCAGAAAGGCATCTTTTAAATGTGTGGTCTTCTGCTGCTCGCCAAAGAAGCAAGGACACTAGACCCGCAAGTACAGCACAGTACTGTAAGCACAGTCAAGTACAGTACATGTGAATGTGCCTTTGTGTTTCTTACAAAAACTGTCAAGTGGTTCACTGAACTGAACAACAGACAAGAGAGGCATCATAGCCACTGAGATTCGCTTAAAACACACAATAAAGGGCTGTCCAAGCAACCGAGGGCTGTTTTACAAGACAATACTATTTTAGTCGTACTACCTAAAAAGCACTGTGATATATTAATATAGCTAATAAAATGTCACTGATATACCCTGCAACACTTGACCGTGTAGACATGCACCCGGGGACTATTATGTCACAATTCTGCTTTGTCTACCTAACAGCTGTCATTACATTTTAGGTAGAATCTATGATTGGTCTTTTTGAAACACTTGTTGTGAATGTATAGCATATGCATCCTCACCCTCTCTCTCCTCCTCGATGTGGCTTATTCTGAAGGACATGGCATTCTTCTCGTGACCCTGATCTCGAACCCTCTCTGCCTCCGTCACCATGGTAACCATTTCTTGCCACTCCATCACCTGTACATCATCCATGCTGCAGGTCTCACTCCCCTGTTATAAGAAATATACATATACTGTATACACAATTCAACCCACTTCACATGACTAGTGAGGCTAGTTAAATACTATTGTTAACTTTTTAAGACTCTAGCGACAAATGCTACATAAAACTGGAAATGGCCGTCCCTGCCAATCATTGCTTTTATAATAAAGTCATAAAAGTAAAATAAATAAATCATTGCCTGTGATGCTGCCCTCTTGGTCACCTGTTCAAGGTCGGCCTGCATCTTCCTCTGTTGTTCCTTATATTCCATAAGCTGTTTCTGCAGTTCATCTGTCAATACAATAAAATCTTCATCGCAAGAAAAATTTATGGTAAAACTATCAGGATTTTACATGGAATGTTTCAAATTTGAAAGTGATGTTCCTTTTTGACAAACATGTTTGTAGATTTTTTTAATTCCAAAAAAAAGTCACTTAATGCATCAACCAATTTATATACTACGAACAAACTTCATGAAATCAGCCCCAATGTTGGAAGACGTTTCTATCAAATCTCAAACCGATGGGACCAGATTGTTTATACCCATTGCAGAATAGGCCATTCCAGGATGACACACATGTTTTTAATACTAGGAGAAGATCCACCAAAATGTTCTTTCTGTCAAAACTCTTTATCATTGAAGCATTTTATTAGATCATGCTGGTTTTGAAGAAGTTTTTAACAAAGTTAACCCAAATGTAGTTAAGCAAAAATAAATAGTAACAACCAAATATCAGCAAACTCCCTAGCTAAAAGTTATAACTTGTGTTCATATTTTTAAATGAAAGATGAAATATTAAATCCCATGGATCAATATTTATTGAGTACTTCATTCTTGCTAGCAGTAAGTTCATTATTCCAAGGATGGATATATATATATATATATATATATATGTAAAAAGATGGTTTATTAATAAAACCCGTTTCCTTTGGCAATCTACATTACATTATATGGCAATGATAACAGTTCAAACTTGGGGTGAAAATACGTTTTGTGTTTTGGTTCAGTCCCAGAAGTATCGGAATCTGAATGTAGCTCCAACAATAAATTGTTGAATTGAAACATTTTCAGGGGTTAAAAACCAAATGTGGGTCACTTTGCATAGAGTTGATTTTTTTTTTTTCAGGAACTTTCCTGCAAATGGGGTTATACATATCCAATTGACACATAGAGTCCCATCCCATAAATTAAAAACAATAATATACCTGATATTTTAATTGTTGGTCTATAATACTAGCCGAAACACTGAAACACTGCTTCCACTTATTTATACCATTTTTTGCCTTCATATCTTCATACAGCTCCAGTTTGCTGAGCATTTCCTCTCTCTCCTCTTGTAATTCAGTAATGCGACCATGTAAGGACGTGATGTCAGGGGACATATCAGGAGATACTCCAGACTGAAATCAAAAACAGAAAGAAGATAATTAAATTTAGCCGAGTATTTAGATGCAAATCTGACGAAAAATGCAATATTCTTACCTGAACTTTTTTGAGTTCCTGCTCGAGCTGCCTAATCCGAGACTTGGACCATGCTTTCATCTTTAAGAACTTTGCCTCTGCTTTACTGACCTCGGAATCTTTCAGTTTCACTTTAGCTAAATTGGACAGAATTGAACAGAAAGAAATATAAAAACAAAGCCACTGAGAGATTCAACAATGCAGTGACAGGACACAGCAATCCTAAAATCATCCCACAAAATAAAATTACAAAAGTAACTACCCAGTGCATGTTTTAGTGTGTTTATCTGATTCATCTATTGAATTGAATTGAATTGAAATTGAATTGAAAGCCTTTATTGTCATTGTACACAGTACAATGAGATTTGGAGAGCAACTCTCTAAAAGTGCACACATAAATAACACATACATACATACAATACATTAGTGCAAGTCTGAGTGTAGGTTGAGTATGGTGACAGCTTTGGGGAAGAAGCTATCCCTGAGTCTGTTTGTTCTGGCCCGTATTGACCTAATATCTAAAAAGGTTTGAAAAATGAATTGCCTAAATAAAAGGCAAAAAAAAAAAAAAAAAATCCCCTGGAAATCAGTTATGGGGTCAAATAATGCCTCATAGTGGAAAAGTTTCCATTTCTGTCACTGCAGTTAACAGACAACAGCACAGAATATAAAAGGTTTTGGGATCCAGCTGTTCTCAAAAGGCCTAAACCAGCCGATACCAGCATAAACACAAGATCAAAGAAAAGTGGGCTTTGTCAACATCACACAACACTACTAAGAACATGTTTAATAGTGTCTAAACCCATAAAGTCACAGGGATGGGACAGGGGTTTAAAGTCCCTGTAAAGGTAATTCAACAAAAAAATTCTAAACACATTATAAATGTTACAAATGTATTGCTAAAACATATTACAAAGACTATGAACTGTGAAGTTCTGAAATACAGAGTTAGACTGTTCAACAGTTTTTCACCCTTGCTATTTTACGGATTTTTTGGGCGGGACTAAAACAGGGCTCGATGACGCACTGGAGCCCAAGAGCTTGTGGACACGCCCCAACTTGATGACGCATGTTGGCTGATCCATAGACGGGCTGATCTGTGCCCTAACAATAGAGCACATTTGCATTCGCCGCTCAATCGCTAGTTACTGTCAGTACTATTAGTTACTTCAGTCTACAGTTTGCTAGCTTGCTATGCCTTTGACAAGGAAATACATAGGCTACTACCTGGATGCGATCATGTACAAAACAGATCGGTGTCTTTATTTAAATTTCCTAAAAGCGATCACATCAAGAAGAGGTGGATTCATTTTGTGTAGAGCCAACCTTGATGAAGAGCTGAGGATCACCGACAGCAACACCCGCCTCCGTAGTGATCATTTTACACAGGATCGTTTTATAAACTTTCCTCAGAGACAACTGGCATTCACCGATAATCCGATGCTGCTGGTGAACGGGGCCGAAACGACTATCTACCGCCTCAGCATTCATCCTCCCAGTCCGAGAGCAGTTTCACCTAATATCACCGTCGACAGCTTTCCCGTGAGTGGGCGTGGTTTCAGCGCAGCCAGCAGACACGCCCCCAGCGTTTGAGAACAGAGAGAACTGCTCATTTTTTCAAGATTTTGATAGCTTATTTTATGTACTTGCCGGCTTTTTTTATCATTCAAATTTGGCTAATATCACATTTTTCTGTGGTATGACAGACTCAGAACACATATTTAATTTTGACTTTACAGGGACTTTAAGGTCATTCAAGAAACAAAGGTCAAACTACAGATGACATTCTGCAAGCATGTGGCATAGATGACTACCTTGCAGCTCTGTGACTCTCTGATCTGTGATGCAGGTAGATTGGTTTGCTGAGGCGTCTGCAGGTAGTGTTATAGAGCGCTGAAGAGTCTCAAGCTGTCTGCGCAAGGCCTGCTCCTTCTCTGACATCTCAGCCTCGTGTTTATTAGCAGCCTTGAGGAGCTCAGCCTCATGTTTCTCCATTAGATCTCTGACCCGAGCACGAGAAATGTGGCGCTCTGCCTCCAGCTTTGACTGAAAGTTTTCTCTCTCGCTCCGCAAGAGTTGCATTTGTTCTGTCAGCTCCTACCAAAAAAAAAAAAAAAAAACACACATACAAGTCAAAGATAAATTTGAGTACCACAGACTTAAGTGTAGAGGACTATTTCATTTCCTTAAGTGTGCACAAAACATTCAAACAGACACTGATCAGAGGAAGTTATAATAACATTATATTAATATCAGACTCCTGTTATCACACTTCTGAAGTCCCAACAGATGCCCATTAAAGGGATAGTTCACACAAATAAAATGTAATTCTGTCATTAATCACTCGCCCTCACGTCATTCCAAACCTTAAAACATTCGTCTTGTGTTCATCTTTAGACCACAAATGAAGATATATTTGATGAAATCTGAGAGCTGAGAACATAGACTGCAAAGTAAACATCACTTTCAAGGCCCAGAAAGGTAGTAAAGACAGTTAAAATAGTCATGTGACTACAGTGGTTCAACCTTAATTTTATGAAGCGATGAGAATACTTGTTCGCAAAAAAACTAAAACTTTATTAAACAATTTCTTCTCTTCCGTGTGAGTCTCTGTCTCTGTTCACGTAAGCACTATGTGTGTGCTGACGCAGGCACCAGCCAATACTGACCCGGTCATATAGGTTTGGAACGAGTATTTAATGACAGAATTTTCATTTATGGGTTAACTTAACCCTTTAACGGGATAGTTCATCATTTATTCACCCTCAAGTTGTTCCAAGTCTGTATGAATTTCTTTCTTCTGCTGAACACAATAGAAGATATTTTGAAAAATGTTGGTAACTGAACAGTTGTGGGGCACCATTAACTTTCATTGTAATTTTTTTTTCTTCATATTATGGAAGTCTCAATGGTCCATCAACTGTAAACTTTGGTTACCCATATTCTTCTAAATATCCTTTTAAATACAGACATACATTTTAATAAACAAAAAAAATGAAAATCACATCAAATTTCAATTCATTCTAGCTCATCGTATTCCGGAGACTGATTTTTAGAAGCTCCTAAAAGCGTGAAATTTACTCTTTGAGTTAAAGGGGTGATGAACTGAGAAATCAAATTTTCCTTGAGCTTTTGACATCTAAGAGGTCATCATATTATAAGAATATCCTGTAAGTTTCAGAACTGAAAACGCCCTTGTTAGTCCAATAAAAGCTTTTATTGACACCAGCCTCTGAAAACGCCTCGTTTTTAAAAGTGGGAAACTATGACGTCGAAGGGGTTAAAACACCACCACCGCAGAAGAAGATCAACACCTACTTCAACACGGCCGGTTTAGCCCCGCCCACCAATTCGCGCATTACACGCATAGCTAAGTAGCCTAACATACATGCCTACCTCGTGATGACAAACCGGATCGTTCTACCGAGCAATACAGAATATTGTGCAGTGCCTGATTGTGGAAGAAGACAGTCGCTGCATAAGCTTCCTCTGGATTCCAATAGGACTTCATGGATAAACTTGATTTTTAATGACGTTCCAGCTGATGAGGGTAAAACATCGTCGTCTGTTCGCTTCATTTCACTGAGGATTTTTTTGTATACAAGACTGTATTTGCAGACAATTAAGATTAAAGAACGTGCTGTGCCGTCTATATTGGATCTGACAGGAATTGTGCTACAAGCAGACTCTTGGTTGAACATGTATGGGCGAATCCGGTTGCCATTTGACAACATTGGACGTTTTCCCCCACGTACACCGACGGGTGAGTTAAACACATTATAATATGCAAAACTGTTCTCCACTCACAGCAGTGGGCGTTTATTTCCAAGTTTTCAGTGCGACACGCCCATAAAAACCGACCGTTTTTCAGGAAGGCTCACAACTTGGGTACAAAATAGCCTATTGCTTATTCATTTTGATGTTTTTGAATGCAAAAACCAAGCGAACGTCATAAGTTGACCTCAGACAACAATATAACAAAGTTCATTAAAGGGGCCAGTTCATGACCCCTTTAAAGACATCACAGCTCATGCACAAGCCTCTGGAACCTGGCATCCCACTCAAACCATATCCAAATGCTTGAATATGTTTTATGGCATACCGGCGTCCTCGAAGCGAAAAGACTGACAAGCAATGGAGGACAGCATCCTCCTCCACACCCTTCACACGGGTGTCAATCTGAGGCTCCACAAAGACAGCTGGACGCACCTGCCTCAGAGTTACAGGAGCTGCTGACACACACGAAATAGCTCCCTGCACAGGACTCACCCGAGGAGTCCTGTAAAGTACATGCTTCTGACTCCTTGCCCACCCCAGCTTAGGCAAGCTTGCGTCGGCACCACCATGACGGAGAGGCTAACAGCCAGTTTCTGACCTCCTGCCACCAGCACCAGGTCAGCTTGCGAACCTCTCTATGCTACATAGAACCCTAACCACTTACTGCAACCACAAGAAAACACCTGCCCCAAAAACTAATGGACTCCAGAATGACAGGTGACACCCCGTCTGCTGCCTTAACACCTGCTGCAGAAACCTGGACTGGGCCAGATCACTCGCCATGGAACGACCACCGCTCCAGAAGACACGAGCAACCAGAGGCCACCCCGACCTTCCAGCCTTCTATGACAAAGGTGTGTCTGATCTCTCAACACTTTCATCTTCAATCGTGGTTGTCCTTGAGGGGGACAACAACGGTTGAATAGGGGGGAGGAGATCTGTTGAGTCTGGCCCGATCAGACACACACTAACTATTCATATTCATTATATTTAATGTATATAAATGTCTATGAAACGGTCCCCCCAAAACCAACCTCACAAATGAAGCTATTTGTCGGCCGGGTGTCCGGTTACAGAGCACTTTGAGACTGATGACAGGCTTTTACGACCTCAAAGGAATGTGGCCACATGGGCATGCAAGGGGCCGTTTACACCTGGCCACTTCATGCGTTTTCTGTGAACGGATAGCTCCGATCGTGAAAAGGCCAGGTGTAAATGCCCCCCGAAATGCATTCGAGACGGATTTGAATCCGATCGCTCAAACCACATTGGGAGGTGGTCTGGGCCGCATTCCAGACGAAACTGGACAAGTGTAAATGCATCTGGTTCTTGAAACCACATTTGTAAAAATGTTACTACTCCCAAAAATGCTAAAAAAAAAATAAACGTGTGAGAGCGTGTTATAGGCTATACGTCATGCTATTTTAGTCAGATATGACGACGCTACTGCGACGCGCATCACCTCAGATGAGCAGCTGAACGCCTATCAAGCCAACACCAACATGGAACTTCTCAATAGTTCCGTTTTTGGTTTCGTTCTATCACTCACCTATTTATGTATTCATATGTGTATGTTGTTTATTTTATTTATATTCATATAAATACCTACATTTAGTTAATAAAACTTGTACATAATACGTATTTGGTTCTGTTTTGTTCGCAATACGGAGTCCCTTTTACGGTTTTGATTTTTGCTACTTGCTCGAAGTGCTGTACATACTAAGAAATAATTATTCTTCGGTTGACCTGATACCCTTTTCTTAGAAAAAATTAATTATTAAAAGAGTTCCTTGGTTAATTGATTAATTGATTGTAATATTAATTCAGCCACATCAAGTTAATCCAATTAACTGACCCAAATATTCATAATTAATAATAACAAGTTATTATTGATTATTAATATTCCAAAGAGCTGATTCGTTACATGAACATGTCGCGTCTCACTTGTCTATCTATATTGCCCCAAATACAACACTGCACTTCCTTGTGAAGTCGTTTGGATGAACGGTTCTCGAAATAATCAAAATGCAAACGGACAGATAGAGATTCCAAAGCCTCGACTATTCAATGTTCATTACTACCAAAGCTTCGAAGCTGAAAAAATGGTATTCAGACCAGCACTAATGTTAAAGAAAATAAAGTCAGTAATAAAATAGGAACAAATAATCAAATTACAAGCAAAAGCCTATTGTTCAAACAATAGAAAACAATAGGAAAAAAGATACAAAAAAAACCTATGATTTCAGGCAGGTTTAACAATAGTTTTCAGGTACATAAACATAATGAAATAATTAAATGTTAAGTAATACTGAACTCTTCACTGTATAACTTAAATATAAATTGAATCCTTATTACATTTACATTGCTGTTGGTTGGAAACCTCTGTATCTTGTCATTTATTATGTTTTACGTGTCACACCTATTTTGGACATTTGAAACAAGAGCAAATAAAGAACTACAAACCCAATTCCATAAAAGTTGGGACACTGTACAAATTGTGAATAAAAACAGAATGCAATGATGTGGAAGTTTCAAATTTCAATATTATATTTAGAATACAACATAGATGACATATCAAATGTTGAAAGTGAGACATTTTGAATTGCCATGCCAAATATTGTCTCCTTTTGGATTTCATGAGAGCTACAAATTCCAAAAAAGTTGGGACAGGTAGCAATAAGAGGCCAGAAAAGTTAAATGCACATATAAGGAAGAGCTGGAGGACCAATTTGCAACTTATTAGGTCAATTGGCAACATGATTGGGTATAAAAAGAGCCCCTCAGAGTGGCAGTGTCTCTCAGAAGTCAAGATGGGCAGAGGATCACCAATTCCCCCAATGCTGAGGCAAAAAATAGTAGAGCAATATCAGAAAGGAGTTTCTCAGAGAAAAATTGCAAAGAGTTTGAAGTTATCATCATCAACAGTACATAATATCATCCAAAGATTCAGAGAATCTGGAACAATCTCTGTGCATAAGGGTCAAGGCCGGAAAACCATACTGAATGCCCGTGATCTTCGGGCCCTTAGACGGCACTGCATCCCACACAGGAATGCTACTGTAATGGAAATCGCAACATGGGCTCAAGAATACTTCCAGAAAACATTGTCAGTGAACACAATCCACCGTGCCATTCACCGTTGCCGGCTAAAACTCTATAGGTCAAAAAAGAAGCCATATCTAAACGGGAACCAGAAGCGCAGGCGTTTTCTCTGGGCCAAGGCTCATTTAAAGTGGACTCTAGCAAAGTGAAAAACTGTTCTGTGGTCCGACGAATCAAAATTTGAAGTTCTTTTTGGAAAACTGGGACGCCATGTCATCCGGACTAAAGAGGACAAGGACAACCCAAGTTGTTATCAGCGCTCAGTTCAGAAGCCTGCATCGCTGATGGTATGGGGTTGCATGAGTGCGTGTGGCATGGGCAGCTTACACATCTGGAAAGGCACCATCAATGCTGAAAGGTATATCCAAGTTCTAGAACAACATATGCTCACATCCAGACATCGTCTCTTTCAGGGAAGACCTTGTATTTTCAAACAAGACAATGCCAAACCACATACTGCATCAATTACAACATCATGGCTGCGTAGAAGAAGGATCCGGGTACTGAAATGGCCAGCCTGCAGTCCAGATCTTTTACCCATAGAAAACATTTGGCGCATCATAAAGAGGAAGATGCAACAAAGAAGACCTAAGACAGTTGAGCAGCTAGAAGCCTTTATTAGACAAGAATGGGACAACATTCCTATTCCTAAACTTGAGCAACTTGTCTCCTCAGTTGATGCCATGAAATTTAAAATCAACTTATTTTTCCCTTAAAATTATGCATTTTCTCAGTTTAAACATTTGATATGTCATCTATGTTGTATTCTAAATATAATATTGAAATTTGAAACTTCCACATCATTGCATTCTGTTTTTATTCACAATTTGTACAGTGTCCCAACTTTTATGGAATTGGGTGTGTAGTTTCTTGAATAAGTACAGCATATGTACAGTATACACATATAGCACTATGCAAAAGTCTTAGGCACGTTAGTATTTTCATCAAAAAAAATTGTTTTAAGCCAGTTATTTATATATTTTGCTATAGTGTATCAATAAGAAATAATCTGTTTAGATTTCCAACCATTCCTTTCGCCATTAATTGTAATAATCCTGAGAGATTTGACAGTAGAAATGTCCCCAAGATGCTTGAAGAAACCTACCTACAAAGCTACAGTATTGTGAAAAGTCGTCGGCACTTGTGTAAAACTCCTGTAAAGTTTTGATGATTTAAAAAAATAATGTCATAAATAGATTTGATTTTTCAATTAACTTCTATTAACTAAATCAAATCAATATTTGGTGAGAGCACTACATTTAAAACAGCTTTTGTTCTAGGTATTTGCATAGTTTTTCAGGTAGGCATTTCCTCAAGCGTCTTGGAGACCTTGCCACAGTTGTTCTAGATTTAGTCTGTATCCGTTTTTTTTTTTCTTTTTTCATGTTTCTTCATGTAATCCCAGACAGACTTTCCAGTTGATTTTAATAACTTATTAGTAAATGTTGAAATTAATATTAAATAAGATTAATAAATGCTGAAGAATTATTGTTCATTCTTAGCTCATGTTAAAAAAGGTAGTTAACAAATGAACCTTATAGTGAACGTGTTACCGATATATCTTAACAATGACACATTACAGCACAATATATAAATAACTTTCATGTCTTTTCTATAAGATATATATTCAGGATCATTGAAGGTGCTTTCCCTAAAGACAGTGCTTCCACTCGTGCTTGTGTCAATGAAACGAGTGGGTGACAGTTAATAAGTATGAGTAGTGTAAACATATTGAAGACGTGCCTACGCATGAATACAGTGAGGATCTGGTAGGTACAGTTATTCTTTGGTCATGTATATTTTCTTTGATATTTTCTCATTTTGAAACCATAACATGCAGACGTATGCCGCTTTTAACAGTACGCAATGCACTCTAGAGTAAAACTGCATTGGTATGTTCATGTGATTGTGTGTGTGCGTTGAGATTAAGACATTTTATGTGCCACATCATGCGTCATGTGACACCCACTCCCTGTACAAAGTGCAAAGAGCAATATTGTCAGCATCCAGATGACAGACTTTCAGGGTAACTGCACTAGCCGAGCAGAAGCCATTTAAAGTAATGGTGATGCTGACAGCTTTTTTGTTTTTGAGTTCCTTGGGGCTAATTCTTGTGCAATTTAAGATTTTACCGTTTCTGAATTGTAAAGTGTTATATAAGTTAAACATTAAAAGTCCGGAACACTTGGAAAGCAATAGAAATCACACAAAATTTTGGAACTAAGCCAAGTTTAATTTTATTTCCTCCCTAACATGTTTTGTAATGCAGGTGAAACTCGAAAAAATAGAATACTGTGCTAAAGTTCATTTATTTCAGTAATAACTTAACTTAAAAGGTGAAACTAATATATTATATAGACTCATTACATGCAAAGTGAGATATTTCAAGTCTTTGTTCATTATAATTTTGATGATTATGGCCTATAGCTTATGAAAACCCCAAATTCAAAATTCGAATATTGCGAAAAGCTTTTTATAGCTGTAATCCATAATCATCAAAATTATAACAAATAAAGGCTTTAAAGGGACACTTAACCCATTTGTATTAAGCTTTGTATCTTTAGAAATCCAGTTATATTTTTGAATGGTCATGGTTTATTCCCTCATTTTCCCCTGAGATATAAGGATTTAAGTGTTATACTTCCTGCTTATTCTGATGTTAAAATTATCATTTTGAGTCATAATAAGCAGGAAGTCACATTTCATTAAAAAGTGTAGCGACTACAAACATTAGCTCATTATTATTCAAGGGTGTGGGACCCACTCACCCTACAGACCTATTACAGATCAGTTGGTGGGACTTGCAGATATCGAATCAATATCAGCCATCTTGTTTCAAAGCTTAGCTAACAAGCACTGGAGACAGGAAGTTATCATAGATACCCTATTGGCTGCTCGAAACCGAGAAATCTGGCCGCCATTTTGAACCGGTCTTATTCCTAGTTCCGTTGCGTGGCAGCAGATAAGATGCCAGAGCATTGGGGAGCATATTCCTGTTCTAATCCCCGGACCATCGAAAATAGTGCTTTTCACAAGTAAGTCTTAACATTACCGTACTATTGGTTGTATTTTGTGAATAGAATATTACCAGATAATCGTGAAGGAGCAAGGATATTCTATTACTGTACTGAAATAGTTGTGAAATGCTGTTTACTGCATCAGCTGGTGTTCACCCGGCATGGAGAGGTGGGGTAACTGTTAAAGTAACAATTACAAGAGCTTCTAGGTTATCAGATAAGCACTACCCTGTTGTATAGGTTATTTGTGTTTGCGCACATGATATCAGGAAGCAGTGTAATACACAGATGATATCAGGAAGCGGTGTAATACATGCATGACAGCGATGCGCAAATTGAGTTACCCCTCCAACTTCTAGTTTTATTGATAACCTATATCTTATCACAAGCGATTTGGCTATTGTTAATACAGAAGTCCTGTGGTAAAATTACATTATTAATTTACTCCATCTACCCTTGTAAAGTTAATCCGAATAGGGCTTTAGTCTCGACATTTTCCCCTCCCACATCCACATACAATAAAAAAGGTATAGGCTTGTTGTCCGAATTTATTGAATGCAAACACGTTGAAACGCTTCTTCTCAATTTTTATTACAGGTGGCTGCGTTCAGTGGATTCGGTGGCTGCGTTCTGTGTGTGTGTGTGTGAGAGAGAGAGAGAGAGATTGTGTGTGCGTGTGTGTGTGTGTGTCTGTTCATGTGTATGTGAGTGTCACAAATCATAACTTGTTTCTTGTTACTTATTAAAATATCTTACTTTACTGCTACTATCTGTTTCTGCTACTTTATTATATTTATAGTGTGTGATTTATAAAATACATTATATCCTTCATCACACATATTGTGTCTGGTCACTTTATATCTTATATCAGAATATTATATTACTGTTAAGCCTATTATGGATATTAAAATACGCCGAACCATGTGTCCTGTATCATAGCTAAATGAATGACCTTTGCAGCGAAAAAAAAAAAAAAAAAAAAACGTGTGAAAATCAGTTCAGTATTCAGTGAGATATGATTAATTTAATGCACTGACAGCTCATTTCACTTGCCATTCAGATTACACTGAGTGGAGCGGATGACCGGTTTAAGATGGCGGCTCCAATTCTCGTCCGTGCCAATAGGCAGTAGCGGTCGATAGGGCGTCTACCTATATGATGTCTATGGTTGCCACCTTTAGTGAGGCAAAATAAGGGACACCCATACACAAGATAAATAAATAATTAAATTAAATTAAAAAAAAATGTGTCAAGTGTATGGAACTGATTATTTCAACATGCCAACTTGACAGCTCAATAATAAACCACGAGAAAACATGAGATCAAGTATGTGAGCTTGCAACAGAAAACATTTTATATTATTATTTTACATTTTATTATTTTACTCTTATTTACTTATGTAAACTCTTCTGTATATGTTAGTGATTACAGAACCAATAATCATGTTTTTGACAATTCTGCATGGATTGAAAAATTCATTTCGCACAAAATTCAATTTTAGTAAATAAAAACAATCCATGCAGAATAAATATCTATATCCTTCATGTAATATATCATATATCATGTAATGAGTATATTAGTTTCACCTTTTAAGTTGAATTGCTGAAATAAATTAACTTTAGCACGATATTCTAATTTTTTCGAGTTTCACCTGTATATCCTGCTCTGCACTTCAAGGGGGGTGGGCAATATGAGCAGGACAGAGCTCTTCTTTAAAACATGTTTCAAGTAATTGTATGTTTGAACAGCATCTTAATGCATTTTGAATAAATTAAATACAAAAAACAGCCACTGAACCATTGAACATATTTTTTAGAATTGAAAGTTACCTTGACTTGTTCATCTTTATTGCCGAGTGCTGCATCCTTCTCCCTGATTAACTCCTTTAGATGAGCCACAAGTTCTTGCATTTGCGTCAACTGCTCAGTGATTTCAGAAAATCTTATATCAGTGCCTCCGGTGTCCACCGATGGGGAGCCAGGAGCCTGAGACAAGCAAAGGATATATTATTGACCATGTAATGACATACATGTAATGGATAATAAACACTCAGAAGGTTGTTATCATTAATCACCCAGGGTGATCAGGATCCCACCGTGGAAGGTGTGTGTTTGGGCTCTGTCTTGCGATATTTTGCGATAATAACCGGATGACTAGATTATTACATGACATCTCACCAAATAAATAAATACGTTGACATGGCACATTTAGAATTATTTCTGAATAAAAGATGCAGTTCACTCCTAGACATTCCCACATTAAACACCCCCAGGAAGAGGCATTAATTGTACACCACAACAAATAATCTGCATTTCGAAATATTTTAATAAAAGCATGATTAATACTCACTCCATGAGCAGAGCCGGACTCATCTGCCGAAAACCACTTCAGCATTGTTTACACAACCTATAGCCTAGGAAAGGTTTTAAATAAATGAAAGCAAATTCTACACAAAACTCATTTTACTGTCATCTGACTGAAGGGTTCATCAAATCCAGTCCTGGAGTTCCACCGCCCTGTATTAAAATAAAATATTTAATATGCGTTAATATAAATATTAAAGACATGTTTATGCAAATAAACACAATAATTAGTCATGTTCATGAAAATAAGTATTATAATCCCAGAGAGCGTTGAACAGGTGCATTATATATCTATATCATCTAATTGAAGCTTTTAGTCTCATCATACATTAATATTTTAACAAACAATGCTAACCATCATCAACAATCACAACCTACTTAAGCGATAGAAAAAGACAATAAAAAAATAACAACATCATCAACTGAACAATACGCACATCTTCAAAAACCTCATAATGTTGGCAGATATCTGCTAATAAGCGCATAAAATTTAAACCATGACTTGCAGGAAATATGAATATTTAAAAATGAAATTAATCAGTTGCACTCTCTTTACCTAATCCTACCTGCCTCCCAATAACATGGAATTATATCGCGTCACATTTCGAAAATAGAACATGACAATATGCTCACTCGTACATGTATTTAAGATGCCATATAAATATAGGTGTTGTGTTTAAAAGCGGCGATCCAACAACTTCATTTTCTATATCAAGTCATCTCTTGCTCTGCTCTTGCTAATGCTCAAGTTCTTCTTCTTGTTGTTTAATGGCCGCTCAATGCTTTGTAGCATTACCGCCACCTACTGTACATTGTGTCTGGTCGCCAGAGTCCTCCAGTTGTTTGAATTTATTAAACTTCAGTAAATTAATTAAAAAAAAATGTTAAACATACTACTGTAAATAAAATAAAATACATTTAATTAAATAATATAATCTAAACTAAGCTAAACTGATTTGATTTACAATAAATAGCCTATATTAAATTATGTGTAAAAACTTTCTTCAATTAAACTAAGGGTAATGTATAGACGAATCCGACGAGCGTTCTGTGTAGGCTGCCATCTTGTGGCGACGCCATTACTGAGCTGTTACACAGGCATATAGACATATGCACCGGTATGTAAACAAACCTCGGTGATAACGCGAACTCACCCTCGATGACAGCTACAGCCAGGCAGAATGACTTGTTGGTTTGATCTGTGACTGCAGTGGCCTCCAGTCACAGATGAAGGTACAAACGATCTTACAGATTAACGTTATTTATGAAAATAGCTTGGCAAGCTAGCTAGGCTAACGTTTGCTAACGAGGAAACTATAAAAATTTGGCAACAATAAATAAATAAATGAATGAAATCAAATAAACAAATTCATGTTTTTCATTTGTGTCCATTATTTATCTCATTTTCACATTGCAACAGGCAAGGGTAAGGTAACGTTACAGCTAGAAAGTATACATAATATCGACCAATTAGTGTTTTTAAACCATGGAAAGAGGTCAATATAACAGCGGGAGAACAATTATGTCACATAACGTTACATTTAGCTCAGGAAAGCCATTTAATGACCATAGCATGTTAATTTAATAGAAAAAATAGCAAGAGAGGAGATTTTGCTGATCACTATATCACATATTTATTATATTTTTTTTACTTATGTCATTAAATAATTGTTATTATACGCGAATGTCCACGTCTTGTACTCGCCCAGGAAATCTGTAAACCGTACGGCACCAGACAGGGGCAGTCGACCCGGGGTATTTACAGTGTTTTCTCTTCAAAATTGAAATTTTACTGCCACCATTGAAACAATTTATAACGGAAACTGTTTACCCACTCGACATTATACAAGGGATAACGTTGTAACGTTGGTGACAGTCGTAAATCGCGGGCTGTTTATTCCAGTGGACGCAAGTTGCAACTAAAACAATAGGAGGCAATGGCGCAACGCTACCCAGCAACAGCTCAGTAATGGCGCCCCGCTTACTTCCGGTAGTTTCGCCGGATTCGTCTATTCATTTTATTGTGTGTATTATTTTGTGTACACATTTATTGTGTGTATTTTATTGTGTGATGAGGCCCGGTTAGGGCCGTTTCCAGATCAGATGGTGGACCTAGTCCTAGACACGACCATATTTTCCAGTTATCTCTGTAAAGCTATACTTTGAAACAATCTGTATTGTAAAAAGCGCTACATAAGTAAAGGTGACTTGACTTGACTATTCAGAAAACATGGTAAACTTCTATTTTTTTTAAAACATCACATCAGAAATACATAAGAAATAAGAAATATTATATCACATAAGAAATATTACTAAGAGTTATACCTGTCACCTATATACTCAGCAGTCATGTGCTCTGTTTACTGATCCAGGGGTGCATGGTGAACTCAGGACAATGCAGAAAGATCGTGGAAATAGCATAACTGGCACTTTTGGTCTCGTTAGTATACTGTCTTTGTTGCCCCATGAATTAATCATAGCTGTCAACCCTCCCGTTTTTTCCGGGTTTCTCACGTATTTTAGCTCTTTTCCCGCTGTCTTCCCGTTTGAGCATTTTCCCGTAAAATATACCGTATTTTTACTCTCTGATTGTGTGAGACGTACGGGCTCGGACAGATTCGGCTTGAAGTCGTTTATCCTCGGATGCGGTGCCGCGCGCGCTGGCCGGAGACACACTGGCTGCGTGGTGTGTCCGTTTTTTGCACGCTGCCTGCGTGACACGCGCGTCTCCAGAAAACGCGTGCATGCTAGAAATAGAACTGACGCCTATTTTTCACGCGACAGGCAGGCGTGTATCTTTGCCTGGAATTTCTTTGCGTTTCCAGGCAAAAAAATAAATAAAAAATAGGAAACGATGTTTAGGCTAGCTGAATGTAATTTTGTACTCGAATACATATTAATACATTACATTTTGATGTTTGAAAGTCTAGGTTTTTACATAAATTCAGATATCAATGTAATTTAAACAAATAATTATTATTATAAATAGATTTTCAAATATATGAATAAAATATATATTTTCTTTTTTTCCATTTGTTTCTTAAGCTCTTAACAATGTGATTATATGAAGAAGAAAAAAAAACTTGAAAAAAAAAAAAACGTTCTGGGCCTCAGGAGGATATAAAGTGTGTCTTCTGAGTGATGGTCCACCATCAGGCTAAATAGGCTCTTTAAAGCTACACAAAATGTGTAAATGTAATTAAAATAAACACAGCCCACTTCCCTATTTTGCGGATTTTGGAAGATGTGTGATAGGCTATGTTGAAATTGTTGTCCAAATGCTAGAGCAACACATGCTAATCCAAATGTAGATTTTTTTCCCTTTAAATGACACTGTCTCTTTCTCTCTCACACATAGGCTATATGAACACCTTAGACTTTTAAGGATTGTGCTTTATTTTTAAAGTTTGTGGGTGAGAATCGTGCAAAAAAAAAAAATCCCTTATTTTGGGGATGGATTCCGGGAAAACTCCCTTATTTTCAATGTTCAATGTTGACAGCTATGGAATTAATCCAAACCAAGGCTATAAATACACAGGGATGATTAATGCAACTCAGATCAGGTGTAATTAAATCAGTAAATAAGAGATTTTTATTAAAAATATCATGAATTTATAGCCTACTTATACTCTGGCGAGAATGAACAGCAGCTGTGTTTCCATAATTCTCCATATTGCGCAAAGTGAAACTGCAAATTTAAAATACGTTCAATGGAAACATGACAATTTCACAAAAAAATTCCATTTATCACAAAAAAAGTATTTACGCTCACATGAGGTGATTTGTTAGGCAATTTGAAAAAGGAATATTCTGCAATAATGCAATGGAAACAGTTTTTTCGCATTTAGCCTACAGGTTACCTTGGCCTACATAAAAGTCGATTATTCTTTAACAATGGCGCGGTGTTTGGACAGAAGACGAGACAGAGTTCTTTATTACAATCATAAAAGACAAAATAGTTATTGGAAAACTGAATTCTAAACAACAAAGAATTGCCACAATTTATGAAGGCCTCGAAGAAGATAGGAGGGATAACACCCAGAAACATCTCATACAGTACGTGGCCATTCCCAAGTATAAGGGGGCTTCATAGGGTCTTCGTCGATTGAAAACAATGGCAGGTGTCACAATTATGTTCAGTCAGTGTTGTTATTGTGGACTTTTAATTTGTATTCTCTAGTTTCTGTGTTCCTTTGATTTTCCTGCTTCTCTTTTGTTGTCATGGTTACTGATATGATTAGTTCTCTTACTTCAGCTGTGTGTCATTATTTACCCTCGTTTGTCTACATTTAAGTTGCTGTGTTCTCATTTGTCTGGTCACACTTACGCTGAAGTGTTTGCTAACACTCTTGTATTATTTGGAGTTATGGATTTTTTTAATTTACTTTTTTTTTTATCACATTTTGTGTTAAAACTCATCATAATTTTAATCTTCTTCTGTCTGTGGAATACTGTGTAGCAGAAGACTGGAACAAGAAATGGATAATGCAGCAAAATGTGATTGCCCAAAAGGCCATTGATTAAAAAAAAAAAAAATTGTATACAGAACAATTCTGTCATCTTGCCATCACCTTCTCCTACGATGTAGCCTGGATGCCAGCCCGAACTCCACCCATGACATTTTTTGGTCAGGAAGTTCGGTCTGGACTCGATCCATTGAGGAGTAATTAAGATCAGTCAAAAAATTGCCCGGGGGGGCTTTATACGATGATAGACAGATGATCTGCAGGGACGTAATCATCACGTTATCAAAGTGCGCTTGTCAAAGATGACTGCAGCTGGAGAATTGAGATGTATAGATTCCGCTGTCGCATCTTTTGTTAAATAAATCGACAGCGCATTCATTTTAATAGACAAACAGAGAACTGCAATCAAGGCATTTGTCGATCGGAAAGATATTTTTGGCGTCCTTCCTACATGATTCGGGAAAAGTGTAACTTATCAGCTGGCTCTGACGGTCGTTAGGAAGATGGGACGTAATGAAAAGCCTGTGGTCGTTGTGGTTTCTCCTTTGGTGGCACTCATGGAGAAGTAAGTAAAAGAAGCAACACTTGTTATTTAACTTCTAAAATAAAGAAAGTTAGGCTTTGTTCTGTATTTGAAAACTGCGCTATGCAAAGGAGTTGACTTACTGCGTTGCTCTTGATTGGTTGTAGGTCTACCGACTATCCAATTGAGTGCAGAGGTTTTTTTTCCTGGTTCGGTTACAACACGCCTCATAATCAAAGCCCAACGGAGGAGTTTCAGACTCATATTCTCTCTTGAATATGAGTATGACGAAGTCAGGCTACCTACGATGATGACGAGACCCCCAAATCATTGTTCTGGATCGTGGCCAACTACCTCACCCTGTAGACTTCTTAGACACCTCAGGACTTGACTAGAGGGAGGTCATAATCAGGTCTAGAACGTCTCTCCCTGATCCAGGAGACAGCCAGACCCAGAGCCCAGCCAACTACAACCCTTCGACAGCAGAGAATTCGCTAGAGCCCCCCACAGACAGAAAGTGACTGCCCATCGCGATGAGTGAGCCAGAGCCTGAAGAGGAAGGGACAGTGCCGACCTTTGCTTACTTTTGAGCAAGCTTACCTCTGTCACCTTTACCGCAAATCTCAGCCAGTCCTTCAGCCCCGCCTCTGCTGAATGCCTGCAGCCCATCGTCGTCCCTGGGAACACCCTGTGATGTGAAGCCTTAGGTCGTTCAAACACTAGCCTTGCCTGAGCGAGATGATCTTGTGGCTCTGTCTCAA